CCAACCAAAAACAATTGAACAGATGATAAAAATGTAGAGCTGCTTATCCAGGTTCAATATGCTTCGTGATTCAAGTGGGCCAAATTCTTCCACATAGACCTGAATTACAAATCTTGGTAAATTCTGAACTTGATGGTAGTCACAAGAGACTTGGAGAAGCCTATCTTCCATCATCTTGCCTACTTTTCTTTGGGAAATGCTGCTTTATTTCAGTGGAATGAACTTCCCAGTAAATGAGTGTAGGCCTGCAGACTTTGAATACGTGGCATAGGAGCTAAGATTTTGTAGGTGGCCACACTGTAAATCTAGCATTGAAGCTCTTACAAAATGTCTTAGTTGCTTTAAATGATTTCAAGTAACTTCAAAGGAAATAAACAAGCAGTGCCATTTTTACATCTGACTATTGGAACAAAAGTTGGTTTGGTGTACCATTCAGAATAAAGCAGATCGATATTCCCTCACTCTCCCATGTTTGTGTTATCCAAGTGGTTGCAGAAATGATAAAAACTGAAATGTTAAAGTCTTCCATCAAATTTTCAAAGAATTAAAGCATATGTTCACATTTCATAGCTACAATTTGGTACAGCAGTTCATTTACCTGCTATGGAAATTCAGTAGCCTCTAGAATGTGAGCGTACTGAACCCAGGTTTGTTTCACCTAAAAGGAGCACACAAGAACTTGCTCGGGCTTTGAGTGTAAGTAGCAGGAATGTGTATGCCTGCATGTATACATAAGAGAACGGTGAGAGTAAATTTGCCAAGGATAACTTGGGCTCTGGAAATGCCTACCACTGGCATGTGGTCCCAGGGAAGCTTCCACGTGGCAATCTGGCCCATGGGTTGAAGAAGTCTCCCTACTTCTGGAATGCAGGATTACAGCCTATGTCCAAAATCTTAACTGGGAGAAGTGCTGCCCTCAAAATTAAGAATAGTTGGGTACCTGCCAGGGCCCCACACTTCAGCAGGAACCCAGTGACAAGATCTCTAGACTTGTCCCTTCTTTTCAACAAAGAATTTGCTAGTTAACTTGCCTTGCCCTCCCATCGAAACAATGGTGATGGTGAGAGGAGGAGCATTATGTGCACCTACCTGCCTGCTTTCCACCTATCAAGCAAACAAGGGGTTGCCATGATGAGAAAGGGCATGAGGATCAGCACCGGCTAAACCACCAGCAGCTGGCGACAATGGAGGCGAGAGGTTGAACGCACTGAGAAAGGAGGCCCATTGAGTGTACTGGTCAAGGGATTTCCAAAACCTGGAAATGATATTGCTTGGAAGTAACCCCCTGGAACACAATTGGACTTACCCTTGAGTAAGCAACTTAAACAGAATTCTGCTGCACAAGGTACAGAAATAGGAACAACACATAACACTTGAAGTAGAATGTCATGGATATGATGTATAACATTACCATTTTTCATTCCTGGCAAATCAATACTCTCGAAATATCTCTGTCTTCCTTTGCCCACTGAGACAAGCTTTAATTATACCAGAATTAAATGGAAAAAGAACTGATATAGTGTGGCAAGTGTAGAAGAATTCCTAGTATTAAGCATGAATAGCATTTTTAAATTTGATTTGATTGCTGTGAAGGATTACAATCACTCAGTAATAACTGATTGCTTAGAATCAGGATTCTGTCAAATCTTTGATAATGCATTGTCCCTTACAAATGGTTCTGTGAAGCTATTTTGAGTTACTAGGTAACTTTTATTTTTGATTGATGGTCAAGATTACAAATACAGTCTAGTATTGATTGGATTTTCCTGTTTTTAAACTTTCATACAGGAATATGACACATGGCTTTGTTATCCCTTCCATATGGAGAACTAATGCAAAGTGGAAGACTGTCCGTTGTTCACCTACACCCAACTTAGTGTCCACTCAGTGTTTGTCAAAATAATGAAAGGGGATACAGTTATATGTAAAGAGTGCTCTGTTGAAAGTCCCTTACAGGCCTTTACTAAATGTGCAAAAGTCAAAAGAGGCACAGCTACTCTGAGATTTAATGCTGGACATGAAAACAGGACACAGAGTTATTAGGGTTACTTAGGCAAAAGATCATTTCTTATGACATTTCCCCCTATACAAATACAGAGGAAAACTATAGCACAAGGTTGTTGTTTGTAACAAGCATATGGTGTATAGGATATGCAGCTCTTCTTTGTTAATGCAACTAGGCCCAGTTCTCATGTAACGAAAACCCACTATTTGTTTAAATCATGGGTGCCTGTTTCACACAAGAGAGTGTAGCACCCTGTCTGTGCACCGCTGCTGCTCTGAACCTAGCTGGACTGCGTTGTTTTGGCAAGTTGCCTGAATTGATGAACCATAGTTATAGCAAGGATCCCACCTCCAGAAAGCCAGCAACATGGAGATAAAGTCTAAAGCAGAGTGCTGAAAGAACAGCAAATGAAAGAAAACAAGCCATGGGGAACTGTTATTTGTTTGCCATGTTTGAAAGCTGGAATCATGGTTTTGATTGTAACTGAGCTATCACTGGTTTCTAAACTATAATTGACACATACCATGATTTTATAGGAACTTTGAACAAAATCAGAACTTTTGAAACAAAGTTGATGAAAACTTGTTTTAAAGAACAAACAGATTCAGTATGGACTGTGGGGTTTGACCTATGCTGTCTGCCCCAGCTGCAGGGATTTTGAGAATCATATGGTGAACTGACAGGACCGCATATGATAAAAATGCTTTGTCAGAAACTGAAATTTGCAGTTGATTGCTGCAGTGTAATTTCTAGCAAAGGGTTAAAGGGGAAAGTTGGAATGGTGCATTACACTTTAAAACCAGCAAAATTAATTGAAGCTTAGAAACGTGGTTAACAGGATGAACTTTCCAGATTAAGTATTACTGGGGAAAGATGGAGAAAAGACCAGCTACAGTGCCTTGCAGAAGTATTCACCCTGGTCACTGTACACTTTGGGATTTCCCACATTTTGTTCTGTTACAGTCTGGAACAAACATGGATTTAATTGGCATTGTAACCATTTGATGTACACAGGCTACTTAACTCTACAAAGGTGCAAATTATTTTCATTGGTAAAGAAAACACAATATGGTAACAATGCAAACCCAATCCACTGTCCTACGTTCCTAAGTTGTCTGCTCAGAATACTGTATCAAAATTTCAATCAATTAACCTAACAAAAGAGTATTCCTTGTTACTTGCAGGTTGAAACAACAAAATGTGGAACAGGCAAAGTGCAGCTGGCTGCAAGGCACACACAAAACGAAAGGCAGGCAGAACAGGACAGTCATGAAAACAGAATTGTGGAGAAATGATAAAAAGGAAGAATGCAGTTTCTGTTACCTGTGAAGTACGCATTTAACCATCAAAGAAAAACCATTGCTATCATGCAGTTTCCTCTTCATGTGTGGGAATATGCCTTCCATACAGACTAAGTGGCTCCTGAAATTCATTCAAACCCATCTCAGTCTTGGAAAGATCTATGATTCAAAGTTGCCTTGGCGGAGATGTCAAATGATAATGTCAATTGTCCATCTGAATATGTTATTTCCTTATCCATCAAGAACAAAGTAGATCTGCAAGACTCTTGCCCACATTCCTGCCAGGAGGTAGACAATCCTGAGCTAAAAGGACCACCAGTCCTTTCCAGTGTGGTGGTATCCAGTGGTGTGTCCTAGGTTCCTAAGGTGTCTGCTCAGAATACTGTACCAAGATTTCAATTATCACCTCAGTATTAATTAACCTAAGACAAGATTATTCCTTGTTCTCAAAACCAACTAGTAACACCAAAGGGCAGAAGAGAACATGTTCTGCACTCTGCCATCAGCCACTAAGAGGCCCCATTGGGAAACTACATGCCTTGCTTCCCAGAATAACATCAAGCCACGGAGAGAGCAATCTGGTCCATCTAATTGCCCGAGGAGTGCTTTCATGAGTGTGATTCCACCTCCTTCTGTAATAAATCACCTCCTGCTGCCTGTAGTCCTGGAACTTCAGGATCAAGGGGAAAGAATGCTCCAGACCCACCCATTGGCCAAATGGTCACCCACTGCTATTCAGCTACCACACCAGCAGGGGATATTGGTGTGGTCCAAAGTGCTTGAAATGCCTGTTCATTGCTCACTACCTTGTTCTATGCTTGAAAAACTCATCTCCCTCCTCTTGCTTTTTCCTCCATTCCCCTTCCATTGTGTGTCTTGCCTTCTTAGTTTGCAAGTCTGATGGTAGGGCCTCTCTCTCTCTTTTATCGATGTGAGATATAGTGGAAGGCAGTAATTGTCTGAAAACCAGGATAAAAAAAACAGTAAACGAAATGAATAAATAAATAACAGAAAAGAGAACTCAGCACTGGATGTCATTGTTCAACTAAGCTTTGATGTGGCCAGAAAGCAAGAACCTGTTTTTCTATTATTCGGTTTCACGCATTTAAAAGCAGTTTTCAAAATGGATGGGAACTACATGCATTACTTACAAGGACTTTGCAGAGCAGAAGTAGTTGTGTAGAAAGATAGAATTATCCATTTCTCCTGGTAACAAGGTTCAGAGTCCTACACAGAAATGAAGCACTCAGTGTCTCCACACAAGACCTTTTCCATATATGAGACCCCATGGAAAATCCTGAGAATTGGGGTGCATGAAAATACAACTTTTTCTGCTATTATAGTAGCAGTGTGGGATACCAGTCTTGCCACAATTCTGGCAGGAGCTCATCCAAATATATAGAATTCCACACCTGCTTCTAAAAGATATCAGATCCAAGGACACTATATGCTTGTAGTAATGCCTGCATTTTTAATTAAGTATGAAGGATTTATACATTAAAGATGCAATCCTATGCATGTTTATACAGAAGACGACCTATAAGTCCCAGTATGTTTGATTGGGCATGCCGGGAATTGCAGTCCTGCTCAATTTGTACATTTATACAAAATATACGTTAATTTGGGGAAAAGGCAGAAAATGACACATTCCTTCCCATTTTTCAAAACAGCAACACACACCAGGGCCATACAAATGTATGCACATCAGCCTTTTATTCCATAAGTCAACAATGTCATTTCATAGGGTAAAATCAATAAATAATGATTAATCAATAAATGTAAAACCCCTCTCTTTGGCATTGGACAGTACTCTTCTGCTCAAACTATAGGCTATGTAGAACAGTTTCTTCAGAAATAATTCCTCACTACAACATAGTGACTTGTAAAAATTACAAGTATTCCCTTAAAGTTAAACAAAACCTATGCACAGATTTTGCACTGCAAGCTGGACATAATGTTGGGGGGAAAGTGTCAAAGAGGCAATGGATGCTATACTTCCAAAGCACATGCCACTGCATCTTCTCTTAAAAGACAAAAACTATTCAATCTTTCCACTCAGGAAAGTCAGAACTGTACCAGGAATGATAAAGTTTATTTCACAAATAATTTAAACTTCCCCTTACCCTTTCCCAAAATATTAAGTAATCACTTCTAAGTAACTTACAGACCCAAAACATAACATGGTTGCACATTGCTTAAATAATAAGCAGCATATCTTAAGGTTAAAACAAAATGAAACAAAACACAAGATAATTTTTAAATGCTATGATTAGACATGGTTAAATTTGTTTTGAGATGACTTTTAAAACAAACAGTTAAAGCCAGCGTGTTTGACATCATTCATTAGCCAGTAAAAACACTGAAGGCTTAAAAAAATCAGAGACCAAATTAAGATGTTAAAAGTAGTGTTCAGTGCTGAAAATAAATTGGAATGTTCAGATGAAGTGCTAAAATGTATTCACGATTTATATACACACAACATAAAAGTTCCCATTTATGTGTTAAAACAATAAAAAGTCGATTTGCCTTCTATTATTTTCCTCTTTCAGAATGTATTAGCTTTTTGTTCTTCATTTACACTGAAATCAATTTGAAATATGAAAATTAATTCAATTACATAAAAAAGCCAGCTCTAGTAACTTAAGTACTCAAGCTTAATTGTATCAGTGATTTCTTTCCCCATTTCCAGTGCAAAACCAGTTATAATATATGTAAACTGGATTATTTTAAAGAATGTGGTCTTAGTCAATCATTATTCCTATAATGCAAAAGTCATTGCATATACACATATGTTTCAATATTAAGAGTGTATTTCAGTGCTTATCCATGAGTAGTTTCTTACAGCAAGCCCAGTCAGAAACACAAATCACAGTTCATTGATTTCTGAGTGTAACATTGCTATAAATTCTAGGTATCCATGTGCAAATCCTTCTGTTTTGTTAGTATTCTATTGATATCTGCAGTCAGAATTTTCCAGTAGTTTCTTCCACAATACCCCCCACCCCCATCTTCATAATCTTACTCATATAAATTATGGTCTGGTAACACTTTGTTGATACAATCAAGTACCATGTGTGCGACTGTCTGTCCACATTATACAGAGGATTTCGATGTAAGAAGAACCAAGGACCATTTATCTTCATGTGCTGCTCCTAGCAAACATACGGTCTCCTCTCAGGGTGAGGTGTTGTAGCTGGTACTGAAGCACTTCCGTATCAGCTGGTTCCTTGATGTTCATTCTGTCTAAATTGAGGTAGTCTAGGGATTTAGAGTGAGCCCTTTTACCTTTGAAAAGGCAAAGAGGCAAAGGACCATGAAACGCCTTGTAGGGTTCATAAGGTACAGGCTTGTTGCACTTATCCCCTGAGCTGGGCATCCGTCGCCTTCTACGGCCATTGATTGCTGGGATCTCATAAGGCTGGTAATATCTGCTTCTAGCTTTACACATCCGGGAGGAGCGGGAAAGTCCTGAATCAAGCTGCTTGGAACGCAAGGTAGGCACTACCGCTTCTACTTTCTTCTCCTCCCCTACAGTGCACTTCTGGGCTAATTTCAGAAGTTCCTCCCCTGTAGTGAAGCCAACCAAGTAGTTGGAATCCATGTGGAGGATCTGATAGCCTGAAACAGTCTGGTGCATTGGCGAACATGGTGTGCTGGAGCAGCGAGGTTTCTCAGAGTCTGTCTTGCCTGTGGCACTCACCTCAGCAATAGGCAAGGGGAGAGTTGCTAGAACAGACCTAGATTCTCCATTAATGTCAACTTCCATTTTAAATATGAATCCACTAGCCTAGAAACATAAAAACAATCATATTAGTGTGATGGAATACATAGAGATATGAAACAATTTTTCTTAGGGTGCCATTTTTAAAATGACCCCCTTCCCAGGACCTTTCATGGCAGAAGCGTCCACAGCCAAAGTGTACCAGTGTGCTGTAATGAACAGAAAATGACCAGGATTAAGAGTTCCACCTTTGCCATAAACTTGCACTGGGGCCTTGAATAAGTTCGTTATCTCTGAGGCTCAATTCTCAAACCCTGCACATAAAGTGGAAACATTATCAGTTACTCTTGATAGCAGTTAATTGTGAAGGCACACGTAACACCCTTTGTAGAGTACTACTGCAACAGTAAGAGTGAGCCCCTTCACTTGGTACTGGAGAAGATCAGGGGAAACATGCTCCTTTATCCACAGAAAGATGTGGAACTCGGGACTAGTTAGAAAACAGCAACAAATATATATAAAATTATACATACTCCCATATATAAGAACCTGAATTGTAGATGTGAAGGTCAAAAGGTCACCTGCCTTATTTTTACTGGCTAAGTAACCTTTTAAAAGAGAGAAGGTGCGGCCACGTTTTAGAGGAATGGTTAGCTTTCCTTCTTCAGACAACTTCCTTTAAGCTCATCTGACTTTGTACAGCTCCTGTTCAAGCTCTGTTGGAACAATTTGGAGTCCAAGAGCCCAGCTAAGCAAGGAATCTAATTAAGGTCCTGAACATTACTGTCAGTGGTGACTCTCGTTTCTGCAGAAAGTCTCTGCTTCCAACTCTCAATGGACCAGACCACATTATATTTTCAGTGTTGGGCTCAAAGTGAGAACAAAGACATATTCTCACAAAAACCATCTAAAAGTAGATGAAATAAGGCTATGGTGACCTTTAATTTGTGCTCATCATGAAATGTTCAGATAGCTGACTACCCAACAGAGAATCAGCGACCTTGACTGAATCTACTTCATTGCATACAAAGATGATCAGGTGAATGTAAAGACATCTTAGAAAATTACATGCATTGAATCTACTTACTGTCTGCAAATCAAGCTACAAAAATGATTTGAGTCTTCAGAACTGAGTCTTCAGTTGTGGGTGAGAGAGAAAGATACACACACACAAATGTGAATATACGCCCTCAATGATGTGCATTTGTGATTTCTCTTTCAGTCGTATCCACAAATCCTTGGACACACCTTGTGTGAACATCAATAGGATCTATTGTTTACTTCACAATTTGATATTTTATGTCTTATCTGAATGCGTATAATAGGCATAACCTTCCACAGTTTTAACCATCATAAAATTGAAAAGTTCTGTCTCCAACATCATATGCAATATCTAGCCTCTTCTTGATTCATTATTTTAGGCAACCATGAAAAAGACATATTACCATCAAAAGTCATAAATATATGTATGTACACCACAGAGAGAAGCACCATCTAAACTGAAGGGCAAACCCTGAAAAAGTTTTAACGTTAATGTTATATTTATGCAGGCAGATAGAAACTTTGCATAGTTCTTTACAATTGCTCTTCTTTATGAGACTAGAAACACAGTACATATGCACAACAGAGCTTAAATTCTTACTGAAGTGTTCCTCAAAACAAATCCACAAAAGCTATCCTGAACAGAGAGCCCCTTTCCAGTTTCTGGATGTTTCTTGATCTATCATTGTCTCATGAAAAGATCTGATTTTGACCAATCAAGCCCTACATATCAAAGTTTGGATTCTACAGAAATTAAAAGACTTCTCCTCCTCCCCTCTATCTCACTGCTAGATGTTAGCTCAAGCTTCCCTTGATTATAACCATCAATATACGGAAAACAAGGTCATAAACAGAGCCATTCTCCATTTTAAGCATTTTGTGTCTTCTTAGGCACACACAGATTAGGAGAAAACAAAGTTGGGGCAGGAGGATAAGGTACAAATTTAGTTTATGGTATACAGTGATATGGGAGTGACCTTATTGAAGTACATCTCTGTGCAGGGTCTCAGTAGACATTAATTAGATAGCCCTGTAAATTAATAGTAAACTGCACAGAAAATGACTTGCAAGTTTGTAGTAAAGTTTCTTTATCTCAGTAACAGAATTCAAAACAGCACTGGTTCAAAATACTAAAAGCAGTATTTCACCAAGGACTTTAAAAAGCTGTAATCATAGTAGTGCTTTGTATAGAGCAGTCCCAGTGAAGTTAATTTTATAGGTATTGTTCTAGCAGGCACCAGGGAATCCTCAACACCATTAGGAGGCAAGTCATCCCCAGCCTCATTAGCTTATGTGGTGCTAACATAATGAACCCATTTTATACTCAAAGTTCAACAAGCAGATGCCAAAGACAAGATCCAAGATCTTTCTGCCTCTATTTAAATACACACAAAGTTGTGCCGAGGTACATATAAAAAGTACGTGGTGCAAAACAGTATCTCTAAAAACCAAGGACTGGATATGCAAGGAGTAAGAGCCAAATGCACTCCAAAATAAGAGAGTAAGTGAGGCATAGTGGTTAAGAGTGCAGGACTGGGTCTTAGGAGATCTGGGTTCCAGTCCCCGATCAGCCATGGAGCCCACTGGGTGACTTTGGGCCTGTCACAAGCTCTCAAGCCAGCCTGTTGCTGTTGTGAGGATAAAGCTGAAGGGAGCTGCGTTATGTAAGCTGCCTTGAATCCTTTCAAAGGAAAAAATGGTGAGGTACAAATATAATAATTTAATATATTTTTTAAAAAAATATTTGTTTGAAAAATTAGAAATTAAGGGCCAAACAAAATGAGATGCCATTCACACATTTAACATGTATGTCAATTGACTTTTAAAAGTAACCAGCAGCAACCCCACACCAGCTAGAACCTTCACTGTGGGCACCAGCCAGCTCTGCCTCTGCACTTGCTATCTGTCTTTCAAGAATAGGTTCCAGTGGAGAAAGCAAAGACTTTGTGCCAACGGCAATAGCAAGCACTGTCTGGATCATAAACACAGTGGTGAAAAGACGGTTAAAAGCTCCCGGATCAGGTCCCCACACATGTTATCAACTTTTTAAAAGCCATTAGTGCAATTGCTAAGTGTGTAAATGACAATTCGTCTAATTTGGCCCAAGAATGGTCAGATTATATTTGTCCTGCATAGATAACAACATTTCTGAGCCTCACCACTTGCAGCTCTTCAAGGACTGAAACTCCCATCTTCTGTAAGCTAGCATAGACATTGGCCACACTGGCTGGAGGGGAACAGGGGCCCAATGCACAAGGAGGGCACCAGGTTGGGAAAGGCTGAGTGAAAGATGAATGTGGGAAGAGGTGCTTCTGGAATACATATTACATTTTACATTATGCTGAAGAGTCAGTATTCAACTAGCATGTTAACTAAGTGTGCTAAAAAAAAAGCTGGATGCACTTTCTGAAGATCACAGCAGAAACTTGTTAAACTTTAATATGTATGTACACAGACTCTCTGCCAAACCTACCTCTCAGAGTTGTGGGGATGATAAAATGGAAAGAGCAGGAGGATTATGTAAACTGCCTTGTGCTTCTCACAAGAGGAAGAAAGGGAGGATATAAATGTAATGCAACAAAAATGTTAGGAAAGCGTCTCATGCTGCAATTTTGGTTACAGTCTCTTCTACTAACAAGCTTTTGTAATATTTTCTATATTTTTTCCTGCATATATAATGCCAGAGGCCCAAGGATACAGGAATCTTTAATGGGATGTATGTGTATGCCTTTTTATAGAAAGTAATTTGTTGTTCGGCATGATGGCCTGCAGATGTAGGTGGTTATCTGGTTCTGCATTTAGATTATTTTGAAGTTGAGCCTTTGTGTCAGCTACTGTTCTATAAAGATAACAAGTATCCCAAAAATATTGCCTCACACAAACGTCTTACAGTAAATCTTAAAAGCTGAGAAAAAGAATATCACAATGATTTTTTTCAATATTCAGTTTCTGTAATAGCAGTGTGAGTGATGTGGCATGCGAGGGTGTGAGCACATGAGAATCAGTTGGTTCCTGACCTAATCATGCCTAGAATAGAACCACTGAAATCAATGGGAAAGGTAGTCATGACTAACTTAGGTCCCACTAATATTGATATGCAGACTTTGAAGCATAGCCAATTTTGGATCCAACCCAACAAGTGTAGGTTAGGTGGTACACCTACTTGGCTGGATGTGTACAGGATAAGAAACAGATGCTATTTGTGTTTGTGAGTGTCCTCTGTGTGTGAGTGAGCATGCAGGTGTGCATGTAGCAGAAAGACAGGATGGTGCTTTGCATAGGCATGTATGACAGAGAAACAATGCACACGCACACAATCCCAGAAGGAATATTCTAGCCCAAGGAGAGTTGTGCGTGCACAAAAAAGAACTTACAGTGGTGTGTGAGAACAAGAAAGAAAAAGAATATTATGGATTGCCTTGTTTCCACCTTGGTTCTACTAACCACAGACCAACAGCTTTTTTCCCTTTTGCTTTCCTGAAGCTGAGTCATCTGAATGTCACTCCTGACTATAACCTCACTCCCAAGGAATTGTCCCTCACTGCATGAAAAGGGGCCGATTTTACAAGCTATCAACAGCAAAGTCACACATGGCACACATGCACAGAGATCCATCCATCCATACATACTTCCCCTTGGCCAGGAGTAATGAGCCAACTGCATGAAAGACACTCTTGGTGGTCTGGCTTTAGAAAGCATACCAGTCCTTAAAGTGCCAAGAAATGGATACACCAAACCATCTTCCCAGGGCAGAATCTCTCATCTCCCTATCAGTCCATGCAACACAGACTGGAAGTCCATGCTGTAAGCCAGCCTTCTCTAACCTGATGCATTCCAGCTGCTTGGAGTTACAATTCCCATCATCCTAATCATTAACCAGGCTGGCTAGGGATGATGGGATCTGTAGTCCCCCCCCCCCCCCCGCAGTCACCAGGCTGGGGAAGGCTGATGTAAAGAGCAGCAGCCCATCATTCTATATGCTCCCATATAACTGGAAGTGCCTGATCCTGCCTAATCTCGGAAGCTAAGCAGGGTCAGGCCTGGTTGAAATCTGGATAGGTGATTTAAATGTTGTGAACTGCCTAGAGAACTTTGGCTATGGGTGGTATAGAAATGTAATAATAATAATAATGATCATAATAATAAGATGATGATGAAGATGAAATGCAGTGCCCTGTGCATGACCCAAGACAGTCAAGAAAGAGGATGTAACTGAAATACCCTGGAACTGACACAAACCAAGGTCATACCAGAATGTTTCTTCAATAATGGACCATGTCCATACTGTCCTGGAAAAGACACCAAGATCTTCACAGCTACATAAAATTAAAAGGAAGGCACCAGAGATATTCTTTGACCTCTATTTATCATGTAAAATATATAACTGTTGACTTCCTTACAGAGGCAATAATTAAAATGGGCTCCTTGTGAAAATACAGTTGCATCGTCTAGCCTGGGTCCTTATCCACTTCTCACCCAGCCACAGATGTTTCCTTATCATGTTAGTTGTGTGCAGCTAGAGTCAAAAGCAATGGCTGAAAGCATTTATGTAACGCGTGCATATTCTAGCAGTTCATGGGATTTACTATGAGTCCCATGTCTGGTTAGGCAGCATGCATTATAAAATTCAGTCATATTTTCTCTCAAATTGCATTAAGTAGCTCACTTGAAACTTTGGAACATGTAACAAAATACTCTACATACTTTTAATAGCAGCCCTGTTCCGTAACAAGCTGGCTTTTTATGATCATTTGTGATGGCTTTCCCAACAAGAGCACAGACTGGTTCTCTGACAATGTACAGGCTCACCCACTGTAATCACAAACATGTGCTTTTTCCATTTCACGTTTGCGGATGCTGAATGTATAAAGGGGGTTCCCCAGGATCCCCCACCTGGCCCTGACCTCACCAGGGTACATATGCACAGGGATACCTCCTCGCAGAGACAAGACACCAACTTTAGAACCCTTCCATATGGAAGCCGATGATGCATCCGGGTCTACTGGGTGGGTCTAGCTAGCATATTCTCAGAAGCTCCTTTATGCCTTCATTCTCTAATGACTGAAAAGGGCTAATGTGTCTCATGAATTAACATGATTTGTACTTTAGCATATTTTTTGTCCTACACAAGCCACCCACCCCTCCTTTGCCACACACTCTGTACAAGGAGTGCAAGGCACAGTAAATCAAATTTCCTAAAAACTTGTTAAACATAATGGGTGGGTATGCACAACACATTACAACCCTTGGGAATTTTAACCATGCACTGTGTTTAAAATTCCTCTGTGCCTGAGAGATGATCAGGGGCTCTGCTGCCCCCCCTTGCTCAGTCCTCCTGCAGTATCCCAGGGCACACTGTGGTAGAATTGAGATGTCCCCTGAGCCACAGCAGGTCATTTAGTACTAACCAACAAAAAACAAAAAACTACCTCTGGGTAATCTGCATTTGGGAAAGTGAGGACAGTCCAGGGCCACATACCCTGCTGCCCAAACACCTGAAGATTCTGATGCAGTGGGTGCTTTCCACATCTCCATGTTGTTGAACATACAAACAAAAAATCATGAAAATATAGTTAGTGATGGGCTACAACACTGCAACTTGCCACGGACTTTTGTCTGCTTGGACACAGTGTGCATGTCAAATTACAGCTTTGCAGCCCACTGCCAGATATCCTTTAACTAATTCTATATTTTTTACAAGGTGGGGATGGGTGGACAGCACACTTTTCAGCAGAGTCCTTGGGGTGCTCCTGTTTCCCTGGGCTGCTCTCAACTTTACCCAGTGTGGATAACAAAGAGGCACAAGTTCACCCTAAAATCCCAGGGACCTGTAAAAATAGTGTTTGGGGAACACTCCCTCAACCCTCCCTTCAATCAGGATCCCCAGGGTGCTTAGCAAGTCCTAACTGCCCTAGTTTTGCAATATACCCCAACGGTACAGCACTGAGAGAAGTGGCAAAACTTGCATGTGTGGGATGAGGCTTCTGATTTAAAGGACAAGCCTGCCCCCAAAACAGGGGCATTCCCAAGCTTTTAAGTGTTGCCAAGGAGGGAGGAAGCCTTCTTCAGCAGTCTCTAAGTGCTTCAGGTACCTGGAAAGATGGTTGCCTACGAGTCTTTCTGCCACTCTTGTTTTCTGACCTAATCGTAGCTTACTTTGGTGTCTGCGTTTATTACAGGCTACAACAAACTTTAGCCCATTGGGGTGGTTCATAAGCCACCCCAGACTTAAAAACCACCCTGTGGGAAATTGCTGAAATAATTTATCACGGTAAACCACCATGGCTTAATGAGTTGCATGAGCCAGTTGGTGCCAGAAGCTGATTTCCAATTTTGCTCTCTTTAGAAAGCTATCAGGAAAATAGAGATAGGGAAACAACTTTTGGTGCTACAGAAAGATTTGTTATTTTGCACCCAAGTGTAATATTTCAGCAGGTTGCTGGATATATTGGTTATACTTTTTTTGGAATTCCATGTTTTTACTGAGCTAAATGCAGTCAACATTGATGCTTCTTTAAAAATTTAATGTTGATTTTAGTACTGCAGTTTTTGAAATTAATTGCCATTTTCTACATTCATATACTGGGAGCTGCTGCGGGAAAGAATTTATCTTAAAAGACAGCTTTCAAATATTTTAAATTAATAAATATTAACAAATTAATAATTAATAACATTAATGGTGAAATAATAGAACGAAAGGGTCCTGTGCTGCAAAATGGTGTCGATATGGAAAGTAAAAGGTGACATGCAGAAAATGGTACTGCTACAACTATCCAGCGGTTGTAAGATCTGAAAATATTCAGCCCTTGGACAAGTGTTTGCTTCCTGCTGAGTACAGGCTTTCCATTTCCAGAATTTAAACACTGCCTACATCTCCTTTGCAGCAACTTTGGGTACAAGTTCTCTATGCTAGGTCTCTTTCTGTCACCCAGATCTGAACCAGAGGAACTTGAGGCCTCTGAAAAAGAATGAGGGCAGGCCAGACACCGCGGGAGCCGGGCGAAACGAGACCCCACTCTGTTATGCAGAGGAATCGGTGGCTGCCAAGAGCTCTCCAGAGTGCTGCTGCCTTTTATGGACAATGAGCCAAGGCAGCAGCACCGAGGAGAGTCCTTGAAGCGCCCGCCCGCCCTCTCCCGCAAGCAGCGCACGCACTACACTTCAGCGCTATTCACTGGCACAGCTTTAGCCATCTCACTCGCTGGTGACAGAGATGCATGCGAGTAAGCGAACAGCAACAGAGGACGACTCCAGACTCCTGCCAGCTGCCTTACTCACGCTAAATTTGCAAACACACACAACACAGCCTAACGTCATTACTTGGGTGGCAAATAATTGCTTTTCTCAAGGCCTAGTAAAATAAAAGAAAGAGGCCGCGGTAAAATAGTGAACCAACAAAACTAACTAAAGGGCTTACCATTAAGCACAGGAATAAGACTGTTTATATTTTCATGGCACCGTACAAGTGTTGCATAACTAACACTTCATAAACAAACAGAACCATTTTTTTGTTCATATGCACCTGCTAACAAAAAATAAGACTCATACAAGTAGCCCTCGTCACTGGGGCACTGAAGATACACATTTAGTTGATGCATTAGACTCCAGCCTACACCCTTGGAAGCGCGTACACACGTGCGTGCGATGCATATTCCGATGGACTTTCCAACTTCACGCAAGCCCAACTACTTTCTGAATGTTTCGAAACCGTCTCTCTCCAGGTGTATCTCAAACCTCAGATTTGAGATACACACGGCGCTGCACGTATGCCAAGAACAAAACTCCCACCTGAACTGCATCGGGTGGAGTTCGGGGGCAATGCACACGCCGCGTGTTTACAAGGCACTTCTCGCTGCGCGTGCACGCGGTCACCCACGGACGCGATGCGCGGCGCCTCATTCGGTGCGGGGACGCGCGCGGGCGCGCGCACCCCCTCGTCCCGTTTCCTCGCCTTACCGGCCGCGCTGGTTCTCTTCTGCAGCGTCTGGAGCCCATTCTGCTCCCGGCTCTACGTGGGTGCGCGCGTGCGTGTGCATGTGTGTGGAGGAGGGGGTCCCCAGCCCCTGCAGCTGTGGGGCGCGCCCAGTGACACAGCCGCCCCCGGCTTCCCTTCCGCCCAGCCCACGAGCCTCCCATTGCAGGCATCGCCGCAGCCGCATCCCTACCTGCGCTCCAGGACGCCGAGGCCTGCGGGCCGCGTTCCGGCCGCCGGCGACGCGGGGATGGCGAGAGAGAAGAGGCCGGCCGCCCCTCCCGGCTCTCTTATTCGGCGAGCCTGGGGCGGGGTTTGTGGCCGGCGTCGCGAGGCAGCAGAGCCGCTCCCCGCCTCCGCTGCGCCTGCCCCTGCCGCGGCCCCGCCCGCCGCCGCCGCCGCCGCCGCCAGTTCCTTCCTTCCTGGCACGGCGGGGAAGGGCGAGAGCAGGAGCGCGCGGGCGCGCGGGCGGCTTCGGCCCAGGACCGCTGCAGGCTCGCCGGGACTCGGGGTGGCGTCGCTGCCCCTGGACGGCGGCAGTCTCAGGATATCTCTTCCTTTCCGTCTCCGGCCGACGCTGCCTTCCGTGCCTTGCTCCGGAGCCCGGCTCTGAGCGCAGCCTTGTGGAGCATGTGAAGTCATAAAGAAGCAAGAAGAGCGGTCATGTGGCACCTGAAAGTCGAAGCGGATTTTTACAGCGCCGTCCGCCTAGGCATCCCGCCAATCCCATCGAGGGGCTTACCCTGCTGCCTAGGATTGCATGCAGCCTTGTTGGTGGCATGAACTTGTCCGGTCCGCGACGCTTCTGCCATGCTAGGAGTCGGTTTATGGGTGCAATCGTGTGCATATGTAGACAGGGAAGTGGGGGATGCTGGGAGTTGTAGGACCGTTTTCTGTCTTAACACCATAGAATCGCGCCTTAAGCCTGCGTTGGGTTTTGTTGTGGAAGACAAGCTCGCCCGTTGGATATTGTCATCACAAAACACGGGAGAGAGTTGCTGCAACCATCAGGAATTAGGGGAATTATGTATTATATCTCTGTTCCGCTTTCTTTCAAGGACTCATGCCAGACTACATGCTTAGGCAACCCTATTGTAAGTCTCAGAACAACCCTGTGAAATGTAGGCTGGCAAGTAGTGACTGAACGGCCCAAAGACTTTCAGGGCTAGTTGGTGACTTGAACTGGAATCTCTCCAATAATCTCAACTATTCATCGCTAATCCTTCAGTGTAATGTCGTTTCTCTTACTTTGCACTGCATGTCTTCTATGGCATTTCTTGCTCTTTGCTTTTGCAAAGATGCAAAATCCCACGATGCCAGTGCCTTAGTTCTTAAAAACCTATTGAAGTATCAGAGGCTTCTTCCCAACTCCATGATTTTTGATCAATTTACAATTATTTGGTATTAGTGACTAGTAGATATGAATAATAGTTCTAAAAAAAGATTTAAGTGACATATTGGGTGGGTTATTTTCTTAGATGTTTATTGCACAATAGACAAAACCAAAGTGCACCATTAGAAGGAAAAATCATAAACATTACAATTTTGAATAATAATTAAAATGATCTATAGGATTAGTTACATATACATTATATAGCCCTATGTGTTAATAAAACATGTTAGTATTATTAGGAATTAACATGCATAGATTTCAGCAAAGGCAACCCAAATAGTTATGCATTTATTCATTCATAGAATATGCCTAAAGAATACATATTCAAAGATCAAAAGTTTAATTAAATCTACCTATTATGCTATCACAGGTGGCTGTTTATTCTTCAGAATGTTGGAATATTGGTCCTATTATAATATTTCCCCTTCTTTCAACTAATTTTAAAGAGGCAGAAAACAAAAACGATGTAATGGCTGCTCCCCAATAACAGTTTGCCCCCTTTTTAAGCTGCCTTTTTGCTTTCCACTGACCTTTTAAAGGGACTGCTTTTGCACTGTCCTCACCTGAATTAGCCAAATGAATCAGTTGTTTTCCACATCTATGGCCTGTCTCAAAGACAAATAGGTCATGCTAAACTAAGGATAAAGTTTAGCATTTTAGGAAGCTATGTTGCCGCTGATACCTGTTGCTATGCCTATTACAAATCTTGGCAACAAACACTGGGCCTACTCATTTTACAGTATCCCTTTTTATTTTGTTTGGGTATGTGGTTGCTGAATGGCAGAGTACTGCTGGGATCACCAACTTGGTGCTTGGCACAAGGCTCCTGAACATCCCAATTTTTATTTGATTTAGTTTTTAAAATAATGTAAAAATTCACTAGGAGGCTAGCGTTTCACACAGTCTTTATTTCTAAGAATACCTCTTGGGTCACAGAGAAATTCTTACGAAGCAAAAATGTTGGGAACTAGAACTTGGCACTTCATTTTAAGGCATGCGAAGCCACCCACAAGAAATCAAAAAGGTATGTTATGGATAAGGAGTGTCCTGTAGACTGGAAGGAGTGGTGAGGAGTGACCTGCTGATTTGCCTGTCTTGTGTACAAGAATGTGGGGGATTGATTCTTTGCATGTGCTTTCCTTGTGTTGCAGGGGGTTGGGGCATGGGATGTGTGGGATTCTTTTGCCTGATGTGGGTATGATGTCACAAGTTGTTTTTCCTCTGTGTATTTCTTTGACCACCATCACTTTGCCATCTGTGAAATGGGTATTTTTTGTGCATACGTCGAGGGCAGCTATATCATTTGCATTTGGGACTCAGAGCCTGTCTCTGCCTTGCACTTAGTTTTTTGATGAAGTTACTGGTCTTAAAATGTACGTATGTCCTGCTCAGCTATGGTACATTGTCATTAAGGATGCAAGGTGACTTCTATTTTTTGCATGTCCTTTATTTCTCACAAGGAAGACTGTAAGCCTTTGTAAGGCATTCTGGGAGCCTTTTTGGCAGGAAAATTGATTAAAAAGCAGCTGTTCTCATTGTGGCAAAGCAGCTCCCCAGAAGATCCCTCAAGCAGGATGGGTACAAGAATTCCATCTGCCCAAGTTCCTCAGCAACTGGTGTACATAGGCGTACTGCCTTTGTTACCAGAGATAACACAGAGTCAGTAAAACTAATAACCCTTGATAACCTTCTCCTTTACAAATTTGTCCAATTCTCTTTTAAACCCATCCAAATTGGTGGCCATCACTGCTTCCTGTGGCAGTGAATCCCATAGTCTAACAATGAAGAAGTACTTCCTTTAGCTGTCTTTACTGTCTCATCAAATCAGCTTCACCATGTTCAGCTCATATTTTCCCTTATTCACCATTTTGCTAAGCTAAACTGTCCCAGCTGTTATAACTGTTCTTCATAAGTGTTCCAACCCCTTGATCATTTTAGTTCTTTCCCTGCACTTTTTCTAACTCAGTAATGTCCTTTTCAAGTGTGACAACAGGAACTGTACACAATATTCTAAGTGTGGTCACCAAAGATTTCTGTACAGGGAATACAGCCTTGGAAGTTTTATTTTCAATTTGTTTCCTAACATGGAGTTTGCCTCCTTCAAAACAGCAGTACATTGGATTGACATTTTTGAGCTGTCCGCCACAACCCAAGGACCCTTTCTTGATCCATCAGGGCATATTCTGACCCCATCTGTCTATACTTGCATGTTGAGGCAAAAATATCTCAATTGCATTACTTTAGACTTGCTTACACTGAAATGCATTTGCCATTTTGATGCCCATTTCCTCAGCTTAGTAAGATCCCTTTAGAGCTTTTCACAATACTTTTTGGCTTTAATCACATTTTTTTTCGTGTCATAAGCAAGCTTGGGTCATTTCACTGTTTACTCCTAGCTCTGAATCATTTATGAATGGGTTGAAAAAATTACTCATGACTGCTGAGTTTGGTCAGGATTCTGCTACGAGCCTTTTGAAAGTCCAAGTAAACAATGTCTACTGGATTGCTCTATCCACCTTGATACCCTCAAAGAACTCTTAGAGGTTAGTGAGGCAGGACGCATCTTTATGGAAGCCATGTTGATACTTTTTTAGCAGAGCTTGTTCCTCTCTGTGCTTTAATAATGCTTTCAACCAATTTACTGAGAACAGATGTTAAGCTATTTTTCCCAGATCTCGTGGGATCCCTTTTACATGCTGTTACATTGACTATTCTTAAGGTTTCTGGTACAAAGGGTGATCTCAGGGACATGTTTTTGTAAGGTCGATGATTTTGTATTGCTCTCTTGAAGAACTCTAGGATGCTTCCAATTAGTAATACATCAGCAATTTTCTTTAAACACAATACAAATATTCTATTTCTATCTTAATGCTAGAATTTGATTTATATCCCACTTTTATAATGAACTCAAGTGGCTTACATCTTTCTCTTCCTTGTGCTCTCCATCTAGCCCCACAACAACCCTGTGAGGTATGTTGGGCCAAGAGTCTGTGACTGGCCCAAAGTTACCTAGTTGGCTCTATGACTGAGCAGGGACTAGAAGCCAGTTGGCCTGAGTCTGAGTCCCGTGTTCTTAACCACTAGCCAAACTGGTTCTAATATTTAAAATCACATCAGTATTGGTATTTGCAATTGATAATTCTGTCTCAATTATCTAATCTGAAACACTTCACATTTCTTAGTTACACTTCAGCTAACATATCATTTTAATACCATGACATATAGGGGCTTTTTTTTTGGGGGGGGGGAGGTTTGGGAAAATCATCCTTTAATGAAAAGTGCTTAGAGGTCATGAGAATCCACATGTATTAAAGTGAGGACAGCTAGATGTATTCTTATTATTTCTTCATGGCTGTATTAAAAGGTGAAAGCTCTATTACAATTTTTCTGCATGCATATATATCCCCCACAAGCTTAGTTCTTAGAAAAAATGTGTACAGCCTAAAGTGTTCTCCTATATGGAACATCCTAAATCCTTCCAACGTTAATGGAGGTGTTTTATTGCATTAAGTATTACACTATAGTAGAACAGGAAAATAAAGTGAAACTCCAGAAATCTTTATTAGAAAGGAACCAGGAGAACTGCTGTGTGTTGTTGACTCTCTTTATTTAAGAACACATAAATTATTATGCCAAAGCTTTGGTTGATTGGAATGATGTGCACACATACATTGAAATATTTTCTTTTAGAAAAACAGTAAACATGACATGTACATTCAGAGGTGAGCAAGTCAAACATCACCCATATTAAAAATTTACACTGTATAAAATGAAATGTTTGCAATGAGAAGTTGAGGACTGGTCCTCAATTTGGTATCTTAAACAGAACTTAAGAATTTCTCATATGACCTCATGTGAAATATGCACAGCAATGCCATGGCAAGTTTATTAAGCAATTTTAGAATTGGAGAATTGCTGGATGACCACAAGAGCTTTATTCTTAACAATTCTATTGAAGCTTGGCCTCCTGAGATTCCACAGGAGAATATTGCTGTCCATAAGAGTCATATTAACATTAGTTACTGTAATTATCATAAATATTCTAATAGGCATTTAATAGTTCATCAGGCCACAAGATAAGTCATAGGACTACTGCTACGTAGGGGAAGTATCCCAGTCAACAATATCACTGTAAATTAGGTTGTGCTAGAGATCACTTGACACTAGTACAATGTAATTTACATTTATGCTACTTTTGACTTGGATACTGCCCAGAATAGTGACTGGCAAACCTGAATATTATTTTATTATTTCAAAAGCACACTTTGAGCTTCTCAAGATTTGTATAGCACTATAAAATCTTAAAATTGTCTTTAACCACTGTCTGCAAAGAATAGAGACAATGACAGGGACAATGGCTGTAAATATAGATTATGCCCAAGAGTTGAGACAGTAATTCTATAGATTTGGTAATGCTGTGCTTTCTTTTAATATGAAAACATGACAAGAAATATTATCTGCAGACATATCAAGTTATTAGCATGAAATTTTAACAGACCAGCTGTTTCTGTCTTTATAAATCCTGTAATCCACATGTAGGCTGCTTATTTTCAGAAACCTGTAAAGAAAGCCATTTTTTTCAATAAAACAGAAGAACCTTTAGGAAGAATGTAAACAGAAAGTTATTTTAGGACAGGAGGCCATACATTAAAGCACAGACATTAACAATCAAACTATATTTGAATGTTAACATCTGATGTAAACATACAAGGATGTACTATCCATAACTGACCCTGGCATGCAGAAACAGAAAAAAATATTGAACAGCAAAACAATGTTCTCTTTGGAAATGTAGTTAAATAAGAGATGTTCCCAGATCAAGACTGAGTGTGACAGGTGTCCATTTAGGGCAAGGTATTAATAATTAACACATGAACACATGAACTTTGGACGATAGCTCTTTAACCGCCTTAGAACTAAGAAAGTGGCAATGAGTCTCCCTACTTCTGCCTCAAAGCAGCAGGAACGAAGTGATTTTCACAGGAGCCATGTCTAAGGGAGATGGGGAAGAGAACCATCCAGTTCTGGCACAAGACCTAAATCCCACGTCTGAATCCACTTGATGTAAACATGTCTGCATGGAGGGGGTCAAGACCAACCTCTTGCTCTTTACAGCAGTTGTGGTTGAGGGAGAAGTGACAAAGAACATAATTGAGAGTGAGTTTCTCAAACTAATGCTAGGACCTTGAGAACGGGAAGTAAAATGACTTGCTTGTTATTCTATTTGTATTTAGGTGGTTCAAAACGATTTGATACATTTAGGATAATGGTCTCTATAGTTTGTATGGAGCACCTTCAAATTAAGAATGCATTTATAATAGATGAGAAACCATCACTCACTGAGCTGTTTTAAGGGACTGGCATTCAAGAAGGGAGCTATTAACCAGACCCATGTTAATGTATCTTTGTGCTGAAAAAATAATCTTTCTTGCCTTGGCTTTTGAAAAGGCCTGTTGCAGATTGGAAAAAGGTAGTACCTTGTTATATTTCTGTTAACTTCCTGTCTCTTTCCTGGCTGCTTTTGCAATATGAACCAATAGACTAAGCTCTTTTGGTTTCTGTGCATATTTAAGAAAGAAAAAAGATGGAAAAGATTTTTGTGCAGTTTGTCTGTTAAAGATGACAAGTTCATTAAAATTATGGGTGGAAACTTGTTTTCATAGTTTAGAAACAATTCACCTTTACCTAGAATATATACAATATATGCACTGCAGCAATAATTTTATATACTGGGAAACACAGACAAAAATGAGTATCTTTTGAAAAGCAACTTTTTTTCCTGCAATGTACATGGTAAAAGATGGCAATGGCAGTTCCTTCCAGCTTCTCACAAACTTCTTCATTTATTCTGGGACAGTTTAACCACCAAAGTTATACAAGTATTCTTTTAACCCTTTTTTATTATTTTATGATGCGCTCAAACATCAGGAGGTGAAGGACCACTGGAACCTGCATATAAGCAAAACACAAGAATGTTTCTAATTGGAAAAAATGACAATTGACATGATCTTGCCTAACTATAGTTTCCACTGATTTCAGGGTGTGAAACATAAACACACGGTTATCTCTCTGATTCGAATGAATACTGAAACATCCTTAACTTTGTTTGGGCTATGCCATAACTAAATCCCAAATTAAATAGGATAGAACTACTTTCAATGAGGTTCAGTTATTTGGGAATATGGGAATAAATATTTTTTACCATTTATATTTATATCCCTGCCTATCCTATATATTTGGGATATTTTATGTTAAGTCTTATTGGTCTCCTTCTAACCCCTAAAACTTATGAATATGAATTCTGAGTTGCATCAGATATAATTCAAAACAGTACCAATATTCCAATATAAGTGCTCTTACTATCATGGCAGCCAACTGCTTCTTTTACAATGTGTATATTGCTAGTGAACACATAACTAAGAAATGCCTCTAAATTTGAGCCTTATGTATGTTTCTGGTTGAGCAAAATAAATTCTTTGGTTTAACTTGTCTGTTTTGTCAGTTAAAACACTGTTGTTAATTTTGTCTCTATACTGCCCAATAGTCAAAAGCTCTCTGGGCAGTTGACTACAATTCTTAAAAAACACAAAAATGGCAATACACTAAAAAAAGCATAAAATATCAACTATACAAAATGTAAAATAATTTAAGCAGGTAGAACAGTATTTCCAGTTCAACTGGGCCAATTTAACTCCCCACCCTCACCAGTGCCTCAGCTAAGCCAGGTGGCCTTTCAGAACCAGTTACAAATACTGTGGGAAAACTTAGTGAGCACACTAATGAATCAAAGGGTATACTGCAGGTAGAGAGAGCAGGCCAGCAGAGAAGTGTCAGACACTTAAAGCAATCAGTCTTTAAACAGGAGGCTGTGCCATGAAAATATGGTTTCATCATTTCAGTTTGGAAGGGGAGGGATGCAGTTTGTAGGCAGCTTCTTATCGTTATTAATAACTGTTTCTATTGGATGGTATAAGAACTTGCTTCTTTTCTTCGTAAGTTCTGCAATATGCACTGAAAAGCTTAAAGCCAGCCTGGCATGTCAACATTTAGAAAGCCATTTTAATTAGAAAGCTGTTGTGTAGGTCTGGTTGGAAGGAAAATGGGAACACAGCCCCTTAGTGACCTTTGCCTCAAAGTTTATATTAGCACAAGTGTTTTTAATACAAAGGCATCATATTTTTAATGTGTAGTTTCCTATTGATATCCTAGGATTAAAGAAAGGCATGAGAAACAATCTGAACAGTGCTGGTCACTAGCTAAGTTGTAGGAAGTCATAGGCACCTGCTTGTGTGCAATAGCAGGTATATGCAGTTATATGGAAGGACCTTTTTTCCGTGTTCAGTAAGAGCATATTAAATCAAGATCTGCAGAGCACCTTGTTTCTTCAATTTTCAGTTACTGCTGGGAGCATCACCTTTTTAATAATTTCCCCTGATGTATAGCGCTTAATTATTTCAATTCTGTATGTCAAGCTCCCTCTTGCCAATTGAACTGCCATACATGGAGTACCAGTGTGAGTATGGGTTGCTTCTTGCCACCCTGTTATGTGACAATTGCTAAGGGAGAACTATTTATCCAGCCTATAATTAAATAATAATTGACAAAATATTTCACACAGAAAAAATAAGGAAATAAAATCAGGTAAGTGAAGAATCAAAGAGGCCAGACTATTTTAAATGTTCCTGAACTTAAAGCAAAAGTATATGGCTTCTCACAAAGTTATTAATAATTATACGCCTGAAAAGATATACACTACTCTGTTCTTACCCACCTGAGGAACATTTCTCTACAGATCGCCGATCCAAAAAGTCTTCAAATGATGTTGGTTGAATTTTAGCAGGTGTATATGTATTTAAAGAATCTTTTCTTGCTGATGTGGTATCCAGAGTTAGTGGAGAAGCTAAATGGGTTAAATAAACAAAGCTGTTTTGTCTTAATCTTGCACAAGCAATTTCATATATAAATGATGAAACAGTCATCTGCATAAAGACATCAATGGTCGTTACCTCCTAAAAACTGATGTTTTGGAAACATGGGTACATACATATCAGTGTAATGTGACTCATCCTAATTTCCAGGGATCTCCTTCCCCCAGGCCCCATTCTGGGACCCTATTCTACCATATTCAAAAGAGTTTCCCTAACAATTGTGTTGCATTATCCATTGTTCTAAATAAAACAGACCTGACTGTAGCTCTTCTAAGGTAATTAGGTGTGTGAGAGTTTTTGTCTGCCTTGAGGTGCATGGGATGGGGTGTTTGGGGAAAGATTTGTGTACATGCAGGGTTTTTACTCCTAACAGAATCTCCCTACTCTTGCAAATGCATTAGTAGCTTTCCTGGATTTTGAAAATTAGGCTCCAGTACAGAGATTGGACATGTGTATATGGTGTGTGGAAGCTACTAGGCATGCACTTCTTTGGACATTAACCATTTCCTACTACCAAACAACAGTTGGTACTAAATGATGTACTATATACCACACAAGACAAATAATAATGTTGTAATCATACTGTGTGACTAAATTAGATTTTCTGATACTTCAAGTACAGCTGAGAAGGCACCTGCAGTACGGGTGGTCCAATATGCCAGTTCATAGGGGAAATGAGGAAATACTTTGATTAAATTTGAGGCAGATTGATGCTTACACTGATGCTGCATCAATCCTACAGCAGGGAATACTAAGCCTGGTATTTTAATGGCATGTCTATGCTCAGAAGTGTTTTGCAACTCAACAAGTAGAAAATAAAGATAATTACAAAGAGAAACTCTGGATGACTCTGGAAAATTTTCACATGAAGTAGAAGCCACAATGGAGGCAAGAAATTCATCCACCTGCTTTAATGACAAGGAGTTATGGAGGGTTTCTAGAGGACAGATTGAAGGCACCATGGAATACAATTCAAAGCCTGAAACAAAAAGAAAAAAAACACACCACAGATTTCCACGTAAAAGGAAGCTATTATACTGGCAAGGAAGTGATCCACAGAACTGTGTATAATGGCCAGAACACAAAGAGACCTGTGTATGCCACGTATTCATAAGCACTTTTGAGCACCATAAGGTACTGATTTCCATTTTTGGCCCTACGTCAGCGAAAACTGCAAAAGTTTCCTTGACTTTCTGGAGTTTGCATAGGTTGCATATGTCACAGCACACACATGAGTTTACAGCAAGAAGGGGGGTGCATTCCAGTAATGTCTTTGGTATTCATCCAAGAAACTTTTGAATATAAACACATGCAAACATACTGTTACCACTTCAGATATTAAAAGCAATATGGAGCTCAACTACAAGGTATCAGAGTTTATAGTTCTACATATACATAATACAGAACATGCATAATTAATATGAATTTAAGGCAGCAATTTTACCACCACTTAAACAAATGAAGTCCCGCTTATCCACTGTATTGTCAGACGATAACTTTTCTAGGTGTCTGTCATCCCCTCACTATTTATAAACCTCAGTACAAATGAGACTTGAGAAATGAGTTAAGTATTTCATATGTACCAAAGGTTACTTCAGTAACTACCAAATCTGGATCTTTTTCTTCAAGTGGAAAAGTGGCTGTGAAAGATTTCAACCTGCAATTTTCTGAGCGAAAAGCCAAAGACAAACTTCTCTGATACATCTTCAAAATGCAAAATGTCTCCATATTATTTATACCATTTCATTCTTTTATAACTGTTACTCTCAAATCTCAAATAGATAAAAAGATCAGTGTTAGGCAATGTAAGTTCAGGCATACTGCTATCTCATAACCAATCATGCACACTTGCATTAACATTAATTTTTTAAAAGATATGCATATATAAACCACTTTGGTGAATGACGTTTGACAGTTCCCCATAAAAATATGTTCATATAAACTTTATATGGACAAATGTTTAAAGTAGGCTGTCAAAAAGCTTATACATTTTGAAAGACAAAACTAATATTACTTAGATCATTAATTTTCCTTTATTTTTGTAAGAAGGGTAGTTATTAAAGAAGTATTCATTTTTTTTAAATTCAAGGAACACTTAAAATGCAATATAACAAGAACTTTCATGACATATTCTCAGTTATTCTACTAGTTTTGTTATTGTTATCTGGGATCTCTTTTCAATCCTTACATTTTGAAAGATGGAACCCTACAACACTGACTATGCACAGTCCAATTCGCCAGTGAACCCTTTTTCCTTCATGTATTTATAGCAGCTAAACTTCTCTGTGTGACTGAAATTAATTTTATTTAAAATATAGTAATAAATCTTCTAAAATACAACACTACACATGCAGGCAAGCGCAAACCCTTTCTTTGCATTACAGTAAATTCCACAAGAACTGCAGCTTTCCCTGACTGGAGAAGTCCAAGAATATGCGTGAGTGCGTGTCTGTACAATTCCAAGAAGAAATTCAGTGGCAAGCTGTATTCTTTTTTAAAAATCTGTGCATATTTTAACTCCTAGTCTTTATTACTGTAGAAAAAGTGTTAAGTTAAAATGGAGCTTCACTTGATAGTATTTTCGCTTCCTGTAGCTCTGCCTACCTAGACAATGAGAACCAACTTGTCACTTATGCACATGCCCATCTTTTAGCACTTTCATTTTAGGGTTATTAGAAATGCTCTGAAACATTTGATGAGAGGACATTTCTATTGGGCTGAAAATGAAAAAAAGAAAACTATTCATTTGTGCCATGTCTTTTAAAAGAAGTTACATACATATGGGACAGTATTCATTCTAATGTTTGATGATCTGCTATTGTGAACTGACTTCTATTGCAACAAACCAGTTACCTTCAAAATGCAAGACAATGAAAGGGTTAGCGCAGCAATTTAGAAAGCCACCCTGCCGTCTTACATCTGAAAGCTATAAAGACATACCACTGGAGCCTAGAAATTCCTCAGAGGAAACGGACCAGCACCTAAAGAGGTCTGGATGTTCTGCATAGAGGCCCAGAAAATAAGGTAAAGCACTGTCAGTAGATACTAGTTTCACCATATTCTTTGAACTCAATATGAAAGGAGGGGGGAAACTGAAATGGATTAGAGGTTGCATTATTAAAGTTACAGAAGGCAAAGAAAAGTTGAGGCCCCAATTAAAAGATGAAGAAGCACTCCTCTATGTTTTCAAAGCAGATAGGGTCACCCCAAAGTATCAGGAAATACATTTTTGCTTCAAAGTAATACATAAAGCATGCAGTAAATTGTGAAAGATGAGAGGAAACACATTAAAATGGATCAGAGAAATCTGTATTAACATGGTTGAGATTGCAGAATATTAAACACATAAAGTTTAGATAAAATGTACTCAGCTACTGAAAACAGGAATTTTCCTAATAATGTATCTATGTAATGTTTAGCTCTCAAAACCCAACTTTCAACTGTTTTGCATTAATATACCAAGCTTCTCTTTCTTTGGATGACTATATTTTAGAGGAAATGTCCACATTTACCTTTTTCAAGGCCACAAATGTTTTTAATTTTGTAAGTTTAAATTATAGGTTCTTCATGACTGACATCCTATACTTCTATTATCTGTTTTCTATGCAGCAGATGCATGAGAAGGATTAAGCATAGATCTGCAATTTCAGTAAGACACAGAATTCTTATCACTGAGTTCCATCAGCTAACTGTTTTGGAAACATTTTGCATGAGGATGAAGAAGTTGAGGGTGACATTATCCTGGAGATATGGCAACTTAGTTCCTGCGATGAAAGCGGCAATGCTTGAGCAAAGTGTTTCATATGTGAGGGGAAAAGATACCCCCCAGTGTTCAATTTCAACAACAAAAATACAGTTTGCACTCATCCAGACTTCAAAAAGAAAATATATTGGGAAGCAACTGAGGTATGTCCATAAAGGGAGGGGAACTTAAATAAGTTAAGTAGTCTACTTGGAAACTATTTATTTATTAAAAGTTTTTCTATCACGTCCCCTACAAACGTCTTGGGACGGCTTACACTAGCAGATATATAGGTGTTCATGGGGGAAAAAAACCCTAAATTGCTCATATATCTGAGTTAATAGCATTTCACCTCAAGATTTCAGTATAAAGGACAACTGGAATTAAAAAGTATAGGATGATCAACAATTATTCTCTATGTTAGGTAAATGGAATCACCAGGTTCAAAGGCAAAATACCTTTGAGTCCGAAGACATCTACAGAAGTCATAAGTTTCAAGTTTTAGGCATGAGTTTCCTAGCACCATCTGCTGGTTGCTGTTGGAAACAGATTGCTAAAGTCGATGGGCCTTTGGCCTGATTTAGCAAGGCAGCTTTCATGCTGAGTTCCAAATACTCAGGACAAGAATACCCAACACAACAGGAAGGCAAAGAATATTATGAAGAAAAAGCTTGGAGCTGTTTAAAATCAGAAAGTTTTTCAAATATTCTAAGTATGGTTATTGCTTGAGTCATTAGGAGGAAAATGTATAATTAGCTATGGAATTCATTTTATTTTTTATATTTTCCCCCCAAATAATATTTGGATGTGTGATTTAAAAAAATAAAAAGGGAAGAAAGGATTCAAATATCAGTATATCTAATAACTGAACATATGGCCTTATGATCAGTTGGAATTAGGAGGAATGATGGTGGACACTACTATACACCCCATGTTTTGGAAGGGATGAAGCAAGGGAATATTTTTTTTTTAAAATAAAAGCAAAACATACCATTGGTTGGGTGTCGAGCAAATGAGATAGAAAATCTTTTAACAGCAGAACCACGTGTGGTGTCTGAGAAAGAGAAAAACAGGTACCTGAAATTCAAAACAGCTACCAAAGAGGGACATTTTAAGAAAGAACAGAAGAGGGTGGATGAAAAGGAGGTTAGAATTAAGTGGCATGCAGAAGGCATCGGGAAAAGCGCACAGGCCAAAACAGATTTCAAAAGAAATAAACTTTGCTTGTTGATACTACTAGATGTTTAATGGAGTGTAAAGTATGGGTGAGCTTGTGATTCTGGCACACAAAGCTATATGTGGATAAAATTTAATATAATGGAAGTGACATTAGGTGAAAAGGTACATATATTTTACCCTCAAGAATGTTAACAAGCATCGCAACAGCAGTGGAAATCTGATGCTGACATTTTTGTGCTATTGATTATCTGAAGCAGCAAACCTAACATTTTTGTACACTCACTTCCCCTCCCCCCATCCTTTTTAGTACCTCTTTCAAATATTAAGCTATTTCTCCTTCAAATTATCTAGTTCTTATGACATTTTCCATCAAATATCAAGAAATATTTACTAAAACACACAAGTTTAAGCAATAAGTTGCTTCCCCGCACCCAAATGCTGGTATTTTAAGTTGTATCTTTGTATCTATATGATGCTGTGTAGGGGCAAACAAAAATACATTCAGTTCAATCAATCAATAAACTCAGATGACACACCTATAAGTTTATATTGTTTTTATTGTAATCATGTTTTTGTAAAACACCTAGAAAAACTGAATTTATCAAACAGCTCATTAACAAAAGGAAGGAAGAAAGCAAGTTTTGAGAGACAAACAGCAAAAAACCTTATAGCTAATACTAGTGAATTAGTATGCTTAGGCTTATATTCAGTTAACAGACCTATGACTTTTCTGTCAATGTTTGATGTTTGCATGAATGGGTGTGTGTAACTGCATGTGCGAAAGTGTGCACATACCATCTATGCAGCCAGAAGAAGTCAGCTTTTTACGATGAGTACGAGCATAATCCTGTAGGTTAGGTGCACTTGAAGAACCCCCGAGCACTGAGGTGCTAAACAGGCTCGCACAGTGAGACCCTGATGGGAGTTAGAGAAAATACATACAGCAACCAGGTGTTCTTCCATTCACATTGGGGATGCATGCAGCATGCAAGCATGTCACCCTTACCACACAAAACGCAGTTTCTGGCAATGCCTTAGCCAGGTTCACAATATGCTTGTAATGTCTTAGTGGTACTTGTAGGATTCAACTATCATAATTTACTGTGCTTTTATAGTTCACAATTTTATAGTTCACAATTCCCTTTATTAATTATATGAAAGTCAAGGTTGGACTTTAAGGAAGGGATTTCATTTCATTTCTTGTTGACAGGCTGGCAAAGAAAAAAGTTGCCAGATGGAGATAATGTAAGATAAAAAGAGATAGGGAAGGGTGAAATACAAGATATTGTATTTTAAATTTGTAACCAAATCTTTAAAAATGAACACTGGAAATGGAAGTGAATCTCACTGATATTTATGGGATACGATCAAGATACACTTCCATTCCTAGACATTTCCTATGAAATATGCCTGGTATCTAAATGTATACTAAAATATATTACTTCTACATCACTAGAAAATAGACCTGTAGCAAAAACTCAAATGGTCACAAATGTTTGACTTTGGCAAATTTAACTACAGATCATTCTACAAATTGTTAAAATATATTTTGTTCCAAGTATTTTAATGTAAAATTTGTCTTAATATACAGATTAAAAATCACACTGAGGTATTTAATTTGCTATATTAAAATCTTATTTATGAAAAAGGATTCTTAACATAAAATACTACATGGCTTTACATTATGTGTCATATTCTAATTTTGATTTAAAAACCTGAAATGGAGGCTACATTAGGTGCAAATTTCCTATGATATGAAATTAAGTTCCATGGCACTTGCTCAAGAGACTCTTCTTATTTTTACCCTTTGAAACCTGGGCTATTTGCTTTCTAACCATAAACCACTGATTCAAAATTTCTGACACTTCCACCAATGACCAAACAGTGAGAAAAACATTACTAGCACATCTGATGAAACAAAGCCAATGAATGCCTGATCTGTGGCAAAAGCTCTGGAACTAAAGAAATACCTCCCCTTATGCACACAAATAGATCAGTCTTTATAAAACATGTTGAGACATATTACAGAGAGCAACACTGTAGATTTATTGAAAAAGTTAGAAAAATTAAACTCTCCTAATCAAGAGCATCTAACACCTGCATTTTGATAGGGAAGCTTTGATGCATTAAAAGCCAAATTTATACTAAAGAAGTACATAAACTAATGGACAAATGTAGATACAGCTTGCTTAACTATACTTAATTTTGTATATTTTTAATAGTGATACCTGTGAGTGTTATCATTTACATTTAAGAGCCCAAAATACTGTCAGTGTGCACTACTACTACAATACATTCCATAAGGAGAAATTAGAATTGCAGGGCTTGCCCATCATCTCTGCTAAAAGAACAATCCAATCCAGCTTCTCTTCCCCCTCAACTGTTTCCCCTTAATGAACTGTGCTACAGTAAGAACTGGACTTAAATTTACTTTCCTACCTTCCCTCATCACACTTTGATAAGATTGTAAAAGCCTGTGATCAGACCTATTCACAGTTAATGATCCCAGTTTAAGTTCTCCAGAGACTTTTCAACTGAAGAGTAGAGTAAAAACACTTTCAATAAATAAATCTTATATTATCACATATATATTCATTCTACAACACTTATCTGAAAATGATGCCTGAATTAAATACTGAGGGCTTGCTATAAGGAAACAGATACAACAGCTGAGTCTCTACACTGAAAGCTGTAGTCAATGGAATCTGGGGTAGTACAAAGAACTTTAGTTTGTTATCATTTTTCCAATTAAGAACAACAGAAAACTGAAAAAGTAAAGATGGTTTGATTCCCAGTATTTCTTCAACTTTTTCTAGTCCACAAAGGAAAACAAAATTCCAAAAGCCTAGAGGTGAAACATCTTGAAATCGTCTTTATTAATATGTCAAAAGAATACAACTTTGGTTCAAGTAGAAAAATCATCCCAATAACAGCAACAGACATTCTATTTTCAACGGCCCAATTGCTAATTTGTATTAAGGACATATTGTGTATCATCCCAACAGCAGTGTTGACCTTAAAAGATTGACAAGGTCATTGGTAGACCACAATGAACTTGCAATGTCTGTTTTAAAGGAACAACTTTAGAAAATTTATACATACCTATAGCACTTGTCTTCTGCTCTACAATAGTTCTTGGTGGTCGAAAGTGACTGTTGTTTTCCGATGGGACCTAGACAAAGGAAACAGATAAATAAGGTCAAAAACATATGAGTCAGCTTGTAGAGTCCATTAAGCTTGAAACAGCAGCCTGTATAAGACAGACAAATATTAATAAGCCATACAATGTGTTAGTAGAAATACCAAAATAATATGGAATTTCATGCAATATTGCTGAAGGGAATCCATTTTACTCATGAGATCTTTGCAATGAAGTGGTGCAAGCAGGCATTCATGATGAATACAGGACAGACACCAAGAAATATATGAAAACACAGACAACTGTGTCATTTTAGTTTACCAAATGAACACTCCTAAACTGCGCCTGTATTGGAAGGGAGAAAAAAAAAGGAAACACAGAACGGCTGATGAGGTCACCTTACAGTCACTGATCCATGCACAGGCTCTTTCAGTGTAAACTTCTGACGTTCACAGACTTTAACCTAAAACTCTTTTTCTATATCCAAACTCTTTGTAAGTCCAAGAGGAAATGGAAATTATACATTCTTTTGAAAAGAAGAAAAGGTATCTGGTTACAGGACATCATCCATTGTGTACTGTCAATAGGATTGTTTTAATTTTTTAGTACTGTGACTATTCTGTGTGTATGTGCGTAGTATTTCAGTAAATATCCTCAATACAAATTTCAGAATATTATGCATTACAATGGATGACATACTGTATTTTAAAAAGGAGTGGGAAAAGGATACCTCCAGGTAAGGAGTGGAGCAAATAATGATTAGTACTAATTATTTTTTTCTTGCATAGTTAATAGGCCACTTAAATAATTATATGCTAAGCCCATTTGTGAAATAGTAATATTGGATCCCAATTAATTTATTTCAAATGGCATTTTGTTTTGTTTATTAGAGAACCATTTTAAATGTACCTACCAAATTACTCAATGCTGCTTTTGTTGTTGTTGTTGTTGTTGTTTTTAAAGAAAAAAGTCTTAAAGGACAGCTAAGCCAAAGCTGATATCTGTTTCTTTAGGGAACTAACTAACTATATTCATCTTTACAGTGCTGAAAAGAAACCAATTCAAAATTCATCAATCCAAACCATTCAATAAAAATTGTGGAAAAAAAAACATGCAATTGCTTTTTTCCCCCCCGAAGCATTCTTGGAAGTAACTAGTATTTTTAAAAATCACGTTTTAATGACAGGTGAACTAATTTACTTTGAACAAAATCCAGAACAAGGGATTAGATGTCCTTAAAGACAGTTGGTTCGTCTTGGAATGCATAGTAATGTTGAATGAAGTAAAGTTTAAAAACCTGTTGCCATGAGCCAAAAATACTGGATGTGAAAGCCAATGATTTAGGGGACACAGGGGAAGAAGTGATTTGTTCCCCTGATCTGCGTCTTCGACGCCCAGTACCCACACCACTGGTGTAATGCAGCCAGGTACCAATACACTCTGGGCTAGACACACTCAGGGGGCTCTCTTCCTGGAAGTGAGAAAGGGGGCAAAAAAACAGCAAAGCATGCAACGTTAGATTCATAGCCAAATTATGAGAAAATAAAATACAGTTGTGTTTGCACCTTTTTCTAAATAGCTCTAATATTATACTGTAATGAGTAATATTTCCCGTATCAAAAATCACAAAACACAATCATTACTGTTCAGGTATTGGTTTAACAAAAGGTACTTTAGCAGTACCAATGGTCAATTTTCTGAACAAGTACAATTTTTTAAATTTACATGGGAATTTGTATGTACATATGGTTTGTCTTCCTCTCTTTCTTGCTGCATTTTCCTTCACTATTAATGTAGTACATGTATTTCAAGAAGTAAACAATTGTTTGGAAATGATAGAACTGGCCAACAGTAAAACAATTTTTTAACTCTACAGAGCTGTCTCAGTCTTTTCTAATAAATACACATCATGGAAATTTTGCCTTTATCCTGAATGCACATGCCAAATCTATCTTGAGCTCATCTTCCTTTCTCAGTTCTAGAACCAGCTAAATGGACCAAACCAAAAACCAGTAACAGGTTTGCATACCAAAAACACTGTCATAAATTACATGCGACTCTGAATCTATGATTCGGAAATAACTGAATTTCAATGGATATATGGTGTCAGAAGCAAAGAGATCACAAGAAATAAGGGCAAGAATAAATTACAGGTGTCTGTAAGCTCAATTCATATTTAGACAGCCCTCACCTTTGAAATTACATTTTTGTTGTTGTCCATTTTTTGTTCAATGGATTTCCTTCTATTTCATAATACTTAGCCTTTAAACAGTATTTTATCAAAGTATGCAACTATTATAAATTAAGCTAAAAACAATGTGACAATGTTTCTTTAAATGGATTCATGGTCTTAAGAAGAAAAAAAATGTTGTTAAAATCAAGCTAGGATTTTTGGCTATTCCTATATTCAAGTTTCAACTAAATATGTTAATTGAAATAAAATGAGTTATTAAATGATATGGAAAAAGTAGAATTCAAAAGTACAGGTGAAAAATTACAAGGTTATAAGTACACATGAACGTTTGGCCTATTGGAAAAATAAGTATTTTAATGATGTTCAAAGTATATCTCTTATTCTCTCATTTAAAAACTTTAAGCTTTTGAATTTTAATAAAAATATTTTTGTATTACTATAGAAATGCATATTCTAACTCCTTTCTGACAAAACTGTCATGAACAGTATCCCAAAGTTGTGCCCACAAGGCGAAACATGGATGTGGAGGGGAGAAAGAAACAGAACTTGATTTAAAGAGGCCATAACATTATCAACACCAGCCCTCATGGACTAGCAATGCAAAGCAAGCACTAAGAACTCCATTAGTCCACTTACTGTAACAAGATCTCAAGCCACCTACTGGGTGAAAAGAGGAGTGAATACTACATGTGGCCTTCAGACACCATGAAATGCTGGTATTATGTCAGTGATCAGTATTGAGCTGGTCCATGAACTCTTATACCCAAGACCCTTTAAGAAGGCCTCCCTTGATGACATGAGAGAAAAAGTAAGCCAAGCCCTGGAAACATGGTCCTTAGTTTACAACCAAGATTCAAGTTAATATTGACAATATGGATAAATAGCGAACAACAATAATTTTCTGCTATGAGGAAGAAAGTCCCAAACTAACAAATGAGTTACAGTCATTCCCAGCTCCATATACTGGTGACCAATACATTTACTAGATGGAGGGTGAGAGGGAATGAAGGCAGCCAAAGATGAGCACTGCTAAGACCTTTCATGGTTCAGCACTGAACAAAGGTAGTCTTTCCTTATTTCTGACCACTGTATGCCCACTCACAAAGCCAAACAGCACTAACCTAGATGATCACAAGAGTGACAAAAACAGGTTTCAACATGGCCATGGTCAACTGGCCCAGAACTGTGGCAGCCAAAGCTGTTTGCACCTTCAATCTACCTCTGCTGGTTCAAACTAAAAAGCAGAGAGCCTGGTTTTCAAAAACACAGTGGAATCATTTCCAGGTTACATAAATGCCTCAGGTTCTTCCACGTAAACACTGTCAACTGGTAAATCTCCTAGTAGACCATAATCCAAATGACAACGAGCTCTGCACACCCGGGGGTGGGCTCGGGTATTGTACTGGGTTTTTTGATGTGTGGTTCTGTATAGCACCCAGCAAACTACCTTTTAAACTGAGGAGAGTTTTAAGCAACTTGAAAAGTAATTTGGGGTCTTTTTTTCAAAGAATTTTTTTTAAAAAAATAATTAGATATGTGCAAGTTCATGCACACTTCTGAAGTGGGTCTTTCATTCCATCTTAACCTTAGAGTATGTTATACTTTCAACAGTTAAATAATAGTACTGAACTTATTCAGTGGTAACAAGGCACCAAATATTTGGATTTTTCTTATTTAGCATAGTCTTGCTCATGTAAGAAAATGGCACAAAGAGTTCCAGTCTGTGTGATAAACACTAATGGTTAGCACTCCGTGTGTAAGCATGTGAAGATAAGTGAGTGTGCTGGCTCTTGCCTACTCTTGCTTTGCTAAAGAGTCTAGGAATTCAGAATGCTGACCAGTTTAGGGTTAAATCAACATTTTAATCCATGGTTTGTTATTGGGATTCAAAACCCAGAGTACCAGGTTGCCACATGTTATGACAACAACCTTGTAATGAGATTCCTGGGTTATTCCCAAAGCAGATGTAGAACAGAAGTGACAAGCATGTAATACGCATGGCTAACTATAGGTCATTTAACCCATAATTCCCTGATTAATGTCTGCAGACCAGGACAGAATGTGACATATTATGACTAGAAAATACTGATAAAAGGAGCAACATGAGTGTTTGGTCATCAATTTCATTACTGTAAAGTAACCACCTAATTGTAACAGATTTCCTCCTATTATATAAGCCAAGAAGCCTCTGCATTTAAGATTATAAGAAAAAACATGCTGTTTTCACATTGCTAATATGTTTTCTTACCTTTCGGCATGTACCAATAAAATCCATAATATTGGGCAAAAGAGAAACAATAATATTCCCACAAAAGGAAAATAAATAAAATGGATTTATTTTATGTAGAATACATCTTGAGAAACTATATGCAAGCAATGTAGGTTAGTCAGCCTGAAGGACCATCTTAGACCTTATTAATCCAAAATCTATGAAACTGGTTAACTTTTGGTTATTAATTTATAGAAGTGTTTGAAGCACTAAGTCCTACTACTATATACTTTGCCATGCAATAAAAGATAACTGAATGTGGAAATGCATATCCTCATATGGGAGCCTATTCCAACCAAAGGTGAACACTGTGATATCAAAACTTACTTCCACTGAACCAATTTTCCTGGGCCTTGGAAGGGGTGACTTTCTGTGTATATGAATTGGATCTGACACCATTGGCTTGAACATCATTATAGATCGATCAGGTTCATCCCTTTTATAAGCATGCAATTCCTCATCACTGTCATTTCTATGAGAGTTTTTCTTTGAGCCATCGTTCTATAAGAAAAGCAATATTTCATGTGACGCAAAACTTCATCAGGCATATAGAAAGCCTCATTTTGATTAATATTAAGATTTATGGTTTTTATTTTAGCAACATCTTCTACACAATAGACCCTAAGATTGTAACCTTTCCTCATATAAGATTCAATCCATTCTTGTTTCCCATTCCTGCATATATTATACCATTTATTTTACTTTTACAGAATGCTTAAATTATATCATGGCAGACTGGTACATGTTAGATTTGTAGAAAATAAGTGGAACGGGTACAACTTTTTATTAAGCGGTTAACTGCTGCGAAATTATGCACAAGTCTGCTTGAATTTCATGTGTACAAGAATCTTTCCAAGAGCGCTTACCTCTCGTGAGGCAGGTCTGTAACCAAATCCTGATGGTAAATTTTTGTCTTCTTCACAGCCTTTAGCACCTGGACTAAAGTGTAACTCCACATGGAAACGTTCCTCTGATGAAAGCTCCTAAAGAAAATAGCCAATGCAGTTGAATCTATGTGTTTCAGTATGTATCATTGATTTTCTTATTTACAGATTATTCCCTTACCTTGTTTGGATCTTCATATAACATGATAACAATCTGAGTCATGTAATTGAGTTCACTGACAACATTGAGATAATCCATAGCTCGTTTCCACTGTTCATCTTTTGATGCCTAAAATCAGAAGTTCACCACAACTTCAGCATTCTAAGACTATGGGTTATTATCCCCTTTCAATCTCTACAGTCTTACTAAAAAATTTTAAAAAAGTTATTGGGCAGCTTAGAAAAAATAATAAGTACATAAATAAAGCATTTATAACCCTAAAACTACAGTTTCAGCTACTATGGAATAAGTCCCATTTACTTGTGAACAAACGGGTGTGGAATTGTGCTCCATGATCATTTCATTTATTACTGCAATTATTTATTTACAGAATCTTCTAGGCAAAAATAGGATTATAATATAAGATTTGGTGAAAATCTAAAAATAGGTAAGAAGGAAGGTTATACAGTTATACAGTACACAGTTCAGTTTCTACAGCAAAAAAAAAAAATCTACGAACAGGTCATACTTCTCTTCAGCAGGACTATTTGCATAGCATCAGTGAGAAGATTGCACTAGACTATGCCTGACTTTATAACATAAATTCTAAAAAATCAAGTGGAAGATATGAAAAGAGTTTAATTGCTTACAGTTGCCTGTTCCATGACTTTCAGAACAAATCAGGGCTAACAAAAGGTAACACAAATATTACAACTCATAGAAAAAGCCAATCAGAAAAATATATTATTTTAAGGATTCCACTATTCAAATGATTTTAGTTCAGCTGTATTTGCTCTCCAAACCTCAGAGATGATCAAATATTTTCCCATATTACTCCCAAGGGAGTGATATTTTCAGTATGTACAGAATACTCCTACCTAAAAATAATGAAATACATTCTAAGTTTCTAAAAGCATTGGGCATATATGGTTCAACTACCAAAACAGAAAACACTTACATCACATAAGGAACCATAACGAAGAGTTGACAGTAAAGAATGTACATGACTTTCACTGGTGAAGTATAGCCTCGTCCGAACATGACGTTCAGGAGACATTACCCCACTAGAATACCTAAGAAAAAAATCAGCCAAGAAAGTAAATAAATGAAGATACACCTGTTTTACAGGAACTGGAATATTTGTGCATTAAATCAAATAACTTAAAACTGCATTCCACCATTATAAAGTCTGAACATGCTAAATATCAAAAAAAAATTCAGAAGATTTCTCCTAACACTTATAAATTAGGCACAGGGTATTTATATCAAAAATGGCATAAAAATGGTTTAAATAAATAAATAAATGTAGAACCTGAAGCCCAGGAAACAAACCTGGCCTCGTTGGGGTCCTAGTCTGTATCTGTTGGAATCCCCAAATAGCCCCGGCACCACACTCTTTCCCCTGACCACTGATCATGTGATTTTTTTTTATTTTGTGCAGTATTTCTCCTTATTCTAAAAGGTGGAAATGTTCCGCTTAAGGCATAGCTACTGGAAGTAGGAGTATTATGCAAAAATATTGTGGGATATTTAATCCTGTGCCCTTTGCTCTTGGCTCTGCCCATGACTGCAATGACAATCCGACGGCTTCCCTGAAACAGAATTTTGTCCTTGAACTGAAAGAGGCCCAAATACCCCTGATGTTCATGTTAATCACCACATTCTGATACATTTTGTGAATGCTCATTTAACACATGACAAAATATAAGTTTTCAGCTTTTCCCTTTTTATATTTTTCCTGCTATTAATGAGCATTTTTTTGCATAATGTTACATAATTTTTGGAGTTCACATGCCCCACATATAATTAGGTATTGCTACCCAATTTATTGTTTCTCATTTACTTCTGTTCTCTCCCAAACAAGAACCCTTAGAGCAGTAGCTGACATCCCCAAAGGGTGTCTAAAGCCACTACTGCGCCCATGGACACCAGTTTTGGCACCTTCCAGTTTCCCTGCTATTCCTGTTTATTTTTTAATGTATCTATTCAGAAGGGAGATGCATACACACTCTAAACTGATACACTTGCTTCCAACTCTATCTTTTTCAAAAATGGTTTTAGGCCTCATATGGTGCATGGGTGCAGCCTGGTACTTCATAGTGAGGTGTACCTAGCTGCCCAGAAGAAGAAGGCGTAAGTGAGGAGGGAGTGGGCAGACAGGGAACATCCTTAAGGACTAGGGAATGTGGAAAATATCCTGAAGGACTAAAGGAGGTGGCAACAAAAAGTATGTGCTTGGCCTGTAGAGCATGTGTGTATTGCCATTCATTCATTCATACATACATTTATTTTGGGCATATGTGTTTATGTCTGGCACTCAGACCTCTGCCTTCTTTTCAGACTTTTGGACAAATTTCTTTTACCTCACCAATTTAGGTTCTGAAACTGATCCCAGCTGCAATCCTGATTCTAGCTTGAGAGCCATTAACCCTCCTCTTAAACTGAAGGGTTAAAAGAAAAAAAGAAAAAAATAGAATTATGTAGTATGTTAGCGTGTGTGCAGTGTAAGTAGTCTCATTTATGACAGCTTTACTGAACAGCTAGCTATCCAATAAACTTATCCTTATAAATTAACAGTAATGGGAATTTAGCAGGACCAAGTTTTCCAAGCAAAAAAGAGCTTACAAAGGATGAAGCTTGTTAACAGTATCATCATCTTGAGTCCTCTGAAGATCAGAGCGGATTTTTCTTAGCAGTGGATTGCAGTAACCTTTAGCAATCTCCAGTTTTTCTGCTTCAGTAATACCATATTCCTTGATGGGAAGGAAATGTTTATTGAAAATGAACTACAATGAATACCAGAAATTAGCTCTTGATTTAGACATCATTATATTATTTCTAATTCAAATATTTCTGCATTAGCATTAATATAGCAAGTACTGCACCAGCCACAGATAAGCAGGAGATATCTGCAGAAGTGAAGTAACTAATCCTTAGGTTGAGAACAGTGGGAGAAATCCACACAAACATCTTAACGATTATCCAATGCCCACTGAATGTTGATTAAGAGGGGGAAAGCTACAAACTGGTGGAAATATTAATTAAATGGAGAAGAAAGAAAGAAGCATGTGAATATAAAAAGAGCACAAAGAATTTTATACTATAAGTTGCGATAACAACCAATAATTTACATGGTCTTAAAAAGGAATAAGAAAATCCATGCAGTATTTGGCTGTCAAATGTACTACTGGTACTTACTCCACCTTGAGGAGCAAATGTAACATTCCCGTACCAATACCAGCTACTTGGAAACAAGAGGAAAGGAGGGCTATAGCTCTTGTATCCTGCTTTTGGGCTTATTATAGATGCTGGACAAGGTAGGTCTTTGGTACAATCCAACAGAGTTCTTATGCTCTTGATTTCATTGGCTGGACAGGTCATTTCCTGGTTCACAACTATTTTAAAATGTTGCCAGGAAAAGAAGCTAGAGCTGCTCCTTAAAGTCAATGGAAAAAATCAAGACTAAGTGCAAGTGTAACTAGTCCCACAAAACCATAAATTGGTGGGGAAAACAAAGCTCTAAAATGAAGAGGAAAAAACACTGTACAGTCAAGTAAAGACTGAGCATGCTCAGTGAGAATGGCATACTAAATGGCTGTTGAGAGGGGAAAGGAAGGGGAGTGGAATGGAGTGGCTGGAAGAACTCAAAATGCAATACTTAATTGCATTGCCCCAGATGTCACCGTTATGGACTGAATCCAAAGTGAATCAATGGAGCATGCCTAACTCATCTCACTGATCTTATAGTGGTTTATTAAGAGCAAAATACTTAGGCTGCAATCTATATCCACTTATCTGGGAGTACTCTCAATGAATTCAGTAGGACTTTTCTTGGTAGTCACATACAGGATTACACCATAAGTCTGGATTCAATCCACTGTCTGTAAGATATGCTACATATGTCTAATTATTACATTTCAGTATTAGATGAACACCTTAAAGCAGTAAGAGGATTTGAGAGTGTCAGAAAAGCCAGGTGGTCAGGCTCTCTTACTAGGCTGGTTTCCTAGCAGGGTCACCCAAGGTAAAAAGAGACATCAGACTAAGATAAATGCACCTTCTTAAGCAGTAACAATCAAATCTGCAAAATAAAATGGCTATCTGATGGTGATGGGGGGTGCAGAAATTCAACAGTGGCTACTGGGCAGCAGTGTTAGTTGAAGGCAACACTTCTGGAGGTTCTTTCACAGACAAAAATGATGTTCAAACTAACTAAGATGAAGTGGTAAAGGAAACTGAAGTGGCAATGATAAACTACTTCTGAATATTACTTACTTTGAAAGCCCTACAATGAAACAATCCAAAACAAAACAAGAAATTGTGCCAGAATGTGAGAGTCCCAGGTCAGAAGGCACCCCACTAGCTACTGAGGAAAAACAAAGGTCAAACATAAATAGCGCTGTTGCTAATGATGCAACTAGATCAAGCCAAAAGTAAATCTAGTGGCTGACGTGCTGAGATGAAAAGAAAGTCCAGTGCTGCACAACACATACAATTGTGACATGGAACATGAATCAGGGAAGACTGGAAACCATAAAGCAAGAAACAGAAGATTTCTTGTCTCACAGGATTTGATATGAGACAACTAAAATGGCCATTTTCAGCCAGACAAAGTATTTTATTCTGGAAATGACAAACTCAGAAGTAACAGAGTATGTCTAATACTGAGGCAAGATGTAGCACAAGTAGCAAGATGCTATAATGCAAAGCCTGGTCAAATAGCATCTATCAGAATTCTCATTAAACGTATTAACACAGCCATAATTCAAGTCTATGGTGCAACAGCAAAAGTTGAAGAAATAACTGAAAACTTTTAAGCAAGTGACCAAGAGACAATTGATAACATCCCAAACCAAGACATGCTGATAATCATAGGTTACTGGAATGCAAATTAGGAAACAAAGCACAATCCAATGTTGTCGGAGAATTTGGCAGAGGGATCAAAAATTAAGCAAGAGAATGATCCACCAAATTTTGTGAAGTCAACTATCTGTTTATTGTAAAAACATACTTCAGGCAACTGGTCAGCTGACAGCACACATGGACAACATCAGATAGTCAATAAAGAAATCCAACTGACTACATAAATAGAAGATGGAGAAGCTGAATTCTCATTGCCAGAACAAGACCAGGAGCAAATTGTAGTAGTGACCATGAACTCTGGATATCAAAAATCAAAGTAAAGCTGAAAAAGTCACTAACAGAAGCATAGTGCTAAATATGACTTAAATAGCATTCCTGAAAAAAATTAAGTCTACATAAACAACAGATTTGCATTACTGACCATGAACCAGAAGAGTTGTGGACTGGAACCAGATATATTAATAGAAAGGAAAACAGACAAATTCTATAGTCAAAAGAATAATAAAGAATAAAATTCTAGATGGATGACAGACAAAATGCTTGCAATTGCAATGTGTTCCTACATACCATATTACTTCCAGAAAGCAGCAATGAGCTGAAATGATTCCTGATGGAGGTGAAGGAAGAAACTGCAAAAGCAGGACTACAGCTGAACTTTAAGAAAACAAAACTGATGATTACAGAAGAATCACACAAATTGAATGTTAACAATGAAGAAATGAAGAAATTGTGAATGATTTTGCATCCCTTGGCTCAATCATCAATTCAAAAGGAGACTGAAAATAAGAACTCAGAAGACTGAGACTTGGAAGGGTAGTGATCAAGTAACTATATTATGTAAGCTTCCTTGAATTCCTTGAAAAGAAAAATGGTATGATGAAAATATAATAAATAAATAAATAGAAAAGTATAAGGAAGCTAAGATCTCCCACACTATTATATTCCTGATCACTATGTATGGGTGTGAAAGCTGGGCACTGAAGAAAGCTGAAAGAAAGGTGAGTCCTAGAAAAAAATCAAGTCAAAAATTTCCCTGAAAGCAAAAATTGTAAAACTGATGCTGTCATATTTTTGGAAGATCGTAACAACCCAAGACTCACTAGAGAAGATAATGATGCTGGGGAAACTTGAAGACAGGAGAAGGGGAAGACCAAAAATGGGATCGATTCATTAAATAAGCCACATACATGTGTTTACAAGAGTTGTGCAAGGCTGTCAAGGACAGGACATTCTGGAGGGCATTCATTTGTAGTGCTACTGCAAGTTGGAGACAATGTAACAGCATAGAACAGTAGCATAATTATCAGATTATGCTATTTAACAAGGAATAAAAACAAGCAATACCTTCCTTCAGTGCATGATGAGACACCTCCAATAGCACATAGGAAGGGGTTGCCAATGTGGTGCCTGTGGGCACCTGAACATATATATATATTGAATGTCCATCTAAATATAGGTATGTATCTATGAGGTATGTCCAGAAAGTAACGAGAATGAAGTCCCTACACTCAAGAAGGGCTCTGTGAAGGGAGAAGCTGGCCAAGGTCACTTGGGGTGGGAATGCCAGGTATACATTAGAACACTGATCAGCTGCATTCCAGCCCTGTCAGAGTTGAGACAGAGCAAGTCAGAAGGGGTCTCCAGGGCCATCTAGTCTGACCCCTGGCTCCAGCCGGTTCTGCTCATGACACTTTTTTATGACACCCTGTTCAAATGCCTTGTATTAAGAAAAATGCAAGCAAGTTTGGTACAGCAGTATGAAATAAAATTTTGTGTGAAATTGGGTAAAAGTGCATCAGGAGCTTTGGAAATGGTGAGGAAAGCTTATGGAGAAGCTGTGCTATCTTCTGCACAAGTGACCGATGGCACAAGTTGATATCAGTTCAACTTGGATCCTTCATCACGACAATGTACCAAGTCACAGTGCTTTAGCTGTCAGAGTGTTTTTGGCTGTAAAACACATCATGTTGCTTCCTCATCCACTCTACAGCCCTGACTTGGCTCCTTGAAACTTTTTCATCTTCCTAAAGATGAAGAATCGTTTGAAAACACACATTTTGGTAGTGTAGATAATGGCGAAAGAGCCACTACGCAGGTTCTGAACACCATCCCACTTGAAGACTTCCAGGGTTGCTATGAAGAATGGAAAATTGATGGGAACATTGTGTACACTCACAAGGTACTTACTTTGAAGCAGACAATGCTCAATTGTAAAAATTTTCAATAAAAGAATTTTTAAAATTCATTCTCGTTACTTTCTGGACATACCTCTTATCTCCATGGATCTTTATGAAATGCATATCAGTTTCTAGCAATTATAAACCAGCTTCAACAAAACAGAAACAAATATACAAATAAGTATTCATTCATAGCTGGCATATATATGCTACCTGTTCATATATATCAAAGTGATATAAGGTTTTTCATCCATTGCAAATATGGAAAGACAGAATTTATCCTTTTGTAATATCAGTCTTTTAGCTGTCAAAAGGCCACATTAAATCCATTCCCCTTTCTATTTAAATTATATTTAACAGATCTCTAATTTAAAAGGGTATATACATCACCAAATATTTAAGACTGTTCCAATAAAAAAATTTCTGTCTTCTCCCAAAAGCACATTAACAAAACATACCTTTAAAAAAGCATTTGCTGTATTGCAGCATTAGCCATTAGCTAATTATATAATCCCTTATGAAAGAGACATTGCAGTGCCTCATATAAACAAAATATATGTTTTTACGGAATAAGATGAAGGCTTAAGTTCCATTTTTGGGGTGCCCAAGCAGTATCTCAAATTCCTAGAAGTGCCCAAAGTTCCAAAAAAGTGGAACTCCCCTATTAAGATATCATTAAGACTCCATCAAGAAGATGAAGCTAGATATCATCAAGCTAATCAGTCACAAATTGATTTTGAATGATTACAACAATTAGTTAGCATAACTTGTTGAACATATCTAAATCATTTCAGCAACAACACAATTTTATAGTAAGTATATAACATTTACCTGTGGAATCACAATATCAGCCAAGGCCTTTGAGAGTCTGTATAGTTCCATTGTATTTTCTAGTTTTAAAGAGACATTATGCTGGACATCATATTTTATACAATCATAGATATCTGGTATTTTACTAATATCATATCTTCCATTCTTTGTTTTAAAGTCTTTTTCAAGCTTGGCCCACCTACGCAGCATTAGTTCCAGTGTTTCACTGTGGTAAAGCTGAATATCTAGGTGGACAAACAAGTATTATTAAACAATAAACAAAAGTTAAATCAAGCAATTTGAAATACAGTCCAAGTAGAGGTTAAGGAGGTGTACTGTATGTATACTCTAGCTCAGAAATAAGGAATGACTGGCATGTGGAGGTTCCTTACTGGGCCCACAGAGGTTCTCACAGAGCCACAACTCAGATTCTACTCCATTTCATGAAGGTGAATGAAATTGTTGCTGTTATCACAGATAATTGTGGGAATTTCCTTTTGAAGGCCAGGGAGGAATCTCTTAGGTTATCACTGATTACTTACTGGAAATAACCATACACATACCCCTTTGCAGGTTAGTCGCCATCCCAAATGGGGCAATGACTAAAAAGCAAAGCAGGCACAAGATTCAGCCAGTGCTTTAAGAAATGGTTCCTTCAAGTAAAAATGAGTCCTTTCACATGCCTCTTCAATTGGGATGTAGAATGACATGCAAGTTGGCTCCTGGAAGTGCTGACAGAGTCTATTTACCCAAGCAGGGAGAGGTCACATCCCTTTCCTCTTCACCCCTTTACCCCAGCCACTACTCATTTGGCAGTTATTTGAGAGCTGGTGCAGTACAGTGGTTAAGAAGGAAAGACTGAGACTCAGATAATCTGGAGTCTAGTCCCCACCCAGCCATGGTGCTTGCTGGGTGATTTTGGGCCAGTCACAGCCCAACCTATCTCACAGGGATGTTGTTGTGAGGATAAGACTATGAGTAGGAGGAGAATTTTGTAAGCTGCCTTGAGCTCCTTGGGATATAAATATAATAAAAGGAAGGAAGGAAGGAAGGAAGGAAGGAAGGAAGGAAGGAAGGAAGGAAGTTAGTTCTCAGCTTTTATGCAGTGTTTCTCCCTATTCTCAAAGGCTGAAATGCTTTTCCTATAGCTGGCTTCAAGAGATTTCTAATATCCTAGTACATTAAAAAAATTCTGGCCCCATAGCTTTCCATTTTGTCCACCAATACCTAACAGGTTGCCATCAGTCCATCAATTTTATGTTGTGTATATCAGTTTTAATCTCTTATATCAATCACAATCAATCTGGTTCCAAGAAATGAAGAATAGCAGTGCTCAGAGTAGCTTTTGTTGCCCAGCAACATCCGAAAAAGACTCCACCACTACCATTTCCTGTTCTATGGGGCCTACTGAATTGACCTAGGTGGCCAAGATGCTCCACTAGCCTTGGCCATTTAGCTGGCAAACAACCCCCAACTTTCCTCCCAACTGGGGATCACCAGATAGCAGCTGGGACAATTGCCACCTACCTCTGTTGTTTCAAAGTTGGAAGGATGGTTGGATGCTTGTCACACTAGCAAGATGCAGGTGCCAAAGTTGCCACAGTGAGCATAAATACTGAAATCTAGTTATGGAATAAGGGATCTGCTATTCAAAAGAATGAAGCCAGAAATAGTCACTGGACATGTTCAAGCTCATAGGAATGCCTGCCGACCCTAAATGTTGGATAATGACTAGACAACCCTTCTAATCCTGCCCATCAATACTGCTATAAACAACAGAAAGAAAACTATTTAGTATCTCTTCATTCCAATCAACCTTCCCATAAAGAAAGCCTTCATTCCAAAAACTAAGCTTCATCTATTTAGAAATATGGTGAGACACGTGACAAAATGTTGCAGTGTGAAGAGCTGTTATGGTTTCAGCCAGCCAGCCAATCATACTCTCTTCCAGGCTGCTATATTCAATTCTACCTTCCCCTGATTTTCTATTTACCCTCTCCTGTAATAGTCAGCTAATATTGTATTACTAGTGAACACATTCAGTCCTCCATGGTTGTTGCAGGTATTTTACTCCACTTAATGTTCCCCTGCAAGTTTTTTATTTGTGTTACAAACATGGGGTGAACTATGTTTGTATGGTTAGCATCAACATTATTGTCTGCTTAAATACTCATTTACCTGCAAACTTAGGATCTTCCATCCGTCGTCTTATCTGAGATGTCAAACTCTGGATCAAGGAATATACCTTGTCACATGTCTTAATGGGATTTTTTATCACTTGCATTGATTTTATCAGAGAAATGCTGCCAGATGGTGTAAGCTGTAGTACCAAACAAAAGGGAAGTTGTAAGCCATAGTAGTTCAATTCATATATGTTTACCATATCCAGTAAAAAGGGACAGCATAGTACTAAGAACATTAAGTACTGTGAGAACATTTTAAACATTAAAATGAAAAGCCAAGAACACTGCACATTTAATTTGAGTCTCAAAATACTTAAGTCCCAATGAATCAAATGCTGCTTATGGTACCAAAAGTTTAGAAAGAAAAAAAGGTCCTCCAATATCCAGCATTCCCCAGCAGGAATACTTTGAGTTTAGGACCTTTTTCTGTCTAAACATGCAAATGATTGTACCCTAATGCTATTTAGACTAATCCGTTAGGAATTTATTTCCCCAAGCACAACTAATAGGAATATTTCAACCCTAACAACTCATACTTGTTTTGTTTTGTTTTACTAAGCACAATCTTTCCTTTGTCCATCATTTAGGGAAAATTCTAGAAAAATATTGCATCTTTACAGACCAGCTATGTTAACATGACAAGGACACATCAGTAAAGGCTATGGTTTTCAACGATTTGAGTTGTTTTCTTTCCTGAAAGCACAAAATCCCAAAAAAGTATACTACTTACTAAGTTGAACTACTTCCTTAAGATCTTAATTGTCACCATCAACTAACTAAAACTGACTAAAATCTATATAAGTTTTTTGAGTTATTGCAGAAATATTTATTTTCAGTATCCCCAGGTTATATCTGTTCCCCAATAAGCTTCAATATAACCATTGTCATATGATAAAAATACCATATGAAGGCTATTTTATTCCTTATACAGCATACCTCCAAACATAAAATAATTTATATCAAAGAATCTTTTCAAATCCAATGATTGCTAAACCTCCCCCTACATTTAGAATTTGGAGGCCTGTAGTGTAGATTATTCTGTAGGCTATTTTGTAACCTTTTCATAGTCTTCAGGGGTAAAGTCTCTGTCTTTCTGCAGTATTTCATTAAGGCGTGCCTTCACACGATGTTGACAGCTGCTAAGAGAGTCACTATCACTGTCAAGTAGACCATTCATATTAGCACTTTTGACCATCTGGACAAGGATAGGTGTGAGCTCTCCTTCTAATGCCAGTAATCCCTGAAAAGAATTAAAATATCAAGTGGGGAATGAAGAAGAGCCCAGCAGTTTTGTTAATAAAGCACATATTCTAATAATGCATGCATATATGTATAATCATATCTATTTCATTTATATGCTACCTAATAGCCAAAGTTTTCTAGAAGGTTCAAACAACACATAAAATGTAATAAGAATACAATATAAAATATAAACAACAAACTATATTACAAAAGTTAAAAGCCAGATTTAAAACTGAATTTAAGACCTACAATAACATACAGAAATTAAGACATAAGGCCTGTTAGCTGGCATAATGCTTCAATATACTATATACTGTTTAGGGCTGATTAAATGTCTAAGGATCCCACCTGCATCTAATTTCCAGTACCTTTGAAATTGCTTGTAGCAAGGCACTTAATATAAAATAATGCCCCACTCAAGCCGAAAGAATGCCAATGAATATTTTGAATGCTTTCAGATCTATCATGTTCCAGTTTCTCTTTTTTCCTAATTTTAAAAGCCCTAAATATTATAGTTCTGCCAGCCTCTTAATCATTTCGGTTCCCCTTTCCTACTGCTTTTCGAGCTCGGCAATACCGTTTTTGATATGCTAAACAAAATCGTACACTGCACCTCAAGTGTTTGAGTTTCTGCAGGCTAAACAATTTGCCCAATGTAAGAAAGTAATGTAAGAAAATGACATGCAGTAGAAAGCATGTTCCACAATTTGTCACACTGAAGGCAATATCTAACAAGGATGACTTCACCAATTCTGTTGCCTTCCACAAAAGCAAACAAAAGTCTGTGGAAGCCAGTGGTTCAAAAGGTACTGCAGTGAGTGCTTTTAGGACTACCAAAAGGCTCAAATGTGGGAGAAGAAGTTTGACTAGAGGAAAGATATTACAAACATCTCAAAGAAGCTGCTTCACCATAGGGTGAGAAAAAACCAAGAATCTTCAACTAGGGGTTGGAGGCAGATACTGCAAGTCAAATAAACCTTAAAAGAAAATGTACTAGACTCTTCTGAGGAAGTGACAGAAAGAAAAGTAAAAGGAAGAAGTGGAAATATCAATACCTTTCAAAACATAAAGGAAGAGAAAGCTTTCCACTTTCTTGCATATGAAGCCCTGGTGGAATTTTTAGAAGCAGTGCCCAATAGTGATGGATCAAAGATTCTAAAATCGATCTTACTGGTGCCTCCATGATGTTAAGTGGAGCAATTTCAGATATGGGTATGAAATTCAGCCTTAACCTCACACTAGAAAATGTGGGATGGAAGGAGATAAAAGAAAACTGCCCCTTTAAATGATTTAGAAAGGTGACAACCCAAGGCTGTTGTGGTTGCTATGGAAGAATCAGGATACAGTCCACATTGCCTTCCTGTATTTTCACAAAAACCTTCATCAACAGTGTGAATGATGGGAAACTGTAGAACAGCCCATTTATCCACTGAAAGAGAAGGCGTCCCCCAATGAATTGGTGCCAACTGCAGTCAACCTACAAAATAGGTATCAAGTACATTTTCCAGGGTGACAAAGAGTTCCATGAGAGGTATACCCCATCACTGAAAGAAGCTATCTTGACTGTTGCATCTAACCCCCATTCATGGGACAAACAATAACAACAATTGAGGTAGTGCATCAGGAAACTGTCAGTCCCCGCTATTTGGACTGTAATAGCATTATATTTAATCAGACATAGATAGTTAAGTGCAGGAGTCTTAAAGATAATGTGCCTCCCTGCTTCTTGATTTATCAGACTACTGTCATGTTGTCTGATAATCTGAATGTGGTGGTGAATGAGTTCTGACTCAAAAGCAAGCAAGGCTTTCCAGAACACTAACAACTTGAGTGTGTTGAGCAGTAACTTCTCAGATCAAGACCAAAGTTCTTGAATCATCAACATATTGTAATGTGCACCCTATTTCCAAAAAGAAACATCTGCATGATTGCTTAAGTTGGAGATGGTTTCTGGAAAGCAATTTCCTCCTGAACATTCTCTTGCATCAGGGAAGTGATGCAAGAACTGCCCTTAGGATAAGCAACTGGGTTTATTGGAGGTTGACATGTGGATCTACTGCTCCGAGAAACCAATTCTGAAGTATTCTCATTCTGAGGCATGCAAAGAACCACTGGACAGTATGTAACCCTGTCCATACTCCATGTACTAAAGTTGGCAAAATTGATACAGAGCCCAGGTGTGGAGGAACACACAGACAATTGCAACTAATTTTATGAACATAAAACAGGAGCACTCAAAACTACTGGCCTGGAGGAAGGAAACACTAGCACAATTTTCCTATATATACCCTTTGGTCTGAGTAAGACAAACCATAGTCCTACATGTAGAAGTAGTAGGACTGTTAACCAAGTAGTCACCCTGAATTTCTTGATGATAATAAGTTTGCTAATATTTCCCAAACATAGAACTGGTAGAAGTCCTTCATCTCTTTTCAGGCCTGTGAAGTAATAGGAATAGAAACCATTGTAAGTGGGAACACAGCAGATGACACCCTTTGATAAAGACATGTCAATCGCTGCTTGTAGAGCCAACGAAGGCACCACCAAGCAAAAGTCCGACGGTTGAATTCAACTTTGTAGTCCTGTTGAATTACAGATAGTATCCAAAAGTCTATTGTAATTAAGGTCCATATCTAAAGAAAAGATGACAATCTAGATTGATCCAGGGGTCAACAAGCAGAAGGATGATGAAGAGGTGAAAACAAAGAAACCATTTGGTGCAAAGTTTCCCTCTCTTATGACTTGGATGGTACCTGGATGGTAGGAATTGCCTCTTTGAGATGGGTGACTGCAATGATCTGTAAGATCAATCTGTTGCTGAGGTTGAGCAACAACTTACATCTGAGCTCAGTTTCTATACTAATACAAAAGCAAAGATGTCTGGATGAAGCTCATCTTTTCTGCAGTTGTCTTTGTCTTCTGTATATAATCCATCTATTATCTAACCATATAAGCCACTGCTATTGAAAGGTAAATCCTTGCTAAGTGTGTTGCAGCGTCTCTTATATAGCCTGATGTCATACAGATAGAAGTGCCTCTAATTAAAATAGCCTACAATTGTTTAAAACCTTATTTAAACATTTAACTTACGATTATGTATAAACAAACATTGCTTAACAGGCTTTTGCTTGTTTCAACATAAAGCAATTTTTCTATCATATTGTATGCATGCATGCTATGTATGTGCTCTTTCGTGCCTCAGTAGGAAAGAAGCAGTTTGATGGGGTGTTTAGCAGGAGATGAGAGAAAGCATGCTTCCTGTAAAAATAGGTAAAATAGCTAATTTGCTATTATAAACCAATATATTTTATATTTTATGATTAAAACATATATTTAAAAATCATTCTAAATCATCCAAGATTTCTTAGAAGCAGCCTGTATCCCATATAACAGTTCCCATCTTTTCTGTTTTTCATAGCACCTTTGCAAAAGCTGCTGCTGTCATTTGAACTCTTCCTTCATCTGAAGCATATATTTTGAGATCATGCCGATAGGTACTATGCAATCTAAGCAGACCACATCCAGGAAATCCAGCATAGTCTCCTGCAGAGAAAAATAACCATCTTTATAGTTTGCTTTTACAAATTGGAGTAGGAGGATATAGCTTCCTACATGACAAATACAAAGAAAATTAAGATACCTTGTCCACCTGGGTACATGCATCGAAAAGCTCTTCCTAGTTCCTCTGCTTGAACTCTGCCTGCAGGTGTCAGTTCTCCTCCCCATTTTAGAACTAAGAGTAGAGATGGTTCATGTTTGCGGTTATCTGAATGAATAGAAAATACAGCAATGTTATCAAAAGGCAAATAAAATAAATAAAAAACATACAAATCAACACTAGCTAGCACATAGAAAAAGTATTGTTTCTCCATGAAGCTCCACAGAACTGTGATGTTCACGCTATGTATTGCAATGAGTTGAATTTGTGATTCTGAAATAACAGTTTATTACGCTATATGGCAAAACATTTGAAAATGAAAGTTTGCTTGCAATTAAACTTTGGAAGGACTTTGTCTGTTTAAATGGGGAAAATAACAAATCATACTGATAGTGCAGTCCTATGCCTGCAACCTCAGTGCATACAGGACCTTGGTTCTAAAGTAGTTTTTTGGCTCCTGACCAGAGAGTGGAAAAGAACATTTACTCATTCAGCTTGAATGGAACAGAATGGAACGTCACATCTACGTGAATTCAATATATTTCCTAGTACTATTTTCTAGAAATTAGTTCAAAATGTAATTCCAGTGTAGAAACTGAAATGGAACTGTTAAAAAGAGAAATAGATTCACACCAAGCTAACAGTTTAAGCAACTTCCAGTCAATGACTTTTAGGAATTAAGAGGCATCTATGTACCTTCTTCTTCACTTGATGTTTTGGGACAACCATGAGGGAGATATGTCAGCTGAACTTTGCGATTTATGCCAGAAAAATGACCATACCTGAGGATAACAAATGAAGAGAACAAGGAGGAACCGTTAAAATGGACTGGATATATACTAACAAAATATTGTAGATCAGATAGGAAGACATTATAAAGGCTTAATGAGGAATAATTGTCCTGGATTGTACCTCTTAACTACCGGTGTAGAACAAGTATGTTTCAATGCATCCCCATCTAAAAATATCCTCAATGTATGCGTATGTAACTAGCATATTAGGAAAAAGGGTTTTGCTTGCCTTCTTAATGAACTGATGAAAGTTTCTTAAGGAACTGATCTTTTCATCTATGAAGAAACAGTCTCTTTACTGCTTGATCCTACTGAATGTAAAAAAAAACCCCAACAACAACCCTAAACCAGCCCAATAGGACAGCAATCTCACATGGTTATTTGGTGCAAATATAATGGGCACTATCCAACAGGGCATGTCCCACTTATTTCCTTCTGCAAGTGCTAAGTCCTGCCAATTCCACTGGACCAATTCCACCATTTACAAAAGTGAGATTTAACAATTCCTAGATGCAGCCCAATGATGAGCAGAAAGCCTGGTTCCTGGACTGGGAAACATTGACAAAGCTGCCTTATACAAACTCTGTTGACTTGCCCCATTTCATAATGAGCATCTCTGCTCATTTCTAGTTATCCACAGAAGTGCTAAATCACCTTCACTCAAGTAGTGAGAGCCATTTGTGTAACAGAATTAGTGGAACACAAAAGTATTGACACAGGCATAAACACCCCATTGGATACTGCCCACAATTTCCAACCTCTTATACTAAGGTACAGGATAAGAAACATCTCCACAAATTCCCCCTGCTCTACTTTGCTAGTTTTAATTATAGTTTAAGTGCTGGCACTTGGAAAGTACTTGTAGAAAATGGCATCCAGTAGATTAGTTGAAACAGATTTCATATCACCTAAATGTAACATTCTAAAAAAGGAGATTTATAAACATATTTATATTTAAAAATATGAGATACTTCTGCTACAAAAAGATCTGTACTGTAAACACTTACATCTCCAACACAGTCTTCAGCTGTTCAAGTTTAGATTTACTTTCTTCAATTTCAGAGTCATTATTTTGTCCTAGTTCTATTAAGAGCTGTCTTGCAATATCAAGCACTTCCTAAAAAGAGTGGAAAACTTAATAAGTACTTTATAAAAATAGATGGTGTATGAGAGTGCAGAAAATGGAGAATGTTTTAACTTGCCTGTAACTGCTTAGGCTTTTTCAGTTTTAGCTTCCCAGATTTATATCCATTGCATTTTTCAAAAAGATCAAAAAACCTTTAAAGGAAACATGGAGTGATTAGGAGAGTTACTTTGCCAGATGTCACTAAATGCAAACCCTGGTGTTATTATCAGGTTCTAAAAAATTTTGATGGGGAAAATGGCACAACATAAACTTTCCATGTATTAGTAGATCAGCTAGTACCAAAGAATTTGTACTGCACTGCATACCGTTTACATTCCTAACTGAACTATGTATTATGCCACAGTTCCATGCTTTAAGGCCATCTGACTATTCAGCATCATTTATGTTTACTGGCCAATTTTGAAAAGATACACACTCATGATCTAGAGTTCTACATTTCATTTTATTTGTTTAAAAGACTTATATACCTCCATTCAGCAGAACATTCAGAACAATTTACTAGAAGGAGATAAAATGTACAAGTAAAATATAACATGTTAGAAAAAAGAGAAAATATATTAAAATATATTTAAAAGTGTAGGAGAATAAAAATAGTTTTTCCTGGTTTTAAAAGTTAAAAAAAATGTACCAGGCAGTTCTCCCTGGAGGGGGAATCTCACAAATGGAGTGCCACCATAGTTTATACTCTTTCTGGTCACCAGTTACCTTATTTTGCATAGTGGGTGCACCTGGAGGAAAGAGTTTAATACATAAGTAGGTTGGTATAGGAGCAGGTGCACCTTTCATGGTACAATTTGGGGTAAGAAATACCACAAGTGATTTCTACCATTCCCTCTTCACTGTATTTGCCATCTTGCTTAGTGCTTCATATCTACTTTATTCATATGAAAATCACTGCTCCATTAAGATGACTTCAGACTCCTCCATGATGTCCCTAATGTTTGAATGGAGAAATACTTTAGAACACTTCCCAGCCTGCTGCTGTCCAGACATTTTGGGCCATGCCCTCAGTATTCCTGAACACTGGTCATGGTAGGGAGCTCAAGTCCAAAACATCTTGGAGCCCACCAGGTTGGGAGAGGCTGCTTTAGAACATCCCCCATCCTGATCACTGCCCTGTCTTCTCTTTAATTCACAACATTCCTAACATAGTTTACAGAAACTAGGAAAACTAGTACCAGGAAGATCACAGATCAAGCTGAAATGTCAAGAAGTGTGAAAAAAGGGCTAGTCCAACATATCCTAAATAATAAATTCTTGGACTTTTAAAAGTATTAACAATAACCAGTATGAAATATTTGACACAACAGACTCACCACAGATAATACAAAAAGTAGTTTCAGTAAATCCAGAGATCCATAATCTAGAAGCTGCTTGATTCAAACAATAATCTTACTACTTATACCAGGAGAAAAATCTGTTTTATACATTTCATTTTTCCTCTCACAAGTCACTTACTTTTGATGTTTAACTTCCATTTTCATTTTTTGCTTTGGTGTCCTATCTCCATGACGTATGACTGCAATGACACATCTAAGTTCCATCCTGTGAATATACAAAGGATATTATCATTATTATTAACTGTACCTGTTCATTTAATAGAGATATAGATCAGTTAAGCTGTTGACAAAAGTAAAAAAAAATCCTGAAAACACAGCAACAGGATATGTGGAGATTGTTTGATAATTTAAAAATGAATACTCAGTATAACATGTATGGAAAAAATGTAACAAAAAGAAATGAAGAATAATTAGACCTTTAAAGGAAGACTTAGATGTTACCACTACTTTTAGACATTTTTTCATCTTTTGTATGAAAAGGGAGGAGCAAAATGACAACAGAATATTAAGTAATATATTTCAAAACAAACTATGCTTGAAAATCTGTTCTCCACTAAAGTAAAGGGTACAAAGTGGTAAAGGTTTTGCCTCTGTAGGAATTCCTTAGAAATCAAACTCAGCCTAACCCAATTCAGAAGACATCAATTCAATACCATCCATCCCAACCTAAGGCTTAAGCATGCCTGCTCTTTGGCTGAATTAGTTTGTGAGGGAAACACTGAAAATGTAACCCAATGCCTCAGAAGTGAAGCACTGGAATTGATACTCCTGAATGCTGCTCAACTCTAAAACCTCCACTGTATCCTACACTCCTTGTAAAGGTAACTGAGGGAAGAAATATCAGGATTGGAGACACCAAATACTGAACGAATCAATAATGTTGCACATGTGCGCGCACACACACAAGGCCCAAACTTCAATGCATGCATTTGGGCCTGATACGAATTCAAGTCCATTGGCTTGAATTTAGCGTTAAGCTTCTGTGATAGAAGTACAACATTTTATTATAAACACCAATACTTAAGAACTGAAAGAGACATGACAGATGAGGGGAGACAATTAAAAAGTTGCTTTAAACAGTTTGCATAATTTAGGCAATGTAATGTTTCTCTTACATTGTCCCAGATGTGGTTGGCACAATGGGAATATCCTCTGCTTCTAATGGTATAGACCATGGTATCTGAAACTGTGGAGCGAGTTCTCGCATTACAATATTTCTACATGGAATAAAAATAAAAGTTCATTTAAATTAAAATACTTAAATCAAAATGGCTCTATATTCAAGTAGAGTTTAAAATGTATTTAATATATACTTTAAATATACTTTTTAAAAAGTTGAATATTTTGCACTAGTCAACTGTTTCCACTCAACAAACAAATGTAGTAATAGCAAACTAGTAACTATCAAGAGAGACAGAGCCAGAGTAGATAATACTTGCCTAGATAGGCTAATATAAATCCTGACCGGGTACAAGGCAGCTTCATAGCTTCATGTCCAAAAAATATTGTACTATTCTTTAATATCAGATCTTGTTTTTTAATCCTTTAATCTGTTTTTTAATCACCAGCCTTAACCCCAATAAAAGTTTTCATTAGTGCTACAGCTAATCAGAATTTCAATTTAAGTTTTGCATCCAGCAGAATATTAAGGACTGCAAGGACCAGAAACATTTAATCAAAGATTTTAGAATGGAAAGTGACTTGCATACAGTCAAGTTCATATGCATTCATATCATACTAAAGAATAAATGCTTAAACATTTATAATACTAAGCACAGAGTGAAAGGATGGTTCAGAGCCTTAGAAAGTTCAGAGCCTTCAGCACATATTAAGTCCCATAATACAATATAAAAATAGCACAAAATGAGGAATAAGAAACCAGATCTGGTTTTCAAATCCATTTAAAACACTATCTAGACTGGACTAGATTCCTGGCCTAGTAAAAATGGCTGAGTTTTGGACAGTAGAAGTGGAATGATATCCAGACCCCACCACATCCTGATGACTGACAGGGCTAAGTGGGACTGGAACTTAGGCAATCTGCGTCTGGTCCCCGCTCAGCTATGGAGCCAAATGGGTAACTTGGGGCCAGTCACAAACTTTCAGTCCAACCTACCTCACAGGGTTGTTGTTCTGGGGATAAGATTAAGAGCAGCAGCAGGAGAATTATGTAAATAACTTTGAGTTCTTTGTAAGAAAAAGGGCAGGATATAAATCGAATAAATAACAAAAACAACAACATCCATCTTGTCAGAAAGAGATCAGCCACTGCTTCTTTATGCCAGCATGCTAGGTGAAATCTAATATTTACAAGACATGCTGTGGCTAATTCAGTAAAGGAACAATCTTATGACCTCTAGACAGTGTCGGGGGGCAGTGACAGGACAGTTCCCAGATACAAATGCGTTCTGACCCCAGAGCTGAGAATCAAGAGAATTGGAGCTCTGACACCCCTTTCCAACTATTGCAACCAGCATGCAAATAAACTCTTCCAGCTGTCTCTTTGAGGTCAGGATCGCAACCTCAAAGAAAGGAAAAATGGGTCATTTCAGATGTGGGGAGATGAACAGACTGGAAAGGCCAGGATACAAAATGTCCTGCAGCCTTTACAGCATCATATCTACCCATTCCAAAGCACTCCAGCCAGATGCTTTAAAAAGTCTGTCCTGTGAAAAATGCAATGCAGAAGGATGGGAAGGTGATGACTGCCTCTACCACAGCTCCTGCTCCAAGTTTGGAGTTTACAGATAATGTGACATGATTGCACCAAAAGGGTACAATTTTATGTGCTTAGACAGAAAAGAGTATTACAACTCTCAACATTCTGTAGCCTGCATGCTGACTTAGGAATGCCACGAGCTGTAGGACTCATTTCTGTCAAACTTGCCAGAAAATGTTAATAAATATTTTTGCATGGATTATTGCAACTACCTTTGTTTTTTTATGTGTACTGGAACATGTATACTCAGTGCTTTTAGAAAAGGAAAAACAATACATTTTCAGCGAAGGAAAGTTTGAATAATATTTTATTTATAGTATAAAACTCCTTTACCTCTTTAATATAAATGCAAAATAAAGAAAAAATAGAGAGGAGTACTTCATAAGACTTATAACCAATTTTCACCCAGTGCTAGAAAGCTGAATGCATACTTTATTTGGTCTATATCTGAAGTGCCCATTTACAATAAGAGAAATACTGTTTAATGCAGCTATTCTTAACAGACTTCAGCTTTTATGTCCCTTCAGGCTCTACTTTTAATTTGCCTGAAATGGTATTCAGTCACTCTATGTTATGTGATGCACAGAGACCACAACAAAGAATGATGGCAAATATGAGACTGCATGGATTTGTGAGAGGTTCTTGAGCCCTCTGAAAAAGTGGACATGCACAGATATTCCGATAATACAACTCACCCTTTAAATAAGAACATCCAGGTTGGGGGAATTATAGTTCCACTTATGAGCAGGTTCACAGCCAGGGGTAGGGTGAGGATGCTACTAGATCCAGTTTTGCCTATGAAGCCTCACATGGCATGTGCCATCTTTCAGCTAGTATGCTACAACCTCTCCTGGACAAATACCTTGGTTATAGTTATCCATGGCCGGGGAGTATACCTAGGACTGTATTTAAGACTACCTTTGAGAATTGCTTGGGAGCTTCAGTTAGTAAAAAACAAAACAAAAAACAACCCCCCACAACTATGTTAGACCAGACATACTGATTATTATTACTTTTACATAGCATTCATATTCCACCTTTCTGCCTTTTTCAAGGAACTCAAGGTAGTTTGCAGGGTTCTCCTCCTTCCCTCAAGTCTTATCCTCACAACAACCATGTTGTAAAGTAAGTTAGGCTGAGAGGCAGTGACTGGCCCAAAGTTGCTCAGTGTGCTTCATGGCTGAATGGGAATGAGAACACACATCTCTTGAATCCCAGACCACTATACCACACTTGTTGGTCCAGATACTGAAATTCTTCAAGTCTTCAGAAATTTTTCTTCAGATTCTCCTGCTATCAAAAGTGAGGCAACTAGTGAGCAGAGAAAGGTCTTAATTGATGGTAGTACCTTATTTTTGCTGGAGAAAACTCCAGTGAGTCCCTTGGACTACAAGGAGGTCAAACCAGTCAGTCTTAGAAGTGATCAACCCTGACTGCTCTTTAGAAGCCCAGATACTGAAAATGAAACTCAAATACTTTGGACACCTAATGAGAAGGAAGGACTCACTGGAGAAGAGCCTAATGCTGGGAACAATTGACGGCAAAAGAAGAAGGGGATGGCAGAGAATGAGGTGGCTAGATGGAGTCACTGAAGCAGTCGGTGTGAGCTTAAGTGGACTCCAGGGGATGGTGGAGGACAGGAGAGCATGGAGGAATGTTGTCCATGGGGTAGCAATGGGTCGCGCACAACTTTGCTAAACAACAACAACCACCACCCTATTTTTGGAACTATTTAAGAAGGGACAGTAGTTCAGTAGTACAGCATGTGCTTTCCATGCAGAAGGTTGACGATTTAATCCCTGATATTCCAGGGAGGGCTGGAAATACTCTTGAAATCCTGGGCAGGCATTGCCAGTTTGTAACAACAACACTGGAGTCAATGAACCAATATTTTAAAACTACTTTTTCTTACATTCCTTTTCCCCCAGGAATGCTTACCAAACACCAATTCTGTTGTTCCTTCAGCAAAAGGGAAACATAATTTCATTTGCCAAGATCTTTTTAGATACTGTTTTAATAGATTTGTTTTTGCTTGGTCCTGATCTTTATGAGAAGTTCCTATCTGTTTTTTCCTCTTCTGCTTTGTACAATAATTGGCTGCATACATTGCTTGATTTGGTTATTTTAATCTATTTGTCAGCAACTCTGGATACTCTTTGGGGGAGAGTCAGTTACACTATAAACCACAATTTAAACAGTAACACTAAACATAGGGTAGCAAATGAAATATAAAGTGCTTTAATCACCAGGGAACTCAGACCTGGAGACAAAAGACAGGTAACATAATAAGAATGTAGAATTGTGCCAGAAAAGAGTCATGTGTTATGATATTAAAAGCAAATGGATCCTAGATTATTCTTAGAACACCCCTGTGTGAGAGATACCCATTGAAAAAAGAATGAATGACTTCCAGAACAAACATTTGAGGGCTCTGAGTCTGTGCTACTAATATTATTTTGTTTCTGGAAATTAAATTGATTGATCAATTTACATGCAGCGGGCTATACAGAAGAGCATAGTATACTCTTCAGAACAAGGTGAGTAATCAAGGGTGCTACATAGTGTTTAACCTGGCTAACTTGTTCGGGAAGTAGAGACACTTTAGGACTGGAACAAATGTCCTGCCAAAGTCTGGACTTGACAATTCAAACATGCTCTTGTGGATTAGTCAGCTGGGTGGTGGCAAGGCACTTAGGCAGAATCTGCATATTTCCCCCAGCTTCAGGAAACAACTGCCTTTAATTCGATAGAGAAGAAAGCAAGCATATTCTATGGTTCCTGTGCCTCTGCTGTGGTTTCAGATTTGCCTTTTAAGGCTGTGCCCTCCACAACAAAATTCATGAGCCAAGGTGTCAGGAAAATGCCAATAAAATCCATAACAGACAAGTGCTGGCGTCAGAGAGCTGATATTTTTGAAATACTGAAACTCTTTTGTAACACTAGCTCTGAGGTAATATTAAAGGCCAATAGCCTTCATTTACAGGGCTAGTAGCCCTGTAACTCTTAATCACTGAAACCTGATCTTTTTGCCTCCCTTCTCTTTCATTTATTCAACAGAAATCCAACTGCTTGTTTGCTTTATAGTCTTAACAAATGGACAACATTTTATGTCTATATCATACTCTTTCTTCATGCCTGGAGACATCTGCCCCAGTCATGGGGGAAAAGTGTGGGGCCTTTGGGAATGAGGCAACGGGACGATTTCTGCATTCAGAATAACATAATAGAAAGAAAGGAATCACACAGAAAGGGGTGTGTGGGGAAGCAGGCTGTCAACTCCCAGAGAATTGTGTTTACAAGGAGACTCCTCCAGTACCAATGGGTGGATTTACCTAGTAATTAGAGGTTACCCAATTTGGATGCAATGGTTTTCTCTTTTTAATCCAGTACAGAATCTTAAATTACCTCCTATTTAGTTAATAGAAAGACTTCTTTCAATCATCCACTTGTATACAGGGCTTGTACATTTCATTCAGAATGGAAACACATCGGAATACTAACTGGGTTTTATATTTCCAAAATGGAAAATCAAAAATTTTCCCTTTCTATTTCTAGGGTTACCAGTTGATTCTAGCTGTAACCATCACATGACCTGCAGAATTGAATATTTGCACACTTTTTCCTCACATTATCTTGGGACTTTGAACATGCAGGCAAGTGGGCCATGTCCAATGGGGTGCTTCTGCTCTGCTGCTTCCCTTCTGAAAGTGGTGCCCACCACTTACACAGATTTAGTGCTTCTGGAGGAAGTCCTGAAACAAGAAGAAACTCTCATTTCTGGAAGAAGGCAGGTTGGCTGAGCTCCCATATGTAAGTTCTGCTGAACTGCCTCGTCCCAGAAACAAGTGTTTTTGTTGGTTTCAGGCTTCCCCAGGAGCACTAAATCTCCCTTGTGTGGGCAGTGGGAGCTGCTTGTGGAAAGGATTCTATGGGGCACAGAAATAATTGGTGGAGGCATAAATGCCCTGTTAGATACTACCCTGTGACTTCACTATCAAATCAGGCTTTTCCCCTTCACTGTTCCATCTCCCCCATAAACCTACTTTTCACATCATTGTGCCTAAACAAGTGGTGGTGCTTTGGTTGCCTTAATAGGTATTAAAGGCATTATACTAATATAGATGTTGTTGTTGTTACTGTTATTGTTGCAGTTGTTATTGTTATTATTTCATCCTGGAAAGGTTGTGCTAGATTTTTCACTACTCAGGGAAACTACAGTAGATAAGTTTATTCATGTTATGGCAATCTTAAATAGATGTTACTGTCTCTGAAGTAACTTATTAACAAAGGTCAGCTACAAATGCTTACTTTACTGGATACATATTCCAAGAGGTCTATCCAATTGAATAGGCTATTTGCTATAGATAGATATTGGTGAAAAAGGCCTGATACAATTAAAAGGGAAAAAATCAGTGGAAAAAATTCCTAAAATCTTACCCAAGGATTTTAGCACAATCATCATAGTATTTCATTGAATTCTTCACAAAACTGAAGCCATTGACATCACAAACATAGGACTGTCCATTTGCACGCAAAAGGTCAAAACCACAAACTGTTTGCTGCCAAGAAGAAATCACAAAAGTTTGAAAAGAATGTATGAAAATGCAGATCATAATCTATAGCAAAAACAAACAGAAACAATTAAATGTTTCTGTTTAAATGTTCTCTGCACTGAACAAGGACAATTTCCTTCAGTCTTTTTCTGATAAGAAATAGTTCCAGATAATAAACAATTAATTGCAATTTTATATTAAGTCTTTGAATTACCTTAAAGGCCAAGCATACTTTCCAAGCGATTAGCTTCTCCCTTGCATTGAGGATCACTGGATACCTTACTTCTTTCCCTTCACTGTCCCGCTCTACTTTCCCATCCAGAGCAGGGGACTTACGAGCTTCTGCATGGGCATAGTCCGGACCAACAGTGTATACCTTGATTTGAGAAAAAGATATAGAATCAAGAACATTTCTTCTAATCCCAAGCCTTCTAGATCTGCACTCTTTCACTTTCACATGAAGTAGCAATTAGAAACAAAATGCAAAGCATTAGAAATCCCAAACCTATACTGCATTTATGTTACAACTATTACTCTAACCTTGCTGGAAGTTTCATGTTAGGTCTACTGGTAAAACCCATTTATTTAGCAGAGCTCCTAATAAGATAACTTACAATCTCCAGGATCCAAAGAATATTGAACCTGCTCTGTATGCCTAAAGGAATTAAGATTTGTTGTGTTCCCTTTAAATTATGGGCTTCCCCTATCCATGCCACATGGCCACCAGGTTATATACTGTCAGGAGTTCTTCAGAGAAAAAAGTAAAAGAAGTGTTCCCTTGGCACACTTAAATAGCTGTTTGGATCACAGCTTTTGTATAGCATGAGCGACCAATGAATTAAAGGTGATGTGACTATTTCTTTAGAGTACATTGGTTATTTATCAATTAGAAAATTTACAATTTTGAGAGGTCTCATACCAATCTGTGTTCAACATTTGCATGTCTTATGCATCAAACAATAAATGCAGGCAATAATATTGTGTCAGAACCAGCTGAATATATGAAATCTTGTCCCACAATGAGGAAAGGACAGGACAGGACAGGAAAGACCAGGTCACACAGAGTAGGTGATAGTTTATACTGAGGCAGCTATGGGTACAAATTTAGCCAAATGCTCACAAAACTGCCCCCATCTTATTGGATAAAACTTATTCCAGACCGCGCAGATCAACCCAAATCACTTTGAAACTAGAATGGTGTAAAATATGAAGTTATGACTTCTTCAACTACACATAGGTCCATATTTAAATACACTGTGCTGACTCAAGATGCAAAATTCAATCTAAAACTTTCTTGGAAATAATTTCATTCAACTCAATGGAGTTACTTGAAAATAAAGTTTGTTTAGGATTGAACTGTAATAATAGAAATGCTTCAAGCAGAGATAAATGTTTCATATCTAAAGCTGCTGACTCCCTTAAGCACTTGATTGTTCTAAATATAGCCCAGAATATGCACTCGTCATACCTTCACATCAGTACCATCTGTGGGCATGAATTCCTCATAAATATATGAACCAGTTTTCCTCACACTGCTTTCAGGGGAATAAACACTGCTTCTGCTACCAATCTGAAACATAAACCTTTCCATCAGTATCACTTTAAAAATACTTCTAAGTTCCATAAACAAACAGCTTATTTCCTCTCACTCTCACACACAAAATCATTTTTAACCATTTGAACAGTAAAGCAAAGTTTTTATAGAAACAAAACAAATGGGTTAGAGGGGTATGAAAGTGATGAAATATGTTAGAAAGAGAAATATCTGGATAGCTTGCTATCCTATAACCTTCAGCAGCCCCAGAAGCCTCTTAGAGGAGATGGCTTGAGTCCTTGTAAGTTTGCATAGAAATAGGGGGCAAACATTCTGCAAGTGTACAATAATCTGTCCACTGAGTGCCAAACCTTGCCTCTTCCATTTAGTCATACAAAAGAGAGATAATTAAAACTTTGATGATGCCTCTGGTCAGTTGAGCCATGAGATAGAAGACAGTTCCGTGTGAAAGATGGGGGTAGGGAATAAGATGGATTTGAATTTGATTGGATTTGAAGGGATTTGAAACAGGTTGCCAAATCAATTTGTTGGATTTTATGAAATGCCCATTACCTGGCTGCTCAATGCTTCTATGCAGGATTTTCATATCAGTTCAGAAGTGTTTGGTTTTATTAGTACAAGTATGCTGAGTTTTTCTAGAATTTTTAATTAAAGTATTAGTATTATTGTTTGGATACTAACTTTCCTTTTATGGATGAAACAAGCTACACTCACAGAATAAGGTTTTCCCACCACCTTTCTCTTTTTTCTACAGCCCTCTACGTCACCATTTCTGCCCATAAAAATCTTTCTCTGGAAACAGGGCGAACCTTTCAAATATTGTATAGAAAACTGCAGCTGAGAGGAGAAGTTTATGTAAATTCTCCCCTTCCTCTTCGAAGAACAGGGCAGCAACCTAGCATCAATGCATACATGCTGGAATTATTTGTAACTGCTATGGTATTAATGACATATTAACTGATGTTGGTTACTATTCAAATATTCATTAATAAAAATAATACTATGTTTTATGTATTCCTTTTATTGTTGTTTCCATACATTTCATCCATTGTAAGCTGCCCTGAATACAATTCCTTTTGTGGAAAGGTTGAATACACAGTGAAATATAATCTAATCTTAAGTCTTATCTCACTTGCTTATTTCTATGTTACAGATCAGTCTATGCCTACAGCTCTGTTCAGGCTTTTGCATGAATGCATGAGGATAAAAAGGGGGTAGAGATTTAAGGCCATACATGCTACCTCTACCCACTTCAGTTTAGACTTTGCCATGTTAAACTGGCAAGGTCTGAAAGAGAATTCTACTTCGATGCTTCAGCTATTGGGTGGTAGAGAAATATAATACTAATACTAATACTAGGAGGAGAAGAACTTTTCACATGGTTGGTAACCTGATAAGGCAAGACTGGGGGAACGTTCTAAGTGCACTCAAGTGAACATGAGCAGAAATCCCTTTCAGGCCTTGCTACTTCAGCACAACAAGGTATGAAGTGGAATGGGCAAGGTATGAAGTGGAATGTGGACCTGAAGATGGAGAGGGGTCAGGTTCAGTGTGCTTGGCTCTGTGTAAGCCCTCATGAATTCAGACAAATGCCTGAACGTTGTTTATACTATTCAGTGGCTAATCATTTCTGTATTCACTCTTACATCACTCTTACCCATCTCTATTTCACCTCACCTACACCTGTCTCTACTACATTATGAAGCACCTTTCCCAAAACTGGTGCCCTCAAGATGCTTTGAACTTCAACTTTCACCAGCCCCAGCAGCATGGTCAATGGTCAAGAATGCTGGGAGTTGTAGTCCAAAACATCTGGAAGTTGTTATGGAGAACCAAAATATACAAATTACCAGCAGTGTTCCAGCTAATGTTATTGACAATATATTTCTCTCAACTGAATAAATTAGCTCTCCTAAAACTATTATCATTTCACATAAATGAAGAAGCAAAGAGAACTATTATTGTTAAGTTTAGCTTAGTCTTACTTTCCGAAAGAGCCTCTGACTTCCACCACCAGCAGATGTTGGGTAATAAATATACACATTGTGGTCCTCAGCACTAACAGGCTTTTCCACAAAAGGTTTTTGGAAAACTTCTCCATTCACCTCCACATGATCTTCTCCTTCAATCAGATTGCATTCTGAAAAGAAAAAACAAAAACTACAACATGAAATATAGACTTCAGGCCTCAGTCACCATTAAAAGATAAAAATTTCATCACAACCAGGGTCTTGATCATTTTTGTTGCTCTTCTCTGTACCTTTTCAAATTCAATATTGTCCTTACTCAGGTGAGGTGACCAGAATTGTGTCTACAATTTTCTAAGTGCAGTTGTACAAAGAATTTGTATAAAGGGAGTAAGATCTTGGCAGCTGTAACTTCTACTACATTCCCTGTTATGGAGTTGTCTTTTTCACAGAGGTCACGAACTGGACCAACTGAGAAGCTTCAATTCAACACTTAAAATCAGAGGTCTGCATTTTCAGTTTCATTTGAATGCTTCCCTGTCTTTTGGTATTCCACTCTGCTATCTTGCATAAGTCAAAAAAAGAAACTAACTGGGCAAGCCTACACATATTGGACAGCTGTAAGAGTGCATGCAAATTTGCAGAAGACAGCCGAATGGAAAAAAATACAAGCAAAATTGCACAATATTCTGGGGCTGAAAAGAAACAAAGAAGTAGTCATGCCAAAGTAAAGTGTGGAGGGGCTGTCACTAGAGGTGGCAGGGGGTTGCTTACTGATCCCTGAAGCCCTCAATGAAATTGCTTTCTCGAGTTGGCATGATGTAATTACTCATTGTGGATCGAACAGATCCTAGAACAAGCCATGGCTTGTCAGAGTTACTTTTTCCTCAAAATAAAGCCACCCTGTGGAAACTGATCTGGGTTCAGACAACATAACAAGCTACCATGCCCAATTATATACTCTGGGTTGTGTCATGCAAATCCAGTCACCAATCAGGTCATACAACATGGCAACTCATCATGACCCACCCATGGTGGGTATTGCAATATGCAAGCTGAGCATGGTTTCTGTAGTGTGGCCTATTTTTCATAAACAGCCCATGACCTCTGAGGTAGCTTGTCTGAACTAGCAGGGCAACTTAATTGTGGGTTTTTAGGAACAGCTACAAAAACCAAGTTAGGGTCAGAAGAAACAAGATATGTGCTAGAACCAGCAGGAGAACTGAAGCAGACTGAGCAGAGATCCAAATCACAGCAAGTCCAACCAGGTTCTGCTAGCAAGCATATAACCCCTGGTGGATTATTTGCAGGGTGCCTTGGCATTATGCACAAACCCTCCCATCCAATCATGTTATTCTTTGCAGTATGAAGTGGCTCAGAGCGCATGATAAGCTCTTTTTATATACAGAGTCTAAAGCAACACTCTGTTAAGAAGGTTACTATTCAGTGCAACTGCTCAAAGCAAGTTGTTTGACAATTTCACTATAACACTGTTACCTTGGGGATTGTTTGGATCGCGGTTTAGAACTGCATAACGAGGAAGCAAAATACCTTCAGCTTCAAGAATTCTATAAACTTCTCTCCTAAAATAAAGATTTCCCATAAAAGTATTATAATCAATAAAAGTACACATTCACATAATCTATAATATAAAGTCACTGAGTTGCCATATAATGTTGTTTAATGGCTGTCTAATCAGAGACCTGCACTACTGTTAAAAGTAAAAATACAAGTGAGGTGCTGTGAGTCCTCACCTTCTCAGAGTACTTTTATTGAGGGCTGTAGTCAACCTAGAACAGGAACATTACAGTGCTCTTCCGGCCTCCAAGATGGGAAGAAGTTGAGAATGATGGAAGGGAAAAAGGACATCCTCTACTTCCACCTCCAGTCTTCTCCTGCTGTCCTAGCTAGCGCTAGAAGATCTGACTGGCAATGGGTGCTAGTCTCAGATTTAGGCACTGTACAGTGGGTGTTAATTTTCCATTTATTTCTTCCTAAAATCACCTCATATTGCACAGGGATGGGATTTTTTAAAATCTCATGGCACATACCTCTAACTCTAACCTCCCTGCCATCCAGGATACCCACTACAAGACATTAGGAACTTCTGGTAGCCCAGTATCCTCTCTTTTTGGTCTCTATTTTCCTGCCACTCAATGATAAGGCTGACCCTTGACAGATAACTATGGGTTAAACAACTCAAAGTAAGCCATGGTCAAGTCAGAGCAAGTGAACATATTTCCCAACATGCTAAGCCCCTTGAGAATATTAATCATACACTATAGTGAAAATTCCTCTGTGCCTGATAGACAATCAGGCACAGAGGAGTTCTGTGCCTCCTCCACCCTCTGGTTCCCCAGGCCCATCTTCCTGCAGTATCATCAGCCTAATCACAATGGTTATACTACTACAACCATTTTAACCAGGAAAAACGTAAGCCAAGTAGTAGTGTGTTTAAGTATTTATGTGCAATTGTATATTTATACTTAATCACAATTCATGGTTTCCTACTTACCTGTCTTGTATGTGGTACTGCATATTCAAGTCATTGATAACAAATGGATTCCTGAGTTTCGAATACGCAACTGCTTTGTCCAGTGGAAATCCTAAATTAATGTATTAAGGAATATTAGCTCATAATTGCTACTTTAAATCAATAGAACAGAAATTATTACTTTCAGAATTGAACCGTGCTGGAGAGATTTTGTTTTGAATTTCTTCAGGTGCAATCTAATCCAGATGCCCACATCCCCCTAAGCTTGGGGGATTACAGGCATCCTATGCATGGTGGAAGGAACAGGAGAAGCAAAGGCTGCCCCATGCTTTTCCCATCCTGCAAAACACTTAGATGGCTGATTTTGGCTGAATTAAGTATCATGTCATAGCATGTGAGAAAAGCAGGCTGAGGTGCCACAGGATGCTGTCTATCCTGGTGATGGAGCCTGTCTCTGAGATTCTTCTTGCAACCTAGGACTTGCATTTGGCTCTGTCAGGAGGCCACGGGATTGCATTGCCCATCTATCAATAGTACCTGGTTTTCAGTGAAATTCATTTTGTTTGATCCATCCCACTTTAGAAATTCTTTAGTTGTTCTATTTAATTCTTGTCAATTGAACAGTCATGTCCCCAGTATCAACATTACATCTTTAGTTCAAATTAATATTTAGACAAAGATACTTGGAATACAACAATAATGCAACAATTCAGTAGTTCCTTTTGGGCAATATACACTTTTTGGAATTTCTGAACACCCTAGGAAGTGATTTTCACTGAAGTTGATAGGACTTAGGACTGTGCAAAGATGCATGGATCAATGCATCAACAGAGTCTTTCATTAAAAGAAAAAAACTATTTGAGAGTAGATAAATTAACAGTTGAAAAGCAATGTAACAAGGAAGCAAGACATTTACTTTTCCCGTAAATTAGAGTAATCCTCCTCAGAACTGATTTGGACCAGGGAATCACCAGGTGGCTAAAGGTTAAGTATCCCCTCCCTCCCTGCTTCTTTTACTTTTATAAAACTGTCGAGTGGATCTTGTTACTTATTACGGAGTAATTTTCTGTAGTAGTTCTCCAATGATAAGAGGGATACATTGCTTTACATAGATCTTTTTTCCATACTTGTAAAACAAAGTCCAAACAGTGGTGATTATTATAGTAATATAAACAAAGTCAATCCATTTTTGAAAACAGCCTTCTTTAGAAGCAAATACCACTTATTTATAGGAAGTCTTACTAAATGTAAGGGTAAAGTGCATACAATATTTTTATTTATTTGGGTTTTTATATTTATTTATTCTGTTCATTAGCCCAAGGCTCTCTGAACGGCTACACTATGTGTAGAAGTTTGCGAGTAAGTGAAACAATGGATCCCTCCCATCACTGCAGCACTACTGCTTTTTTAATAAATAGAAAATTATTTTCTAATAGTATATTAATAGTATTATTAAGAGGCAAAATGTCTGTAAGACAACAAATAGCAATTTGGAGACTTTTATGTTGTTGGGAATAAAGAACAATCACCTTTAGAATGAAAAGAAATGAGACAGTCACATAAAGGCCAGTTTTCCACAGGTTCATTCAAAATGACATCCTCTTCAAAAATTACTACTGTGATATACTTAAACATGGAAAGGCGTTCAAGGATTTCATTCATTGGTTTTGATTTGGATTTCTTTGCCATAGAACATATTCCAACCAAGATCTGTCTTTCTGGTGGCTAACGATAATAAAAAGAAGGTCAATGACGGTATTAATAATTGAAACAATGATTTTTTTCATTATTTGTTTCAATATTCTTCACTGTAGGTTAAGCAAACAATGGCCACATTCCATGCATATCAAGTTTTAAATAGCATGCCCCTCAGACCTATTTAAGGAGTAGCAAATGCAACCTGAAATCAGTGCCTTATCTTCCATGCAATATGCAACAGTAAAAAAATAAGTATAAAGAGAAACAGTATGCTTCCATATTCCATATGAAAAATAAGGATTTAAGATTTCAGGAACAAGGGCAATACTGGCAACTGTTCAGGGTTTAAAAAAATAAGAACATATACAAATGCATTGGCTACATCCCATTCACAAACTTTATAGAAACGTAACTATGAAAATTTAAGGCCACGACTTCAGAATAAAGATGCCTTTCTGTATTTAGTTTATAAGCTATCACAGAAACTAGAGACTGCTGTGCAGCCTCCATTAACACAAAGGGCATTTGTGAAGAGGGTCCATGTAACTGTAGCCAGGAGCAACACAACAAGGTATTTTGCAGGACTGTGTCTACAATGATACTTGAAGCAACAGTATGCTTCTCTTAATTGATAGACAGACAGCTAGAAAACAAAAATAAATACATTCTAGCTTTTTTTTTCAACAAGTGAAAGACATTACTTTCCATTCAGAGCATGATTAATATTATTTGAATCAGTAAAAGTGAGACAGCAGATATAGTATTTTAAATGTAATATATTTAATATCATCTTTTAAATTTAAAGACTTTCTATTTTTAACAATATGCATTTTGGAAATCATTTCAGGCTTTAGTACTTATACATTTTAGAAGAGCCCTTAATGTCCTCTAACTATGGCACTGAAAACTAGTGAAGCACAAAATGCACACAGTACATCTGGAAACTACTTAAGCACAAACAAGACACAGTACATACAGAATCATACTCCTCGTCTTCATCTTCGTGATCATAGAAGGAATCAAATTCTGCAGACCTGGTTCGATCCAAAAGCTCATCCCCATCTTCACCACCCACAAAAAACCTAGGAATGTCACTCTCTGTTGCATTAACAGACATGGTTATAAATCTTGAAGTGATCTATGTAGAAACTGCAGTCAATCTGAGCACAGAGACACTGTACATAATTCCCAGTAGCTAGGGTAATAAAAATCCTTGCTGCTTGGCACTGCTTACGCAGTTGCTTGTTGCTCTGACAGTCAGCTGCCAAATGCAGTTTAATTGATATCATCTGTCCATTGTTTTCCGTTGTTATATTTGTAAAAAAACAATGACCCTGCAGGTTACCATTTTCCTGAGATACTGCAGCAATTTTCAAACCTAAAAAGTAAGAAAAAGAAGCCAAAAAGTTGAACAGCATATTAAGCATATTTAATTTCAGTGATATATTTGAAATAACCTTTCTAAATATTTATCTTATGACCAAATTAATGCCATTCTATACAATATAAAAGCAATACTAAGCAGTTAAACTATAGTACGTTAGTAACAAAGAATAGCATACATACTGTACAATGCAGTATAGTATATTATATAGTATAATTACATTGCAGGAATATCCCACCTTGTTTCCTTCATGAGAGGAACCCAAAACCACTTACAACATCATGGGTTTTTAAATTGGAATTTTATTATATGTATTTTCTGCTGTATTTTAACATGCTTTTCTTGGTTTGTGAGCCATCTTGAGATCCGCTTTGGGTAAAGACAGAGTAGAAATGTTTTAAACAAACAAACCAACCAACCAACCAACCGCGTGAGGTAGGCTGAGTTTGCGAATGGCCTCAAGTCACCTAGTGAGCTTTATGGTTGCGTGGGGACTGAGTGGGGATGAGAACCTGAATTTCCAGATCCCCAATCCAACACTTTAACCAGCATATCCCATTGGTTCCCCAGTATTATGGTCCTTTCTTTTTCATTGCCTCGTGGTGCTATAGTAACACACTCCAATCTAATCCAAAAGCAAAAAACTTAATCCCTGAGGGAACTTGGTGTTGGAAAGTGCCCCGAATACTTTCTTACCATAGGATGTGGTAACATAGGATGTGACATGGAACAACTGATAAAAACCAAGGCATAAGAATGGTTTTAAAGAAAACCAAAAGCAGTAGCAAAGTGTGAAGTGTATGAGCATGGATAAAGCTAGCAACAGCATACACAATAAAGTGGAAAATAAATCCAAAAAAAAGGATTATCCCTGAAAAGTACACATACATCTCTACATAATTACTACATAATCTAAGAATGCTGAGAGCTCCAGGAATGAATTTAGCTAACAATACAAAGCAATAGTTTCTGTCAGCATTTTGGTGGGATTATTTATAGCCAAAAGGCAGAATCATTTCCAGGGAACAATGTATTTTCTCATGCATGTCAACATTATGTGTTTTTAAAAACATAACGTTTTAAGTAGTTATGTTCTTAATCCTATTAAAAGCAGTGCTATAGTTTCATTTAAATGAAACTTTATTTGCAGTAGTATGTAAGCGGTATTTTAATAGGCTATTTAATAGGCTATTTTACATGACCCTAAACAAATTTGGAAGCAAATATGAAAGATTTGATAGCCTGTTTCTATACAGTGTTTCCTAGATCAGTGCTTTTAAGAACATAATCTCTATGCATATTTACATAGAGTGTGTGTGGTGCAGTAGTTGAAGTGATATGAACGTAAATTGGGTCCTGGTTACCTGAAGGAGCACTTACGTCCATATATGCCCGCCCGCCCCGAGATCAGCGGCAGAGGCCCTTCTCCGGGAACCCTCCGTGAAGGAAATTAGGAAGGTGAGTACTGGGAGGAGGGCTTTCTCTGCAGTGGTGCCTAAGTTATGGAATGCGCTCCCCAGAGAGGTCTGCCTTGCGCCGTTGCTATTTGTTTTTCGGTTTCAGGAGAAGACCTTTTTATTCAAACGTCATTTTAACTGTTAAGACTATTTAGTTTTTTATTCTTCGGCCAGGGCGGCTATATTGTTAACTTGTTTTATATTTTTATTGTATAATATTTTAATTGATAGATTTGTGAGCCGCCCCGAGGCTTCGGCGAATGGGGCGGCATAGAAATTTGCTAAATAAATAAATAAATAACTTGAAGTCATGAGACCTGGGTTCTAGTCCCCACTTGGTAGACTGGCTGGCTATTGGCCAGTCACAGACTCTCAGTTGAACCTTACCTCAAAGGGTTGTTGTGAGGATTAAATGGAGAGAAACAGCCATTTAAGCCATCTCTGAGCTTCTTGCAAGATGCGAAGAGATAGGATATAATTATAATAAATATATTTACTCAGACCAAGTCAATGACAGTTGTTCCCACATAAGCATAGATGGAATTGTGGTTATGGGATTTTACACTAATTCCTTTTATATTTTGCTTCTGGCTCAAAGGACACAAACTCACTACTTACTCTTTTGGTGATTTAAGCACAATGAACGTCAAGAAAAGACATTGCTTGTTTTTTCAATTTTATTTATTTATATTTATATTTTTACACTGTGGACAGTTTACAAAATCAAAATACAATAATAAACATAAAACAATAATGATAAAATCACCATAAAATACAATAATAGATTAATACAGCATCATCATCACAGCTCAATCTTAGAGGTACGGTATGAATATAAAAAATGGGAATAAAAACCTAACTATTTAAATAATGGAAAGATACTAAGGTTTTTGCCTGGTGCTGAAAGGAACATAAACTAGGCAAACTAATTTGGAGAGCTGATTCTACAGATGGGTGCCACAGCCAAGAAGGCCCTTCCCCTAGTAGCCACTCTCCTTGCTTCTTTTGGAGAGTGCTCTTTGAGAAGGACCTCTGCTATCTATCTCAGTGTAAACATTATCTGATGCTTACATTAACTAACGTTTACTTATAATAAAAAATACCATGATCTAAAAACCAAAGTTTTAAAAAACTATATAACCTAAACCACAGTGATGTAAAAGGAGTATGTTTCACAGTGACTGGAACATTTGCAGGGTTGTGCTGAACCCAATCTCATATGATAGAGGAACATTACATACTATGCCCTGTATTGAAGCCTCATCTATCCATGCTTTCCTTGTTGGTATGATTTTAATGCCTCCGAACCTCAGAGAGTATCTGTTTCTAAACAGATCCATCTCTTGAGATCTAAACTCTCTGATGAAGACATCTCTTGCCTTTGGACACAGATCCTCTTGTCATATAGCTCCTGAGAGTCACAGAAACCTCACGAGGCTTCCAACTGGAAAATGTCCATGCACCCAAATATCTTACTACAGATATGTTACTGATTCTACAAGTCATAGTTCTGACGACTAACATGCTGTGTCCTCCCCTCTTCTTGTGCAATTTGGATAGTTGGAAATATTCCACCTGAACCAGTCCAATAAATAAAGAGGCTGCATATCTGACATTTTAAGGGTAAAAGCAAACCATCAGCTGTAAGTCTATTCAGCTTCCTCAGCTCACCAGACTAAATCTTTCTATTTTCATGCAATCAATACTATTAATATATTTATAATTTTGCAGTTCCAGATTTGTGCACAACTTTCAGGTTATTTTTGGTACATTGAGAGCTATTGAAATATCAGCATTGTTTTATGATCTTCATCTTTTCAGTTATTGTCTTCTTCTCATTCTCCATTTTTAATTGGGGCTTTCTTATCTTTTATTTTAAAGCTGATTTTGCAAATCTTATCTGTCAAGTGCCTTGTTTATACATTTTCTTACACTATCTTGTACAGTTCCCCCCTACCCCAATAACCATGTATTACCATAATAATGTTTCTCTTTAAAATAAATCTAAATAGTACAGTACTGAAGTTTCTATAAGTGTGAAGCTGATTCAGTATTATAAAAACCCAACTCAAAACCTTACTCTCCCAAAGCACACTAACTGCAAAAGGAAGAAGCACAGACTGTTACTATGAATCATATACAACATCACACAAAATACTCCATGAGGTCAAATCAGAAGCAATAAGAAAAAAGGTGGAATATAGATAAGATTAATAAATTACTAATAAATAAATATAACCTCTTCAAAATTTTAAACTAGCACAAAATGTTATATTTAACTATATGGCAACTTCACTAATTATTGCATTAGTGTATTTGATATTAACATTTTTGGCACGTAAGCCAAGTCACCCCAGCATCGCCCCAGCATCAGCATCGGCATCAGATAACAGTGCACATAGTGGCCGTGCGCATGCTCAGAAAGGAGTAGAAGTGCCAGGTGATGACATCACGAGCTGCAACTCATTAGCCACGACTCATCCAAGCTTTCACATGGCTGATCAGTGCACTACCATTTGCTTGAACAGACTCTGAGTTGTTTTTTCTAAATTAAAACCTCAGTATTCAGGTTTCATTGCAGTGTTGGCACTTTGCAATAAATAAGTGGGTTTTGGGTTGCAGTGGGCACTTGCTCTCTAAAAGGTTCGCCATCACCGATCTAGGGGATCAAAAGTTCCTTCAAATTCCCAGATCCAAAGTCAGAAACAGAGCTCCAACCAAAGAGCAGGCAATCCATGCTCCAATCACACTTGTCCCCTCACATCTGACACAGAAAAATCAAGGTAACTGCTTCTCTATGCTGGGAAAAGGACATTAGAGAGTGGTTAAGGGGGTGTTTCAGGGGGAGAGGATGAGACTGGAGGAGAGTAATTATTTACCGATGACCTAATAAATAAGTGCCACATTCCTTCCCTCCCTCTGAACTACTTCAGTTAGATGGCTGAAATAGACAAACTAGTTGAATTTCAAAGTGGGAGGTGAGGAGGAAGCAATGATTACCTCCACCACTCTTCCCATTCTGTAGTGCAGGGTCTCCAACTCAACTGACCTGGGGGCCGCTGGAAGTAGAGTCTGGGTAAGGCTGGGCCGCATCAAGTATTCCACCACCGCGGTGGTGGTGGGCCACTCATCCCGCGTCGCTCCCAGAGGCCGGCCCGGGCGCCGCCGGCGCTTTGAAGGCCGCAGGGCCCCTCCCCCCTGCCCCACCCGGCCCGGCAATTGGCCCGCGGGCCGCGAGTTTGAGACCCCTGCTGTAGTGGATGTTCATGAGCCTCCAGCTTTGCAAGCATCAAGGCCACAATCAATAGAACTGTACTGTAAATGATTGTAAACCAAACAGATAAAATACAGAAAGTGATGTGGGAAAGGACTTTAAAAGTCTGCGATATCAAAATGTTATTATAGCTATTGGACTGTATATAAAGAAGCAGAAATGGAACTCTGTTCACACCATGGGTCTTTCCATCTCCCTCTGTATCTCATTGCCCCAGTCTGAAAAGTATCTTCTGAGGAAGGGGATGAGATCTGTATAGACTGCAACATGGTAAAGTTAGAGGGACAGCCATAAACAAGCAGAACTGTCTTGCGTATTTACAAAACACCCTTTGAAAGCCAATAACAGTTATTGTTGGTGTTGCTGCTGCTGCTATTATTTATAATAATTATATTTCTATACCACCAAATAGCTGAAGCTCTATGGACCATTCACAACAGATAAAGTACAATAAGAATAGAATGAAAAATACAGTGCAATAAAATGTCATAAATGCAAAATTTAAAAGCCAAATTTAAAACCAAACTAAAATAGCTATAATAGCTTACTCAAATAACAAAACCTGTTAAGCGGTTAACATAATATCTCAATATAATATAAAACTAGTTAAATGCCCTGTCAAAAAGGGCAGTATTAACCTGGTCTGGATGAGATGCACGGTGTAGAAAAAGTGGAGGGGGAGACATTTTCTCCCTCTCCCATAACACTAGAACTGGGAGTCATCCCATGAAGCTGATTGCTAGAAGGCTTAGGACAGATAAGAGAAAGTACTTCATCACACAACCTTTTGTTAAACTATGGAATTCACTACCAGAAGAAGTGTTAATAGCCACCAGTTCAGATGGCTTTAAAAAGGGATTGGACAGATTCATGGAGGAGGCAACTATCAGTGGGCACAAGCCATGCTGGTTATGTGCAACCTCCTTTGCCAGAGGTGGCATGCCTGTATACACTAGTTGCTGAGGTGGAGGTCTTGTTCTAATCCTGTGAGCAGGTGGTCTGCCATCACATGTAAAGAGAACTAGACTAGACCATGCTGGTCTGATCCAGAATGGCTTTTCTGATGTTTGGCCTCAGCTTGTTCCATAACTGGAGGCTGCCACTGAAAAGGCTTTCTTGTTGCCACCAACCGAACCTCCTTTGGAGATGGCAATTGGAGGCAGGTCTCAAATCCTGATCATAGCGTACGGGTAATTTGTGATTTGAAAAGGAACTCTGTCATGTGTCGTGATCCCAAGCCATGCAGGGCTTTATAGGTTAAAACCCGCAAGTAGAACTGACCTTAGAAACATACATTGACAGCCAATGTAAGCAGGCAAGAATTGATGTTATGTATTCAAACCTTCTGGGTTCTCTTCTTAATCTGGCTGCCACATTTTACACAAACTGCAGCTTCTGAACAGTCTTGAGGGCAGCCCCATGTAGACTACATTGCTGTAATCTAATTTAAAGATGGGTACCAGAATGTAGATAACTGAAACCAGACTTTCCCTGTCCAGATAAGGCAAGAAGCTGTCAAAGCTGATAGAAGGCATTCTGCTACTAAGGCCATCTGGGTTTTATGTAGGATCTGTAAATGCACTTGTGTGCAGTTTGCAGAACTTCCTGGGATTAATTATGAGTTAAATCCAATGTCGTTCTAATAGATGTCTGCTAGAACACCGGGACTCTCTCTCACTCTTATCTCTCTTGCAGCTCTTCGGGATGCCTAAATTTTTTCCCCAGGACTTTGCAGTGCATCAAGCTGTTAGGACAAAAGGACTGCCTCCTTCAGGTCCACCTACAGAGGCAGTTCTATCAGGAGAATGACTACTCTGGAAACCTCTGGATATGTTTCAATTAATGGAAGAAATTGCTGTTTCTAATTGAATTAGGTACAGATAGCTTTCATGATGGTAAGGAGAGAATAGTGTGTATGTGCAAGCAGTCTGCACTGCTTTGCAATCCTAACAATATTCAGTAATAACCCAAAGTTGAACAGAGTTTATTTCTTAGCAAAAAAAAGCAGCTGAAAGCTGATTAATTTGTTGCATTTTCAGCATTATCTTTACAGTAACTTTTTCTGGAGCAAGTGAATCACTTTTATTTGCACACTAATTTACAGGTAATATCTACTTAATGCACATAGTGAATACCAATTTAGATGAGCAGACTCTTTTTAAAATGCTGATTATCTGTTCTCCAAAAAATGAGAATAACCCTAGACCTAACCCACAGCATAATATCACGCTGTTTAACAATCCACTCTGTGCTCCTGCTTATTCCATAATAGTCAGATTAAAAAATAACAGAAGTAATTTTATGAAGGTAGCAAGAGCGATGGTTCTGGTTTTTGTCTGTGACATTAGCAGCCTAATAACAGCAACTGTCTATCTTATAAAAGCACTATGCATAGTAGGAACTTGCAGTATTTGTGCTAGGACTGATTCATACTATGGTGGAAGGAAAAATCTGTGTTGCCAACTATGTGTTGAATCTGTAAGCACTGTGCAGTTGGCTTTTGTAACATCACTGCTTTATCAACATGGCTGCAAAAAATGCCCTATTCCAAACTCAAACATGAAAGGAGCTTGAAATATCGCCAGAAGAAACTTACTTTAATTTGCAGTGAGACAGTGAATAGCCAGAGCTACAGAGAAAGAGGGAAAATACAGACACTGAGGATAAACGAAGATGAAATGGGCACACGCTTGAACTAAATGAGTAGTGGAAAGTGAGAGATGTGAGTACATTAAGAAGCATGCAAATGAATACCAAGGAGGAGGATATGAACTTTTATACTAGCTTTTACTGAAAGGTGCTGATGCTGTCACCAAGGAGCAGAACTGTCAATAATAAGGCTGGATATCAGAGGGTATTTAAAATAATGTTTAACCTTTTATTTTACTTTTAAGAAATTATATAGTAAATTTAATTTTTTTTAAAAAATATACAACTGCAAGTAACATTATATTCTTACCAAGCAATAAAGAGAAATGATGAAATATGTAGAAATAAAGAGCCACAAAACAGCATATTCGCCAAATTCCTAACAGTCACAAAGTGATATACTCTCTTCAGTTAGCTGTAGCATTGGGCAGTTTTGATCACCAGTTCATTTTCTAGAATAAAACAAACAAAATATAAGTACATTTCTTTTATGTTTAAGGAAAAGCTGGCATATGATAAAATCATTCTTGCGAGTTCAGATGACATGACAACCCATGGTAAGCAACAACCCAACAACAAGCCATGGGTTTTCTGTGTATCTTGTTCTTGTGAAATAACCCATGGGAAGTAGGTTTGGACATCATCACAACCCATCATGGTGGATAGGCATACCATGCAAATGCAGTCATTTCTACCTCATTTCGATACAGCTCCACAGCTGAAGCTCCCTGGGCGGTTTACACAGTCAATAAAAAAAGATAATAAAAGTGCAATAAAAATATCATGAACTCAGAAAAAAAGATTTTAAAAGCTAAAAATAAATAAAACACCTAGTAACAAGGAATAACAAAAGAGAGAAAGTGGCTCTGCAAAATACTTGGCGATTCCACCGCACGCCCCCCCCCCAAGCCCCTAGGTGGCTGAGTCTTCAAAAGCCCCAGAAAAGAGGGCTGTCTTAGCCTAGAAACAAAAAGATGAGATTGGCATCAGCTGGGCCACAGTATGGAGATTATTCCATAGATGAGGGAGCTGCCACCAAGAAAGCCCTCCCTCCTGTTGCCACTCTCCACACCCCCCTGGGAGCTGGTACTCGGAGTAAGGCTGCAAATTATTATGATCATTGTACACAGGATGGATTTGATTAGTGCACTTGTCAGTAAGACTAGATTTAAATCATGGTTTTCTACATAATCTGCATGCCTGCCTGCTTTACCCTTAGGTAAAAGAACGTCATTAAAATATTCCCAAACTGTCTCTTTTTTATGACCTGCTATCATTATAGGTTTTCTCCTCCAGGAAAAGAATAATATGATAAACCTCAGGCTATACACAAAATGATCCAAAGACTTGTAGATTATTTTGTTCAGAAGGTGTCACTTTCTTTTTCACTGCTTGCCCCTTCCTACTCACACATAGCTTCTTTTCTGATCTTTTCCTCTCCTTTCCTTTTTTTTTTTTTTTAATTTGCTGGATTATTTTTTAAACTTAGTACTTAAGAGATAAGGAATTGATTCTGTATACATAGGTTTGCAAAGGAACAATAGGATAGAGGTCTTTTTCTCAACTCTGTATGTTTATTTTATAACATGTTTGCTGTGAAGAAGAGGCATGTTATCTTTGCAAACATAAATTTGCAGTTTTGAGATCTGTAAAATCAAGCATCTGCGATCGTATCTTCTAGATGGAAAGACTGCCAAATAATCTTACAAAAACCTCTGGAAGAGCATGACATTGTGAACAGATTAATGATATTCATTTACCAAAAAATTTAAACATTGCATGAATATGCAGTTTCATGCTACATCATTAAAAACTCATCCTTATTTCATGATGAATAACCTGTGGACTATAATGAGTCTTCAATAGAAAACTTTCCATAAATAGATTTTTCCTCAAAAAGCATTTTATTTAAAAAATCTAATTTAAATAAAAACATCCAATTTTTATTTTAAAAAAAATCATTGATTTTTTTATCCACCCCAAATGTACATGAACAAGATGTAATTGCATAGACCTTTAAAGCATTTTATTTCGATCTAAAGAAATTTTAGGGAGAAATATTAGGTTGGATCTGGACTTCCTCTTTTGTGAATGAGGAGCTCTATCCATTTGTGGAGGACACTAGGGGACTGCCCCGTGAAGAAAGTCAAAAGTTCTTCCTATGCCTGCAGCTCCCAGCACCACCTCCTACACTGTTCCATAGAAAACTGAAGGCTGTCATGCAAAAGGGAAAACTGCCACCCTGCCCTTCCCTCTGGCATCAGTGAAATTTCACTGAGTACATATCTAGGTACCGTAAGATTCAGGACATGGGGTGGCAGGCAACTAAGTTTGGAACACCACAGCTGGGGACCAGGTGCAAGGTAGAATCCTGCACAGGTTCAGTGCGTCAGAAGCAAGAGGCATGTTTATTTAAAAGCCCAGGGTCAACACCAGGGAGACAGCAGATCCAAGCAGAGTCCAAGATAGCACAATCCAAAGGTCAAGTTCAAGAAAAACAGTCACATTCAAGAGCAAGGCAAGGGGTGGATGCTGGTACTTGTGAACCAGGGTCAGACTAGAGAAAAGGATGGAAGCAGGAACAGTCTAGAGTGGGGCAGGGCAGGGCAGGGCAGGGCAGGGCAGGGCAGGGCAGGGCAGGGCAATGCAACGCAAAGAGCCAGAGCACACATTAAATCACAAGGACAACTTGCATTGCTGTGGCAAGCAGCAGCAGCACAGGTAGGCCTCTTATGCTTGTCTCTAGGCCCTCCAGCTGCACTGCATAATTGCTCCTCAGTTGTTCCCTGCAAGTACCTGCAAAGGTGTTCCTGGTTCTGCAGGCACTTGCAGGATCACTCAGACTCTGAGCCTGCCAGATATAACCCATGAAGTTTTAGGCGAAAACATGTTCTTAGTGACATGGACCAAACTAATCATGTCTACTGAGAAGTTAGTCTCATTGAACTAAACAGGTGCAAAAGATCTGGCTGTACCTATGCTTAATATAATCATTTCCCAGAAACTGATATGAAAATTAGTTCTACCCCCTGGTTTGAACTCATGACAAAATGCTAAAAAATAACATAATGGCTTATAAATGTGTGAGATAGACTTGACAAATGGTGAGCATTTGTGCATGAACAGTCAAACAAAGCTATCAACTCTACCACAGTTTTATTTGGAATTTGTCTAGATTTGTACTGTTCTGCTTCATGGGGATTCCACCGTGCAACTAATTTTTAATTTATATCACTATTAATTGCAATTAATCATACAGGATGGAATCCAGCACTAGAGGAAGCTTATTTTTTATCACTTCAAAAAGGTGTTTACATTCTGAGGGCAACATACCCTCCAACTAAGTAAAACTGTACAATTTAGCTTTAACTGACTTTTTACCCAGTGCACCACCTGGGATTATAATGAGCTTTGCTAATATAAAGACTGCCATGCTATTTATTATTATTTATTTAACTTTTAAATGACTCAATAACCAAAGTCCTCTGCATGGTCTACAACAATTCATAAAAAACACAGATAACAAATTATCAGATAAAGTTTCAGTATATAAAATCTAAAACAGTTTAAACAAGGAAAAACATTTAAATAAAAATATCAAACATACTAAAAACACAACTAACACAAATGTTGTATCATATGCCATCAATTACCACTACAATTACAGCAACAGAGGGCAGCCTTAACCTGACATTGAGAGGATGAAATGATTGTGGCCAGGAAAGTGTCAGCAGGGAAATAATTCCATAATTAGTGGGAAGTGCAACCCTATTCAGAACAGGAGGCAAACTCTCCATTCAGTCAGAAGTACCACTCACTAGCAACATCTCAGTTTTGTCTGGGCTGAACTTTATTAGTCCTCATAAATCCATTGTCACAGTCATGCACTGTAAGCACATCCGCTATCTCATTTCATGAAGAGGAAAAGGAGAAGTAGAACTGTTTGCCATCAGCATACTGACAAAGATGCATTCCACATGACCCCAATTAGCTGTTTCATGTAGATATCAAATAGCATGGAAGACAGAATCAGTCCTTCTTTATTTATGTTCTTTGCCCACTCCAACAAAGCTGTGTGTCTCAGCACGGGAGAGGAAAGATCTGAGTTAAAGCATGCCTCTATGTTTTCACTCACTGCTTCTTGCTCCAGAACACTAGGTGATATCAGATATTTGTAACTCACTCAGTTTCCAATCACTATTTTCAACTTGAGTGTTAACTACAGACCTCATGGATGTGAATTTTTGAACATTTTTATTTCTCCTCCATCTCTACATCTACTACCAAGTCTGATAAAAAAAACTTCTAGGGAGCTGGAAACCTTTCATTATCTTTTCTGGTGTGTTAGATGGTCCTAACAAAGCTATTGCCTAACTGTGGAATTTAGATTTCTTCATCTGATTGTGGAAAAAAGGTTTTTCTTTTCCTTGTGATATGTCTTTCAAAAAATTCCTTATTTTCAATCTGTTAATCCCCCTCAACTTACTTTTTCTAATACCTTAAAATCTGATAACATAGGGTGCTATCCAATAGTGTCATTCCACTATTAAAATGAAACCACTGGAGGAACAGATTTCCTTCCCCTCCCCCTGCAGGCCTCTATGTCTCCCACAAGGCTGCTCTGGAGGGTTTGGGACTCCTTTATATGGTGGGGGCTGCAGGAAGAAGAGAACTGGGAAGTTTATTGTATGATGTCCATTACATGAGAGCTGGGCCCAAACTATAATGTCCTCTTGGATTGCATTAGAAGCCTATATACATTATCTGATTACCTTAATTCGAAAAAACTAAATTATATCTAAAGAGAAAACTACAGATACCTTCATATGCAAAAAGAATTCTATATATAGCTTTGTCTTTAATTCTATTAGAAGTAAGATAAGGAGAGCATAGATTCATCTCAAAAGGTACTCCTTGCTTATTTTTCTGCTTCAGAATGGGTCATGACAATGTGTAATATGTGGGCTACCTTCGAAAATGTTCCAGACACTTCAGTTGGTCCTGAAAAGGGCAGTAAGATGACTACGTGGGGTGGGCCAATACATCTACAGCATTATACAAATACTTTCCAATTGCACTGGATGTTGGTCTGTTTCCAGAGCCAAGCCAAAGCTTCTATTAACCTTTATGTGTTATAGACCTCAGCATTACCCAGTCAGCTATACTGTCTGGGAAAGGCATCTTAAAGCTCCAAGTCCTTTAAAGCTCTAAATGGCTTGATGATTGGCTACCTAAACAAGGAATTTATTTGGCTGCTTTTATCAAATGACGTCTGAGGGGGGAAGAGGGCTTTTTTGTGATAGCAGCCTGAATATGGAAAACTTTCCCAAGAAATACTTTTCTGTAACTCATGTTATATTCTTTTCAGTACCAGGGGAAATCCCTTTTTATTTTTGCAGGCATTTTAATCTTTTAGGGTACACTCCAATGAGGCTGCCCATAACCCTTCAAATTTGGAGGACTACAGGTATCATATGCATGGTGGGAAGAGCATGCAGATGAAGGTGCTCTTCCTGCCCTGAAAAATGCTTAGACTGCTAATTTCAGCTATCTAGGTATGGCACCTCATTGCTCAAGGAGAGAAAACGGCAGCATCACTAGGGAACCACATCTGCTCTATTTATGTATTTACTGCAATTTGGTTTTGTTCATCTGATTTTTAGCTCTAGTTCACATTTTCATGGTTTTAAAACTACACTGCTATCCAAAGAATATAAATCACTGATCGGTATACAAATATTGTATGCATGCATGCATTCACACAAACAGCAACACATTTAAGCTATCATAACTATTGTGAACAACTGTGCTTTTTATGAAAAAATAAATGTTTGATAGAAGGAATTTGATTTCATTTAGGATGTAGCGGATGCACAGAAAGCATGCTGACAGGTGCAACACAACAAGAGCATTTGCTGTCTGTTACAACCTGCAATGCACATCAGCTTCCGATTTACTAATCGCCAAACCAACTGTTTCCCCATAATCATTAATTGCAGCAGTCATCTCATAACTGTTTCCTCCCTACTGGTTCCACTTTTTAAAAAGTGAACGCTTTTAAGATTGGCATTTTGTGAAAGAATTTTAATTCTGCTTGGAACAAATGCTTCTTTAAAACATTTACAGGATTCCATTTTAGCACAAAACATGACACTAGGGACTCATCTATCTGAAATTAGGAAATTTAAGTAGCTCCGTAACATTGCCCATTCTCTTAGTAGCATAAGCTAGCTAGTAACTGTGTTACACATATATCAGAAAACAAAGAAGATAGTTTTGGAGATGGAAAAGCTAATACAACAGGCAACTTTCTATCCAGAAAAGAGTTCAGCCTAGCTTTCACGGAATTAATCATTTTAAAATTCTCCTTAGGAAACCCTAACCTCAGATGAATGATTGAAAGTGTGTTTCTTTCTCAACCAAACATTTGCCTCATTACATATCCACATATATATTTTATAAAACATTGTTTAAATTCCAAATTTTTGTACTGCTCAATAGCCAAAGCTTTCTGGATAGTTCACAGCAATTAAAACCATAAAACACAACATGCTAAAATATAAACATTGAACATTAAAATACAGGGTGCCCCAAAAAATTTGACATTATCTGAAATGTGAATATGAGTAACTACATGTCCCAGGCAAATGAAATTAAATAGGCTTCATTTTGAACAATAAAAGATTTATCAAAATTTGAACAAGAAATTCAAAGGGATGTAGATTTTAGAACCAATTTCACAAAGCTTAACAAATGTTCAATATGCGCACCGCCTGTGACACGACACACATCAAGTCGGTAGTCCACCTCCTGCCAAGCACACTGTAGCATGTCTTGCGTAACTAACATTAGTTAGTTTTTACACATTTTGTTAAAATTTGAGATCATTTGAGCGAGAATTGGCTATGTTATTAGACTATGAAATGATGTCAATTTTTTGAGACACCCTGTATAACATAAAAATAAAAAACAAAGTAAAAACCAGTAGTAGTGGAAGAAGCTATTGTAACAGATTCAAAACAACAGAAATTGAAAGACTAAAATGTCTCAGAAAATAAGGTGGCTTTCACCTGATGCCAGAAAGAATGCAATGTAGGCACCAGACAAACCTCGCTAGGAAGTTCATTCCGCAATCTGTGTGCCACAACAGGAAAAGCCTGGACCTCTTGGAGAAAGTCTGCTGAAGGCGGTCTTAGGAAATGGGTAGGTATACATGGGAAGAGATGATCTCTCGGGTAACCTGAGCCAAAGTCATTTAGAGTTTCAAATACAGTAGTATCTCAGCTCACGAATGCCTCGCTTCACAAACAAATTGGGTCATGAACAAAAATTTCATTAAAATTTTGACTTGGGTCGCGAACTCCGCATTGGATGGCGACCAAGATCGCAGCCATCTCCCCACTCCACCCCACCCCGCCCCACCCCGAGTGGGGAGATGGCCACGATTGATTGCAGTTGCTTTCGTGCCGGGAAGGCGTGAGTGATCACAGGCGCACTCCTGCAGGAAAGATGGGCGCAATCTCGGCCATCTCCCCTGCGGCTGTGCCGTGCCCATCTTTCCTGCAGCAGCACACCCGTGGTCACACATGTCTTCCCTGCATGAACGGAACTGTGATTGTGGCCATCTCCCCTTTCAGGGGGTGGGGAGGTGGCCGCAATGCAGTTTTCGTGCAGGGAAGGTGTGCATGATCACAGGCACACTCCTGCAGGAAAGACAGGAACAATCTCAGCCATTCCCCCCTCCCAACCAGCACGATCGCGCCCATTTCTCCCTCCCCCAGCGTGCCGTTTGCACCCATCTCTTCCTCTCTCACTGTGCCTGCGATCACGCCGGGCACCTGCAGGGATGACGGGGGCGATCACGGTCGTGCTGGGGGGGGGGGGCAGGGAGATGGCCGCTTTGTTATCCCTTTGCTTCACATTTTTCTGATTTAAAAAATGGTTACAGAATGGATTAACCTTGTTTACACCGAACCTTATGGGGAAATTTAACTTGGCTCATGACCAATTTGGGTCACGACCAGAGTTCTGGGACAGATTAAGTTCATGAGCAAAGGTACCACCGTATTAATTTGAATTGCACTTGAACAGACTCCTCATGATATAGATCAGGGGTGACCAAACCAAGGCTCATGACCTACCTAGAGTTTATTTCGTGGCTCTCCACTTGCCACTCACAGGCACCTGCTTGCAACTCTCAAGCATCTGACTTTAATAAATGCCATATACTTTGAACTGAAGTATCAAGCTATAAATTTCCCTCTTCAAACCTCACCTAATACAGTAAAGGCATGCCCAAGCCCACATACATTTTAACTGGCTTTGCTACACTGAATCCCACATTAAACAAGGTTGTTAATTTGACCCCTTTCGCTGTACATTTGGCCTTCCTTCTTCATCTCTTAAGAAACATACAATTCCAGAGTTGATCCAATGGATTGCACACAGATTTGTTATACTCTGGAGGCACAAATAAGATCGTATTTATTTATTAAATAAAAAATCATTTTACTTATAGCAAGAATATTCACCTGCAGGAATAGACCAATAGACCTATTGCTTCATAAATGCATTGGCCATTAAAATAAGCTACATATCCAGCACAATTTTCATGTGCAGAGAAAGTCTACATAATATGTTAAAAATTAACGGAATGCCATCACATCAAACAGTTTCTGTGAGCAACGGAATGTCAAGGATTCGGACTGAGCTCAGGGGACCATGATCGCGGCGTTCCCTTGCACAACTTTTCAAAAAGCTCCTGGCTGGCCGGGCAAGACGGAACATGGAAGCATCCCGAGCCTGTCCTGCGCCTGCAGCGCTCCCGCACACTGCGGTCTCCACTGCAGAAGGGAGGAAAGTCGCCGTCCGCGGATGAGAGGCGGGTGCAAAACGCGAACGGACGACCTTGGCCGCTGCCGGCCTCTGACACAGCCAGGGCTTGCATAAAAGTTTCCGGACAGGCAGTCTTTCCGCGGCCCCTCTCCTTCGACAAAGCGCCCGCCCGCTGACTCGCGCGACTGCAGCAACGCGCTCGCCCCACTGACGTTTGACTGCTCCGGCAGAACCACGCGAGTTTCCGCTGAAGCGGGAGCACAAAAGCAGAGGGCGCGGCGCGAGCGGGGCGCACAGTGCTGAATAAGCACGCGGGCCAACAGGCAGAGCGAGGCGCGCGTTCTCGCCCGCATCCTTTACTTCCTTCGAGCGGGGCGGGGCGGGGCGGGGCGGGACTCCGCGCGCTGCCCCGTCTCGCCTTACGAGGACGACCCCGACTGCGCCGGGCGAGAAGAGCCGCGCGCGGCTGACGGCGTGGCGTGGCGCGGCGCGGGAGGAGGGGCCGGCCGGGCAGCCCGAGGACGCACACGCGCGCGCGAGGACCGCCAGCCCCGAGCCCAACCGCCCACCCGCCAACACGTTCTCCTCCCGGGCCCGCCCCCTCTTGCCATTGGTCATGGATGGGATTACCTTGGTAAGGCGGTGTGGGCCACGCGCAAGGTGAGGGGCAGATGTCCCACCCGCTGCCAGCCCCGTTGTCCTCACCTGCGCCAGCCGCACCCAACTCTCGCCGCGACTGTTAGCGCTTTACTTCCTGCCCATTGAAAAGCAGCAGGAGGTGCTACTACCCCGCCGCTGCCACGCCCCCTCCCTACCTTTGACCCGCGGCTTATGCCCCGCCCACTCCTGCTGCCTCACAGTGCTTACTCTAGACACTTCTAGAATAGTAACCCAACTTTCTGGAGAAAGTGCTTCCTGGTTGCTTTGAAGGCTATTTTTTCCCTTCTCGACTGCGGGGTAAAATTGCCGTCCCTTTTTGGAAACTGCTGAAATTCAGTGTGTTCTCCGCCTCTACCAGAAACAATCTGGGAACTTTTCCACTTTTTAATGTAAGAATCTTGCCTTTCTTTATAAGGCAGTGAAGAGACAGCATCTTACAAAAGCTCTGAACAGGAGCCAAATTCGCATTACATACTGCAGTCTGTAGCTTGCCGCAATAGCCTTGTGTTGTGGGTGACAGCAACTTTTCCTCCAGCTGTAGAGGGAGGAATTTTAACGAGGTTCATATTGCAATTTGGACGTGATGCATAAATCAATAGATCAGCAGACGTGTGGCCGTTAAGTAGTTGTGGAGGTGTACAGTGTTTTACAACAACCTTGAAAAAGGAGCCTAGCATCAGTATGTCCTTTCAGCATACTAATAGACAGGCATTTCTTTGGTGCGACGATCAGGGCTCTTAAAACACCGCAATAGCTCATTCCGCCTTGCCCCCATTCCCCATCCCTTTGCTTTGAATCTCCAGCAAAAGAATCTCCATGCAAAACACACCTCAGTTTGCAGAAAAGTAATTCTAAATTTGCTGCCGCTCCTCAACCCAAAGGCAATCCTCCTCTGCATGCAGGCAGCTCAGTACTCCATTCTCTTCCATCCCGATGCGCTACGCTTTTGCCTGTTTCTCTCAGTATGAAATAGAGATTTCCAGCCATACGCTACACCGAAGGTCGGGAGCGTATTACTCTACTATTACTATCTCTGTGATACTTTTAAGCTTCTCCCCTCCTCCCCCCACATCTCTTGCCCTGTCGTCACTTCCGTAAGCGCCACAAAAGTCTCGAAGCGAGGTGGTGCCGTCTCCTCCGTGGTACAGCGGGAACCGAGTGGAAGCGCTAGCCGCACCATTGCGCGGGAACAATTTCCCAAAGTGCGCGGCGACGACGGAAGGTATCGTGTTCGCCACCGACACCGGGCCGGCGTTTCCCTGGCGGCAGGCGCCGTGCGCATGCGTGCATGCGGTGGGTTGGGTTGGGATGGGAGGCGGTAGACAGTGCGCGCCGCTGTCCTGAGGCATGTGCTAGGCAGAGTAGAAAGTGTCCTTTGCTTTATCTTTAGACCGGATTTCCTGGCTGGTTTTGACGCAGTGATCATCCCTGGCTAGAGCGGTCAGCGTGACAGCTGCTGGTAGGAGGCTCTAGGAATCAGCGCTACACCGGCACAAGGATTTCGTAGCATCGTGCACTGATTGCTGTCCACCACCAGACTACGCCCCGTCATCTAAACAGAACACAAGTCTCGCATTCCCTTTGCGGTGCTAATCCTTGCAGGACTTCTTTTGTCTGGATAGGCATAGGCTTTTATCCTTTATCCTTAGAAATGTAAGCAGTAGTTCATGTTCCGCTGAACTCGGGTGTTCTTGAAGGGAAATGCTGTTGCTGTTGCTACTGCTGCTTAGCTTGAATACTTAGCAAGTTTGCAGTGCAGGTACTTTTTGCACTAGGAAAGACTCAAGAAAGAAACTGCCTCGTTTTCCCATAGTGCAGATGTGCAGAGAGTGAGACTGAAAGATTCTGGACTGATTCCCACGTTCTGAAGTTAGCCACATGGGCTTGTTGCAGCGACTTGCAATTATTTGTTTTCCCTTTAGTCCTCCTGTTTACTCCGGGTATGTTCCCAGGAATCCTTCCGGTTTCCCGATATAGCACCATTTTTACTATTGATAGCTTTCACTCTGGGGGTACTGGAGGAGAATTTTTTCATGCTTCCTTTCTTGTCAAATCACTGTCTGCAAAGACTATTATAAAGAGAGAAAAATGGAACTTTATTATTAAAGCTTTTTGCTGTATCTGCTGGAGAAGCAACTTTACTTCACCCATTCCTGCAAAGAGTTTTCTGAACAATAAGATTAAAAACTCCCTACATCCTTAGTGTGTGATTTTTTTTCTTAAAGGTTCTGGTTGGTCTTTGACTGTCTTTGGCATTTGTCTTCTGAGCAGAGATATGTGTGTATGCATGAACATTTTACTGTTTAGGAGGTGAAGGTTGTTGGGGAGGAATATTTCAGTTTCCCTCCCTTCTGTTTTCATGCTGAAATTTTCTCCCACAGCACCACTCTGCATGCATGTTCTGAGAACTTTTCCTCTTTGCGTTAGAGGGGGTAAACACGAAAGCAGGAGCAGGGAAATTTACATTCTTGTTACCAAATTATCATGGTCCCAAACTGGGGCCATGCATGCTTATACAGAAGTCAGTCACAGATGTACACATAGTTGTGCTGGGAAGAGTACCATCTCAGCTTACAAGATGAAAAAGCCATTCACTATCAAATGAAGTGTAGAAATGAAGGAAGGCAGGGCAATTGATGGTAATGGGGAGGCAGCAGAAGCACATACTGTGTCACACAGAAGTTGGCAAGTGAATCATTGAGAATCAGCAATGTTTGATCACTGTTCTTGTTGGGTGGCTCTAGCTATTTTGAATAAACTATGTTGAAGCCTCCTTGGTGGGGTTGGATGTCATAGCAAACACTCGAAAAGAAATATGGCTCACCCTGCCCGCCCACATGGCTTATAATACATGAAGCCAATCTATGGGATAATTCACATTTAATGCTAAGCCATGCTGCATGGCACCACATGGCATGGTATCTCATTTCATATCTTGGATTCAGACACTCAGTTTCCTTGTTTCACCATCTTCCCTTCAAATCTGGTATTTCATCAGCCCCAGTGGCTGCAAATCAATTTCTGCATGCACTGCTCCTGCCTACATTGCCTGCCTCTCCTTCATTGACCCACAAACTCTCTTAGCATGGCCTCAGGCACCTGCTCCTGTTTGTTTGTTTGTTTGACTGCTCAGAAGAAGCAAGCACTTACTTACTAGAATAACACTGCTATCTCAAGAAGCACTAGCCACAGGTGGGCTTCAGGAAGGTTGTGTCCAGGTTGAGAAAAAAAGAGCATGGAGCAGCCAATTACAATGCTGCTGCTGGGCAGATCTCTACGGTGAGGGCGGCAGGCAGGATTATCTCCTGCAGCCTCTGCTCTCTCTGCTCAAAACTCTATGGCAGAAACATGGAAATTTCACAGAAATGTGAAAACTGAGTTCAGATGCTGAAACAAACCACGGTGAAGCACAGAAAACATGAAACAAATTGCTGTTTCTTTCTGTGGTTCCACAGAGACGAAATGTACCATGCATCACCATTCTTGCTGGGTTCACATGTAACAAGCCATGCCATGGTGGTTTCTGTCATGGTTTGTTGTTTTGTGTGAACCTGCCCAGTAAACATCACTCAAGTTTGAATATAGGTTTCCTGTGGGTAGTTGTGGAAATATGGGTTATTTCTGAATCTAGCTGCTAAAATAGACCATGTTTTATTATCTGTAAACAATCCAAAGTTCATTAACTTCAAAACAAACCATCAGCTGTTTGTGGTTAACAAACAGGTCACTGGCTGGGTTTGTATGATCACAAAAAGGAAATAAGCCACACTGGAGCACCATGGGGAATAGCTTGTAGCTGTCCCAAAGGGAATTGGAAAAGCTGGCTTAATAGCTGTTTTTCATAATGTGAAGGAAAAGGTTTTAATGGGACAATGATAGGGCTTGTGGCAAGGGATTGGAGGAAGCCAGTGCCAGCTGTGTTTGGGCTCTTTGGTGGCTGCTGGCACTGGTGCTCACCAGGAGCCCCATGACAATAACAAGCATATTTTGCATCTGTACATTCACATGCACAATTATAAATTTTTATTTTATAATCAAATTATGTGCATACAATTTGTGCACAGGCAGATTAAAAACAAGTGATGGGCAGTTCCTGCAAGGTACTGCTGCCATGTTCAGAAAAAAATAGAGGAGAGAAAAGCTGTAGCAGACCAAACACAGCTCACAAGTAGGGAGGGCATCTTGGTGCTCCTGTCATGTCCCCTGGGATCCCTGCAGGAAAACTATGAAGTGGGGGAACATCCCACCCATGATGTGTCCATTCATCTGTCAGGTATATCAGAGTAGGATGGCTTACCAGCGATACTGCATAACTCAATACTCAGTGTGGCTTACGTTATGTCATGTTCAGTAAGGCTTGCTCCACTGTAAGCATATATAGAATTGCAGCCTTACTTAACATGCCCCTCTTATATGTAGAAAAGCAAAACTGAAAAATTTACTGTAAAATTTTGATGTGCTCTATATATTTTCAAATACGAAATTAGCAGAACTGAAATATTTGATCAGGAGGGAAAATCTGTGAAACTCAGTCCATGAAATTTAAATGTTATCTTAAGGATACACAATGTTTTTCATGGTGACTATTCTATTGATATTGTGGACATATTTAAAGGTGTAACAATCCAAAACTATACAGTTTGCTTATTCTTATCTATAAGGGAAATGCAGGCACTGAAACCTATTAATATAATTATATGTGCCCAAAGATAAATAGGAACATGTTCAATATTTATAAAAATATAAATATTTATTCACTATCAACTTATTGAAGTTTTCAAGAGGCTAACATATAATTCTAGTTACAATACAGAGCCCTTCCAGGATCTTTGCATTCCTTTTGTGGCTGGCTGACAGTGATCTCTCACAGTTTTTGGCTCCAGGTGGTAAATGCAATGGATGAGTCAAAGCTCTTACTGGTTTCTTCTCCAGTCAGAAAGGGGTTCTGCATAGATATATAGGACTCGTGGGGCCAAATTAGGCTAGACTTTTGACCTCTGTAATCTTCCGCCTTCCTGATTTGTTTTAAAAGCAGCTGCTGGGAAGGGGGGTGCAAATTAGATTAAGACCAATGGTACCCATATGTTTTTCTTAAGGGGGTAATTGCACCTGGAGGAATAATTTAGATTGGGAATGCAGCACAAGGAGAAAGAGAGAAATGAAGATAGCACTAACTTCCTCAGTCCTGCTTCTGGAAGCACATGTTTGGGTACCTGCTTTCTGCAGTGTTGCAACCCATGACCTTGCCCAGTGAGCTGAAACTCCTGTTACCTCTGCTGCTGTGGTCTCCCATGCATTCCCACTTTTGATGTGTTTTGTAAAGATGAGAAAAGACAGACTGTGATATTTTGCTATTGCCCCAATTCTTTAATTTCTTCTTTCTCACAGCTCTGTGTCTCCTCTTCCCTTCAGGGGCAAACCTTCTCTTTTTTTGGTGGGGGGGAGGGTTGGAGGAAGAGGTGTGGAGGGGGCACCTCTCTTATTCCTTTGTTGGTACCTTTTGAGGGCATTATGCTGCCTAGATCAGGGTTTGAAATTTTATCTGTGTGCTGCTCCTGTATATTTAAGTAAGTCTGTTTGTTTCTGGGTGAGCTCTGCTGGACTCAGAACAGCCTGTCCCCTGGCAGCGTAAGCCAGTCGTCAGAGAGAATATTATAGAGAATTCTTTTAGCAGCATAGTATTTTTCCCTAGTAACTAATGTTCAAGAAGGGATTTTTCCCTAGTAACTAATGTTCAAGAAGGGATTATATTCTGGTCATGGAAAAATAAGGTTTCATATATGGAGAGATATACGTCCTGAGCAACTATAATACCCCCCCACCCCCAGTGTAGTCTTGGTCTAGCTCTTGCCACCAGGATGACTGAATCTCTTACTGTTCAAAACTAAACAATCCAGTCTCGGGTTTTTAGAATATAGTCTGACCATCTCTGTCAAGAACCTGTGTATTGTATTGCCACAGGCTGGAATTTACTCATACTCAATTGGGAATAAGCCCATTAAACTCAGTGTATTGACTTAAAAATATATACAAATAAGATTGTGTTGTAAGCCTGTCAGTTAGGAGGATACAGTGAGAATGCAATTATGCAAAATTCTGTTGATGGATCCTTTCAGTGTAGTTGTTTATCCATGCAAATAATCCATTTTATGGATTATTTATTTGATTTCTGTGCTGCCCAATAGCCGAAGTTCTCTGAGCTGTTACAGAACAATTCAAATTCCAAACCACAATAAAGATAATAAAATACAATATAAAATTTCTACACACACACACACACACACTTAAAATCAAACAGCTAAATACAATTTTCATAAAATTCCTGGAGATGTTAAAAAAGGCAGCTGACATGAAAGTTTATATTATATGCTATTAAATACCATTTAATGCCCAGGGGTAGAGGGCAATCTTATCTGTTGTTGAAAAGATGGCAGCATTGATGCCAGGCAGGCCTTGGTGGGGAGCACTACTGAGAACTCCCATTCTCTAGTTATGGCCTCTCTTGGAAGTGACACTTGGAGGAAGGCCTCAGATCCTGATCATAGTAATTGGACATTGATTTAGTGTATCCATAACCACACTTGTTGGAAAGGGAAAAAAGAAGTAAAGCTGAGTGTTTTCAACAGATGGAAGACAACGAACTCCAAAATTCTGGATAACCCCACTCAGCAGTTTCATTTAGACATTGAATGACTTGGAAGATAAAGCAACCCCTGGGGAATTGCATGCTGGAAAATCTGCAGAGCTCAGGAAATTCCCCAAGCCCCACCTTCTGGGGCCAGACATCCAAGCAGAAGTAGAATCACTGCAGTGTTGTCCTCCATACTCCCTGTCACCCTAGGAGGATACCATGCTTGATGCTAGAGTTTCAACAACCCTCTTTGGAACCACCTCTCTTCTGTTCCATGGACTTCTTGGGCTCTGCCCTGTCAGAAAACAAGCAGAGCTGAGAGAAAGTCCATGAATGCTTGCAGTGCTGTTAATGTACTGACAACCTTCCTCAGCCCACACAGCACAAAGGCTGCAAGTCATGTGCACAGAAGATTAAAGCTGCTTGCGCAGCATTTGTGTGGGGCTGATTCCTGGTGGGCATCCATGCAAATGCTCAGTGCACCCAGTGCCAAGCTGAACTCATGGTCATAAGAAAGCAGGCCAGAGTCCAGAGAGTGAAGCCAAAAAGGATTCCCACCCTCAAATGGATTCCTTACATATCGCTAGTTGATGATATCAAAAGAGGCCAAGAGATTCAGGACTATCAGCAGCGTCAAATTCCCCCCATCTCTGACCTGACATAGCTAATCATACAGGGTGACCAAAACCATTTCTGTGCCACAACCTGGCTTGAACGCAGTACAGTTAATCAGTGTGATGCAAGAGTTCCTAGATCTGATTGGCTAACACTCAGGAACCTTGCCCAGGAAAGGAACATGTCCTACTCAACATGTGTTAAGATCTTCTGGGTCTAGAAAGGATTTATTTAGAAGTAGTCCCTCTGCCACTTTTTTCAGACAGCATAAGACCACTTCCTCTCACAAAGAGGCATAATCACTTCCCTGGCCCAGCTGGCTGTCCCCTCTTGCTAGTTTTTATATGTGGAGAGGTACATTTCTAGTATGGAAAGGTCTGCATCAACCAGCCCAAGCACCTTGTCAATGTCCTTGAGCTGTACCAACTGAAACTCATCCAAGGAAACTAGATGAGGCTCTGCTGTTAATTCACACTCTGTAACACTGAAGTCTAAGTATAGCAGATGAAAGAGATTTTTATCCTGGAAGGGCTTAGAAAGTGTACCAAAGTGGGGCCTTGCAGGGCTGCAATGTCCTTACAGCCAGTATGTAATATGCCCCAACTGGCCATAAAAAGCTCTGCTGAGCAGCAGATAGATGACTGAACTGGGGCAATAAGATATTGTTTCTTTGCTGCCCTCACTTCCCTAAAATATACCTGTCTATTGGTACATAGAGTTCAATTACATTGACTAGGAGTTTTTCTCCATGTTCACTTAAGCCATCTCCTCTTTTATTTCATTGCTGTCATCCCTATGGCATAACATGGAGCTGTACAAGCCCTGCTATGTAGAGAGAGTGCTCATGAGCAATCATGTCAACTGCCCAGCTTATTGCTACATCTGATGGAATGCCCAGAGTTTCAACAGAAGCATCAGCCACATCAGGCAGAAACAACCCCCCCCCCCGCCCGAGATCACTGGAAACTTGACCATCTTAATAGGTCCTCTGTCCTTGCAGATGGGAAAAGCTGCCATCTAGTCCAAACTTCAGCAGGTGGTGATCTGACCATGCAAAGGGAGTAAATCAAAGCCCCCCACTTTCAGTTCACCAGCAGCACGCCTAGATGCAAAACAAGTCTAGAGTGTGCCCTGCTATGTGTCTTGGGACAGTCCCATGGTAGGCATGGGGGCCATGAAATCCAGAGCTACTCTAGACACGATGTCCTCAGCCTGAATGTTGACATCTTCCAAAATTAACAGTCTGGGATACATCAGCAGCATATCTGAGAGCACTCCTGTCAGCTCAGGTAGGAAGACTTCCATGTAGTGGGGTGGGCAGTATCCAGCAGAATCCCCAGTTTGTCCCACTGTCCCAACACAAGAAGCAGACATCCTTTTTCAAACCGACGGAAATACTTAATTTTTGCCTTATTCCAGTTTTCTTCTTTATCGATTTTGTTTAACAAGGCTGCTGTTGTCCTTGAAATTTTAAAAATTATGTACATTAGTCTTATATTTTAAAGTTAAAACCAAAGTTGATGCATTTTTAGTATTTTGTGAAATAAGCTGAAAATGTAAAATTTGACAAATGTACTATGCAGTTTTCTAATCATGTGTAAAGTGCTTTGTCTACAAGAATAGAACAAATTAGTAATTAGGTGTGAAACAAATCAGTAAGTAATAAACAGAATGAAAATGAAATAATTGTCACCTTTCAAAGTAACCAGTAGACACAAAACAAGTTGATCATGTACAGGAAATTGAATGTATTTAGCATTTGTTTTTTCACGGCTGAAACTGACTTATGTGCATGCGTAGATTATCGTCTCTATTTTTTAAGCAAGCACCATCTTTGGGGGGAAAATCCCTTCAGTGTCAGAGCTGTATTAATTGAGCAACTAAGAGTCCAATTCTCAAGGGATGCGCTCTGAACTTGGAGGGCTGGCTAAGGGCAGCACTTCAGCATGGAAAGGACAGGAGGCTGCTGTATCCTGGTAGTGTCAGTCCCCACTCCTTTCCCTCTGGAATGCCCCCAAAAGCCCTTTGCAGAGGTTGCTCTTGTGACCAGTTCTTTCCATGCTGGCTGTGTGTGTGGGAGGGAATATTATTATTACCTTTATTGTTACATTGCATTTATATCCTGCCTTTTTCCTCTCACAAGGAAGCCAAGGCAGGGTATAGCTCTCTCCTCCTCACAACATTAACCCTGTGTGGTAAGTTAGCATGGGCGAGCCTGTGACTAGCCCAAAGTCACTCAATGGGCTGCATGGCTGAGTGAGGGCTAGCACCCACATTTCTTGAGTCCCATAACAACACTCTTAACTACTCTTCTGACTGTGCAGCAGGAAATCCAAAAAATCCTTAGGCCATCTAGATATTGTCTAGCAGACAAGGGATTGCATTGAAAATTAACATCGACTATTATGTTCATTCATTCCCATTTTGAGGAGATTTTTGGCACGCATGATAAAAAGTAAGGGTATTGCTTTCTGTTGTACACCCTCTCTTTTTCTTCCTGTCTATCATGTTTTGAGTTATGACTAGATATATTCTCACCCACCCTCACACAAAAAGACAGCAGTCTTTATTGGACTGGGGAGGAGCAAGCAGGCCAGAGTAAGAAAATTAATTAACTCCCTTGCAGTTCATAAATAACTTACTTTCATGCTTGCTTGGAAGAGAGTTGTATAAAAAGTATCAAAGCCAGTGGCTTATCTGCATTCCTGCACAAGTCCTCTTACCAGTGGATAAGGAGTCCATTTGGGGGCTTAATCTTTGGTTAAGGCATCTCCCTTTACAGCATCTCAGAGTTACTGTTATTCAGTATGGAGGCTTTTATGAACTATATTTTTGAAAGAAAGATATTTATGGCATGCAGTATAATTCTGTGTCCCTTAACATGAGAAGTTAACATTCTGCACGCCTTTAAATTGAACACTTTAACATCTCTGTTGAAAAGAAAGCCTGAGGGCCTCCATAATCCGAATATTTCATCCATGAGCTATTTTCTACATGTGAGTTGTCATGAGATGTTGCAGTTAGCAGTTGTTGAACTGCATTTGCAAAATCACTGTAAAGTGATATTAATAGTAATAAAAAGATTCTTGCATTTGTTATGTAAAAGTATAATAATGACCTTTGTCTTTCTACAAAGGCATATCATGATCATGTAAAACTCCAGGAAGCTGTATTATGTATAAAATTAGAGGCTAATATTTAGTTAAATGAATTATTAGCTACCCTCCCAGTGCCTGAGGTGGTTTGCATTGATAAAATTAAAAAAACAAAACAAAGACAAATGCAACAGGCCAATGAAAAAGACAGAACCCACAGTAAACCTCAAACACCAAACAGAAGATGTGCCCTTTATATGTTCTCTATAAAGCCAATAAAGAACTAACTATTCATTTCAGGAAGGAGTTCATGCCATAGCCTAGGAACAACTGATTAAAAGTCCCATTTTCACCACTTTGTTCTCATTTTACGTAAGTTTGGAACTTTAAACATTGCCCTTGAAGATAACCAGAACTGGTTTGGGGACAGCATGCAAGGTGATCTCTTAGCAGCCATGCACCCTGGGGATGGTGGGAATTACAGGTCAAGCCATCTGGAAGGCACCAGGTTGGGGAAGTCAGTGCTATATGATATTTGGGCAACACTTTTGAATGTTGTGTAAGTTTTTCGTTTCTTCATTTCACAGATACTCTTCAGCATGTGCTGTAAAGATAAGCTTATGCAATTTGTATTTATTTCACTCTGAACAGATATGGTCCGTAGTGGCAAAAATGGAGGGCTCCATCTGAAACAGATTTCATATTACAAACAAACAGGTGGTTATCATCCCACAACATTAGCAAGTGAAAGGAGTGGAATAAGAAGAGCAGCAAAAAAGTTTGTTTTTAAAGGTAAAAAAAAGCCTTAAAAACTGTAACTAATAAAACTTTGGGGAATTCAGAAAGCATGTGTTCAACAACCATTTTTATCCTAGAGGGTTAGGACCAAATAACATTTGGCTTGCTTGGTGCAGCTTAAATATGAAACAGGTATTGAATCATTATGTATAGGCAGAATTAAAGCAAACTTGATTTTGGTCTAAAGACAGAAATCTAAAGGCAAAACTAGATATTGTATAGTGGAAAAAAACAACAGGAACAGTATGTTTGCATGCTTCATTCTAATTCATGTGTCTGTTGAGCTGCTGACTTCAGCCCAGTCACTGAAGTAATCATTGGAGGAGAGGTGCTTCTACAGATGTCTCTACTTTCTTAAGAATAGTGGGTAATGACTTTTTGGAGAAGCATTTTGGAGATAATACACCATGTACTGAAATTTCCTTTCCAAGGAAGCTCTTCTTACACATATTGTAATCGATTTTGGCAATCGACAATCTTTTTTAAAAGAAAATGTCCAGGCACTTAAACTTTGTATGGTGTCAGAGGTTGTCATTTTTAATCTCTGCTGAGTTCTTTCAATTTTTATTGCATTTTGTTGTTCTGATGGCTTTGTTTTTATTATATTGTATTTTTGAAATTGTGAACAGCTCTGGGAATACAGTGGTATTGAACATGGAGGATATACATTTAACAAATAAAGTGTGGCCCATATTGTCTTTTTTTTTCAAATGCACTTCCCTAGAAAAATAAACAGTGAGATTTTTCAATCCAATGTCTAGCCATTTAAAATCTCTTGGTAAATAATGATGCTGACTCTGCTGACAGCCAATTTGAATGTTCATTTCCGTTTTGGAATAAACTCATTTCTATCTTGACCAGGCATGCTGTGAATGTTCCTGAATAATTTTGAGCAGTTAGAACTAATCACAGCTACAAAAAATGGTATGAAATAATGTTAAATGTTCTCTTTCAGATAATAAGCTATACTATGTGGGAAAAGACAGGAGGCAAATGCGCCTGGTAATTCTTTCAGAAGAAGAAAAGAGAACAGTGTTAGAAAAGTGTCATGAAAATCATGCAGGTACACATCATGGCATATCAAGGACACTGACCCTGGTGGAATCTCAGTATTATTGGACATCAGTAACCAGCGATGTCAAGCAGTGGGTATGGGTCCTATCGACATCATATCTTGCCCATGTTAATACATCTTTTCAGCAATACGATTGGCTAACTAATTCCTTAAAACTGCCTTTGCCTGATAAAGTGTTCACAAAACACTCCTGACAAAGTTTTCTGTTGCATAGTTTTCTTAGCTCATTTTACTAAGGTTCAAGCTGCAGAATTAAGTCCTGATTCCAAGTCTTGCTGTGTTTGCCATTAAAACTCTTAGAATGTCAACCAGTGACAGAGCAGCATTTAGAAGACATGGACTTCCATGCTGTAGGTAAATATATTTTTCAGAGTGGAGTTCCAAGCCTGTCTTCATAGACTACTGGTTCAGTAGAAGATTCATATAATGTATAGATGGAGTCTATTCCTGGAAGCCATCAAACTTCCACATTTTAATCTGCCATTTATGTAGTGAGAGTTGAATGTAAATACAATTTCCTCTCTTGGATATCTCAACAGATGCATCTTTTCATTTTGGGATGATTTCTCCAGTATTGTTTAATTGTGTGCTAATGGAATATATGTTTACTGCAACCATCACTTTGGAGTAAGCTGATAGTATGTAGTGCTCTGTTCTGAACAAATTGTCCAGCCATGGCTAAACTGTCATGATGCCAACCAAGAATCTCTTCTTGTTAGCCACAATGGCTCAGTATGTAGAGAAGTTACTGAGGTAACATGTACTAGAGAAGTTCTGACTGTGCTAATGTTCAGCAGGTAGGTTGGGTCTTTAAGGCTTTCAACAGGGAAATGAAAGCTGTTCTTGCTGATGTAAATAGACCTTTCAGCTGTTGTAGCTGTTTGCAACTGTAGAGGAGGAACTGCTTGACATTTATAGCTGTTAACTACAATAGTTTCAACACAATAGAACATGATTCTTCTGTCTTAAGTCTCTTATTCAAATAAAAGATAACTGTGTAACATTTTATGCAAAAGTTAAGTTAATATTAACATTGGTTTTTGTTACTTTTCACCCAGATATATGCTTGCCAGCGCTGCCAGGTAGCAAAGAGTACGGCTATTGTGGAGTCCAGATGCCATGCTATGAAGGCAGAGGACCCATGGACTGTAGTTACCATAGACCTGTTGGGGCCTTTCACTGCCACCGGTAAAAACCACACATACATCATTCTCCTGACAGACATCTTTACACAGTGGACTGTGGCTTTGCCACTGCGTGACCCTTCTGCATCTGAAGTGGCTAAAGCAATTGTCAGTGCATTGTTTTGCTATGGACCACCTCAAAAAATAGCTATAAATCAGGGAGAAGAGTTTGTTTATCAGGTAAGGGGAGAGAGATTTGCTGAGGAAAAGCATGCTTAATATTTTTTTTCCACTAAGGGGAGGGGTGAAACCAAGAGTGTTATGGAGACTATATGTATGAAACATTTTAAAAACGTCTACATTTGAACAGCTACAATAAATGACTTTGTACCCCAAAAGAGAAATTGAGGTGAAAATATTCAGTACCTTTATAGAATGGAATTCTTCAAAATCATTCACATATTGCTAAAAAGCACATGCTTGGCTATATGAGTTCATGCTCAATTTACTTCTGCAGGAATGCATTGCTTAGATATCATAATATGTATGAATGTCTGCATTTCTCTTGGGTTACAGCATATAAAATATCAATTTACTAGCACAGTTTAAGATAAGTTGTGAATACAGCATTAGCTTTCATACTCTTCAGCTTAATATGCAGATATGGAATCAAATTGAAATCTGCACCTGCAGACTGGATCGAGCAATTACTAGTCCTCCACATATTTTGTCCTCATCATTCTCCTGCATTGGCTATGTTGGCAGGGGCTGATGGAAGTTGTTAGCCAAAAGTTATACAGATTCTTATATCAAAGTTTATGTAGATCTGCAGGGCCAGATTATATAGATACTTCTGCTATAGATCCTTATAGCTATAAAGGTAACACATACTGAAGTTCTGAAATTGTATTTGGTCCTTGACCATTGCGATGTAGCATATATGAGAAATACATTTCAAATTACATCTGTCTTCTGAGATTATTTTAGATGACTATTGCTCAGTTGTGATTAATACGTGGGATATGTTTTTGTCTCTTTCTACTTGCCGCTTTCTCCTCTTGTATCACCCATAAGAAGAGAATTGGTCCACCTCGTAACAGAACTTTCATGGGTGTGTTAGAGGGCAGTTCCATAGTGCAGCTGTCGGTACAAGCACTGCTTGCTGACTGCAGCCAGGATAGGAGGTGAAAAGGGATTTCTTACCTTCCCCTTGTTTTCCCCATTGTGGGATATCAGAAGAAATTAACTATACCAGCTGTGAAGCGCCTTCCAAGGCTGTGTCAGGGAAGCATGGGGGCTTAGGATGCTGTGAGGACTTGGCTGTCCCGGAAACACCCCATTTTCCCCACTGCTGCTGACACAGAGCACTGACTTTGCACTGGTGTGCTGATGCCTTTTTGTCAATGAATGTGTCGTGTCTTTGAGGCCCTCCCTTCCTGCTGGCAGAGCAGCATTTTCCTGGCATCCAGTGACTCCTCAGCTAGACAGAAAGAATTCTTCAAACTTTGAACCTTGGTTTGGAAAACGGTTCATGGAGTTGCTTTGAGCAACATCTGGAAATACAAGAGACATCTAATTCACACATAGCTGTTCTAAAAGAAAGGCACTGAATATTCTAAGTATGTAAATTAAATATTCCTATGGTCCTTAAATAATATTATCATCAGTTTTAGATTGTGTGGGATTTCTTTGCTATTTCAAAAAAACATTTTCATGTTCTCTGGTAAGACAATAACCTTGTGTGTGTGTGTGTGTGTTTGTTTTAAAGATTAACTGCAAGCTCTTTGAACTCTTTGGGACAAAGGAATTGATAATGCCATATCCTCAACCTGATCGTGAAAATGAAATTAGCAAGTCCATCAGATCTTTCCTTCTCAAATACTGTACAGAACATACCAAAGACTGGGATGAGCACTTACAAGCTATTGCATATGCATTCAATTTGATTCATTCAGTATGTATGAACAACATTGTACTTCTTGTGTGAACCGGGGCTGAATGCTCTTTACACAAAGTGAATATTTCACAGTGAATCACAGTGATTTTTTCCCTCTTTTTCTTCCTTCCCCATTTGTAAAGGAGGCTCATCAGAACACACCATATTTCCAAATGTTTAAACGGAATCCTTATCGTCCTTCAACCTTAAGTGCGATTCAAGGAGAGAGTGACTGTGTGTTCACCCGAATTGTCAGTGCAATTCAACAAGCCAACAGAGCTTTGCAGGAAAGGACAGCTTCAAGCTGCCAGGTATACCTCTCTCCTCCTCTCTTAAAAAATAAGTCAGTGGGGTTTATAATTCAAAGAAAAATAAAATGTGTGTGAAAAATATTGAGTGCATCTGCATGTTTGTCATCATTTTTAAACTTCTAATGCTGGAGGAGGATATTAATACTGCACCAAAGCAGGCACAGTGTGTCAGAAAAAATACTTCCAAGCCTCCAAAATACCTGTAGACTCATCCCCTGGTGTCTACCAGGACTGTTTGATGCAATGTTAGATTCTCTTTATATGAAATGCCCACATCATCATCATCATCATCATCATCATCATCATCATCATTATTATAACATTTCTATGCCGCCCCTTGCCGAAACCTCGGGGCGGCTTACAACATGATAAAATACATTGAAATACAATAGTACATAATAAATTACCATTAAATATAAAAATACAAAAAAATACATTGATTTACAAATACAAAATTAAAATTATCAGTATAAAATAAAAATATAGGAGGAGAAAGAGAAGGAAGAAGAAGTTGCCCCGGCCAGATCATATGTTTTAACAATTGAAATGATGTTTAAATAAAAAGGTCTTTACCTGGCGCCGAAAAACCAGTAACGACGGTGCCAGGCGGACCTCTTTGGGGAGTGAATTCCATAGGTTGGGTGCCACCGCAGAGAAAGCCCTCCTCCGGGTACTTACTCTCCTAATTTCTTTCATGGAGGGTTCCCGGAGAAGGGACTCTCCCGCAGATCTCAAAGGGCGGTCGGGCATATACGGACGTAAGCGCTCGTTCCGGTAGCCAGGACCCAAGCCGTTTAGGGCTTTGTAGGTCATAATCAACACCTTGAATTGGGCCCAGGCTTCAATGGGAAGCCAGTGAAGCTGATGGAGGACTGGAGTCATGTGAGCATAACGCCCCGTCCCCGTCAGCAACCTGGCAGCTCTATTTTGCACCAATTGAAGTGTTCGGACTGTCTTCAGGGGAAGCCCCACGTAAAGCGTGTTACAGAAGTCTAGGCGGGAAGTCACCAGTGCGTGTGTCACCGTCGCCAGGCAGTCGTACTCCAGGTAGGGGCGCAGCTGATTAATCAGCCGAAGCTGAAGGAAGGCGTTCCTCGCTACCGCTGTCACCTGAGCTTCCAAAGAAAGCTCCGGGTCGAGGAGTACACCTAAGCTGCGGACCTTATCCCTAAGAGGGAGTGTTGCACCATTCAGGACCAGGTCAAATCCACCCTCTCCGAAACCCGATCCGCCAACCGACAGGACCTCCGTCTTGTCTGGGTTGAGTTTCAGTTTATTGGCCCTCATCCATTCCCTTACCTTGGCCAAGCACCGGTTCAGCACAGCCACTGCCTCACCTGGATTAGTGGAGAATGAGAGGTAGAGCTGGGTATCATCAGCGTACTGATGATTCCGCAGCCCACACCTCCTGATGACCTCTCCCAGCGGTTTCATATAGATGTTAAATAGCAGAGGGGATAGAATGGAGCCCTGTGGTACCCCATGGCATAGCTGCCATGACGCAGAGACATGGTCCCCCAGCACTACCTTCTGGAATCGACCGTCAAGATAGGAGCGGAACCACTGCAAAGCAGTGCCTCCAACCCCCAATCCCGCAAGTCTATCCAGAAGGATACCATGGTCGATGGTATCGAAAGCCGCCGAGAGGTCCAGAAGAACCAACAGGGATGCACTCCCCCTGTCCTTCTCCCTGCACAGGTCGTCGTACAGGGCGACCAAGGCAGATTCAGTACTGTACCCGGGTCTGAAGCCGGACTGAAAAGGATCCAGATAATCAGTTTCATCCAAGAGTGCTTGGAGTTGTCCCGCCACCACTCATTTATTACATTAGATGTAATAAATGAAGCAAGAGTAGTTTTATTCGGAAGACCTTATTTGAACAATAGGAAAGTGAGTAAAAATTAGTTCTTAATTAGAAGTATATAGCTCTGAATGTCAGAAAATGCACAGCTCAGTTTAAGGTTTTGAAATGTGCAAGAACTGTCTTTTGGTCCATAAGTCAAAGATGTATAATGCTTTACGTTCTTCTGAGGAAGCCTTGCAATGATATAAGAAGCTCTAGTGACTCCTAGATTCAATATTCCTGGCAAATTCAGGAGCTACAATATAGGCTATGTCAAATTTACCAACAGGTCAACTACCTTTATATTGTAATGAGATAGGCTAATATTAAATCAAAGCTATCAATTACATAATGGAGAGTATAAGAAGCCATGTTGATGTGACGTCTGCCATGTGTGTGAATGGTATTTGTATCTGTGCTGGTGTTGTAACTCTATCTGCAGTACAACCAAGACTAGCATAAACTTAGGCCAGGCTCCTTTTCTCTTGCAGATATCAGGTGCACTGAAAATACACAGCGAGCTCTGAATGCGCTTAGGCCAAATAGTTCTAATTAATAAGTTGTTTCTTTTCATAGGATTTAAAGAAAATGTCTGTAGAACAGAGCAGGAACAAGGGCCATGTTAGGAAGAAGCCAAAGCAAATAACTCCATTTCTCAAAGTTGGACATGAAGTTCTTAGACAAAGGAAGAACTGGTGGAAAGATGGCCATTTCAAGTCTGAATGGGTTGGTCCCTGTGTTATAGACTACATTACTGATAATGGCTGTGCAATATTAAGAGATGCTGGAGGCTCAAGACTGAAAAGGCCCATCAAAATATCTCATCTTAAACCCTATGTAAGAGGATCATGCAAACAAGGTGAAAATCAATTTGAATTCTTCCCAGTGACTGTTTTTTTTCTTCTGTTAAACAGGAATACAGCAAAAGAAGAGCATAAAAGGTGTCCAGTTGAATGTTCTTTAGCTTTATGCTTATGTGCTGCCCTCAGTTTTCATTGCTTCTTTCAAGTGTACAGATTTGGGGAATAATTTTTTCAAAGCTTTACTGCCCTATACAGTGCAGGCCTTGCCCTGCCCAACAGGCATGTGGAACCAGCATGAACAGTTGGATGTCTCTGGGTCGGGGGCAGTACACTGACTACATTAGCTGTGGGACTAATGTTAAGCGGTATGGATGCCTTGAAAATATATCATAGTTTACAGTGAGAAGTAGTTTGTGCATATTATCCGGAAAGAGATCTCGGCCAGGAAGAGAGCTTTGTGAATGGAATATTAATGCAGTCACAGAGGACAATACGCACATGACAAATGAGGTGTTAAGAGTAGTTCCTGTATTTTTGACACTTTTTCTACACAAATCTAACCAGAAAAGATAATGAATAGTTGAATGCCTCAGATGTTGTTTAAAGCACAGTGCTAAGTCCAGCCTTAGAAATTTTGAATTCATTTATTCAGCAGATTAAAATATTTATGTTGTCAGTAAACAATTTAGGGTCTTGTCTTAGTTCAGGGAAAATAATTGAAATATTTAATTTCAGTCTTTCTGTAATCATGACAGGCCCAGCAATTTCATTTTCTTTAGTGCTGTTTCATTTTCTCCAAACTATCACTGAGTCAGTATGATAGCTAGAAAGGAAAACAACAGCCTCATAGCTTAAAGACTTCAATTGCAACACTAACAGTGACTGCATTTTGATTGTGCTTTGTAAAAGAGCCTAGTTTTGGTAAAAGACCCTGGCTAGTTTTGCAAGTATAGGCGGCACTAAAAAATGTGATCTAGCCCTCCATAATCAGGTTTCTCAACTGCACAAACCCCATTACCTCCAAATACCTCTATTCATTTAGACTAATAAATATGCAAAGAACTTCGGATCTGTAAGAATAATTAAAAGGGAAGGAGAAATCATCTTAAAACATTGAGATGCATTTGGTTTGTCTCGAAGTAAAACCCACAAGCCCAGAAGAATTGTCCTTTTTCATCCTTTGATGGGACCAAAGTGGAATAGGGATAGAAGAGTCCCTGTACTGCTACCTATAAATTGTTCTTCCTCTTGCAGGGGTCAGAGGTTTATCATGCATTTGGCAAGTTTTTTCCAGCCATTTTACATCCTTGCCTGTATAACTGAGGTATAGTCAGGAAAATCCTTTTCCTAATAATGATCATGTTAGTTAAAATGTCCCCTAATCATGATATGTTTGCTTATTGCAGACAGCCACAACATTTGGAAAGGTGCCGTTGTGGTTGACCATGACTATGTTTGTTCATCGGAAATCTCCACAGAACAGAGCTCAGAAGATGCATGCTCTGTAAGAAGACCTCCCATCTCTGCATGTGATGATACCCTCCTGGGGAAAGACCTTGAATGTTCAGAAAGTAAAAGTATTGCATTACCAGAATTCTCAAGCCCAGTGTAAATTACTACAAACCCAAAGCAGTGGTTTGCAGCTTACTGTCCAAAATAAAACTGAGGCTACTTGACTCTAGTACTGTAAGGCATCATCAGAAGAAATGGGTATTGAACTTGTCAAGGTTGTGTAAAGTCTACTACTCTGTATTTCCTTTATGAGGAATAAAGCACCGAACTGTTACAGGCCCAGCAAGATGTCTGCTTATGATGTCTGTATTTGCACATACATGACCAGTGGTAAGTTTCAGGCTTATGCACTCTATTCTCTTCTCCATTCAGTAGGGACCAGAAGCATTCACTATACAAATTTGGACAAACTGTGGTGATTGTTTAGCCAACTTCCAACAGTGGTTAATGATCTGGACTTGTATTGGTAAACCAGTGGTGGGGAACACTTTTGCTCAGTGATAATTGGTCAGGGGCAGGGTGCTTTCTTTCCTTTGCTTTCTTTCCCCCAGACAGGTCCATTCTTGCCATAGGTCTGAACTAATTCCTTGGACCAGGATTGATCATCCCTCCCCTAAAGCATATCTAACACTAACAGAAGTCCTTAGGTTGGACATAAGTTACTTGCCTTTACCTGAAAATGGAAATGAAACCTTCCAGTCTTCTCATGGCTAATCTGGAGGAGGAAGTAGGGAGGCAAGCACACAAGGTTAAGCTGTTACATGTAATGCTAGGCGATTTAGCTTTGTATGCAAACCGGGATACTGTGATGGGCTAACTAATGAACAGAAGTTTATAATAGTGCATGTATATTTATGTCTTTTTGCCAAGAAAATGTAAGGAGACTACTGTGAAATAAAACTGTTCCCATGGAATTAGTGTGAAGTCTTAGTATTCTGGTCAAGCCTCAGCAGTTTTTGCTTCATCGAATACGATCGCAGCCTCTTGTTTTGCACTATAGCAGATTGCTATACATATATGTTCAAATGTATTCATATCATGTTCACGAATTGTATGTTGATTGGTTGTTGGGTTTAACCATTGGTGGTGTTTAACCCATAAGCAAACCAGAGTGCCTGGTTTTGAATGTTGTGATAACAATGTACAAATGAAAGTATATAGGTTTATTCAAGGTGGGGAAGGCCTGCACACTCTGCACACCCCAGTAAATCATGATTTAATGAATTGCCTTATGATTTGTCACCATGAATTGCTTTGCATGGTGAGGTTCCCAAGTGTAATCTCTTGCACCTCCAGCCAAAAACACAAATGAAGGCTCTTACTCGTAAGTCTCTGGAAAAGATTTCCACCTGACCTCTTAGAGAACTGCTGCCAGAAATGGTAAGTGAGGAGCTACATCTGAAGCAGTACTGGTATAAGGCAGGACTTCATGGTCTCTGATGTGAATGCTAAGAGGAAGCAAGCCACATGTGTTGTTCCTGGCCATTCTGCCAGGTCTATTGAGGCTACCATAGATCTCGGGACTGAGGGAGGTGTTTTCTGGTCTAGCCCCTGTGTGCCCTTGGCAAGCAAGAGAGCAATCATCAGTGGGGCTGGTGGGCAAGTTGTGAGATGCACAGATGACCACTTGCAGGAGTACAGTTAAAGGTAAGCCTCCTGACTTTCTTCTTCATGGTCTCTGTGCATCACATACATGGGTGACTGGAGAGCTTACACTCAGAAGGATGGAGTGATGCAAGGTGGATTGCATAGCAAAGGTAAGAGGAAATTTGAAGAATGCTGAAAAAATACTCGTGTGAGGAGAGAAACACTTCCTGATCTAGCCTCAATGGCAGTCAAAAAAGGAACTGAGGGAATGAGCAGAAATCCCTCCTGTGTGAACTTGGAGCAAGAAGGGGAGACTCCTATCCCACTGAACACTCAACTATAGAGTCTTCTGACAACAGGCTCCACAGGTATGGAGCCCATCTATGTAATGTAAAAAACCATGATGAGGAATGCAGTCTCCTGGTAAATTTGCAAGTGTGCACTGCTAAAAAATATATTAAGAACATGTAGCGCCTTGTAATACTCTGCAAGGTAATGCAGTTGTATTTGCAATGGACCTTGTATATTGCTTACCGTGTAACCTCTGCCACCTGGTGGAGAATTTCAATAGCTCAAGGAAATGGAAGACCTTCATAGAATGGCCTAGTTGGCAAGTGCCCTCTGTGCTTTTCCATTTCAGACAGTAATATCCTTTCACACTGCAAACTAGATGAAAGGCGAAGGCCCTTTGTCCGTTGTTCTCTGTGATGTTCCCATGTGTTCCTGTGCTTAGGACAGTTTTGTATGGATGCGTATCCTTTATGTGAGCCCCTACTTGCAGTGCAAAGGAGTGCAGCCCTGCCACAGGTTTCCCACTTCACGGAGATCTACCCCTATGCCATGGAGGACTCGTCCGGCATTTTTTCTTGGCATGTGTACAGAAAAGGACTTGAAGCCGCTCCCTTAATCATTGTTTAAGTTGGCAAAACCCAAGACTGTATGCATTCTGACAATCTATGTGCAGATTTGGAAACCTACTGACTTTTTGAAGGAAGTATATTTCTACAGCACCTTAGAAATAGAAAGGCCTTGCATTCTTCACTGGAAAGATAGTGTAGCATATTCTCTGTCTGCTTTTATTTAAGAGCAAAACAGGTGGAAAAGATACCAATAAAGCTTGGTCAGCTTTCCTAAAAAGATTATTGTGTGGATGAAGATGCATCGTTTTCTGTGTTTTTTATATGAGTTTCTATTTGAGTGAAATTTGGCTTTCCACTTCCATTAGTAAATTACACCAAAGAGGTTGCAGAAAATAATTGTCTGAGAAAACAACTATTTGTAAATACTCCTGGTTTGTTAGCATACCACTGAGCAAAAAATGTACAACTCTGTGTTAACTGAAACACCTTTGAATTGAGTTACCAATTTAAAAGTTAACCAAAGTATCTTTCCTAAGAGCTCTAATTAAATCCATCAGGGAAAGTTTCTAAGTTTCTGGAAAGCTACTTAATTGCCTTTGTTTTTCAATCAGTTATTTCACCAGCTGCACAAAAAATAGTAGCTTGTGTAGGGGCAAAAGAATTAACTCCAACAGAGTTGTTCTCCATGAGACAACATGCAATTTGAAGCAAGCTTAAATTAGAACACACGACAAACTTCGTGTACCAGAAAGAAACTTCTGGCAGTCCTTAAGCATTTCAAGCAAGCAGGATGAAAATGTTCTTCAGGTCAGACTTCAGCCAGGAGGTAACATACCTTTAGTATCTAATGCAAGTAGGAGTCCTACAACCAAATGTGTGTGATCTGAGCCTGTGGCAGAAAGTTTGAAGAAAACAAAGACAGTACTCCATGCTCAGGTGTGTCCCTTTACATCAGAGAATAATAAATTTTGCACATGACCCTTTGATCCAGAATAGCCCAAACCCCACCTGGGGCCTACAATATCAAGGGTGACCACATTGCAAACCTGCTATAAGCGACTTTCAGCACTGGAAATAAAACTTGAACATCCACAAGAATCACACTGAACGACAAACAACAATCAGTCTGTGCAGCCACAGCTTGGTTATGATGCTACATGTGCAGCTTAGTTTACAGATGTGGGTTTTTGTTGGTTAGCAGCTCCCATGTTCAGCAAAACTAAATACTTGCTTCAGGCATGGTAAGTCTTTAGCGTGATAGATAACTAGGAAGCTCTTGATTCTGTGCACGGTGTAAACCAAAATTTGCATATAGTTGCTTATTCTGCATAATTTATTTCTATAGTCATGTCTGGAGGCAAATGACTACGCACCCCCAGAAATCTATTTAAGCCACCTGCCACTGCATATTTCATTCCTGCCCCTATCACATTTCTTCCTGCTAATCCACATTTCCTTCCGAAAGGAAGCCTAAAGCTACTAATAATAAACAGAGCAATAGAATTACAGCAGCCTCCCTGAACCTGGTGTCTCCCAGACTGCTCTTGCCACAATTCCCAGCCAGCATGGCCACTTGAGCAACTTCGCTGGCTGCTCATAGTTCAGCTCTGATTGCTGAGTGGACTGAGCTGCAGGATCATGATGAGAGCTGCATACCAGCTGCTGGAGTAACAGGATGATGTCACAACATTAAAAAATGTTCCAGGTTGTGTTTCAGGAATCCTTACTAGCAAAAGCATATATAGGTGAGTGTAAAATGAAAATGGCATAATTATGTTTCTTTCCCCTTTGAACCACCAGGTGTCAGTCACTCATTGCTATTTCCCGTACTTTTTACTATGTAGGCCCAGAGTTCTATTTAAAAAAAAAAAAAAAACAGAATAAAAGGAGACTTGTATTTAATCAATCCACTGACCTGGGATCACACAATAAGCCACAGTGGGCTATCACTCTTGCTTGTTTCAGCGTGGCTTGTCAGGATGGCCAAACCTGGCGTGGTTGCTTTAGCATGATTGGTTATGCATTTATTTAATTTGTATACCACCCCTTAGTCTCGGGACAGTTTACATAATTAAATTGTTAAGTCTGCACAAGCCAAGTGCACACACCTGAAAGGACTCATTGTCACACTGAGTGCACCAATATTCCTGCCTGCTCCAATAGCTCTTCTGGCATTCAGAATCAAGAGAATGGCTGATATGGGGGAGAACATTTACAGATGTTGGCTACAGGTGTAACTAATAGGGCTGCAATCAGAATGGGGCAGGGAACCAGAAAAAAATTCCTTGGAAGGGACAACGATGCAAGCGGAGCGGTGCCTCCCAGAATACACTGAATACGCACTAGATGGGAAGACTAAGGTAGAAACAAGACCGCGGTAAGCCGCCGAATGCCCATCTGAACAATCAACCCACAAAGACTCATTTTCAGGGTGACTTATCAAGACTTGTCTATTCTCCTGACAAAACTCAAGGAGGGAGGTAGGAAACTGCCCTTATATATTTTCAGAAAGAATGTACACACAAGAGTTGGTTAATTCGGAGCAGAAGGAAAGATAGGCAGATTGTGTTACTTATGCCCACCTGTTCCTAGAAGCAGGAATAATTCAAATGCTTTTTGCCTTGCAGAATTTGACTATTTCCCAGTTTTGGAAAGTAAACCAGCAAAAAATTAGAAATATAACAAATAATACCTCATGTACAATTCAGACAGACAGAAGGAAGGAGATAGGACAGAACTATCCTATTATCATAGAATATGATATATATATTATATACGATATATATAATATGATATATATAATATCAAATTCATCAAGGACTCAAGCAAACAGCAACCATGTGATGTGAATGCTCCTTATGTTGAGAAGACCAGGCTCCTTTCTCTTCCAGTGAAAAAAGTTATTCTGGATTGGGATGTCCAAAAGTAGCACAACAACCTTCCTATGGAATCCATAACTATGACAGATGTAATCACACTCCTTGTTGAAAAATCCCTGCACCAAAAGTTATGTGCAAACAGCTCAGTTCAGGCAAATATGTCTCGTTCATGCCTAAGAAAGGGCCTGTTGCTATCCAAGCAGCCACCCAGTTGGCACTTTTCTAATCATGTCGACTGCACCACCACACAGGATAGAGTTCCCCAAGTGCCTCCTCGTGGAACTACCGACCAATATCCACTGATCAGTCAAGAAATCTACTGCTTATACAATCGTCTCAGAGCTTTCATGACATTCAAGGCATTTTATTTTGTCTTAATGTTCTACCAATATGTTCTTCAAAAGTATTTTTCACTTTCATTATCAGCTTACATCTGTTTTGCCAGTATTCATGCTTTTATGTTTTAAATTAAATTATGCCCTTGGTATACAAAGCCTTTTAATCTTCTGTAACTTGCTCAATTGCTTGTTAACATCATCTTAGACTTTTGGGTATCTTTCTAATGTAATTTATTTATTTATTTAAGCA